ACCAGTCTTTTGTTGCCCTTGTTTCAACTTTTTTGGAACGTGTTGTTGGCGTCAAGGTCAGTAACATGATTGGGCATAAAAAAGCATTCCAGAGAGGCTGAGTCTTTCAGAAGTAAGGATGAGGAGGGTTCACCACTCTGTGAAAGACTGTACGATCAAATAGTGCAACAATTCAAGAATAACGTTTCTCAACATAAAATATTTTGCTTTTCGTCATCCACAGTACATAATACCATTAAAGATTCAGAGAATCTGGAGAAATCTCTGTATGAAAGGGACAAGGCTGAAAACCAGTATTTGCTGGCCGTGATCTTTGGGACCCTCAGGCAGCACTGCATTAAAAACAGACATGATTCTATAGTGGAAATCGCTGCATGGGCTCAGAAACACTTCTGAAAACCACTGTCTGTAAAAACAGGGGAAGTGGAAAAGTGTCCTGTGCTCCGATGAATCAACATTAGAAATTTCTTTTGGAAATCATGGACACTGTGTCCTCCTGGGCTATAGAGAGGCGTTAGTGCACATGGGATGGGTGATGTGCAATCTGTGAAGGCACCATTAATGCTGAATGATATATACAGGTTTTGACAACATATGCTGCCATCCAGACTTTCCAGTCTTTTTCAGGGAAGGCCTTGATTATTTCAGCAAGATAATGTCAAGCCACATTCTGCATGTATTACAGCAGCGTTGCTCCGTATTAAAAGAGTCCAGCTACTAAACTGACCTGCCTGCAGTCCAGACCAGTCACCACTGATAACATTTGCCGCATTATGAAATGAGAAATATGACAAATGAGCCCCTGAATTGTTGAGCAGCTGAAAACCTGAATCAAACGAGAATAGAAAAACATTTCACTTTCAGTATTACAGCAATTCATCTCTTCAGTTCCCAAACGCTTACAGAGTGTTATTAAAAGAAGAGATGATGAAACTCAGTGGTAAACAGGCCCCCGTCCCAACTTTTTTGGAAGGTGTTGTTGGCATCAAATTCAAAATGGGCATTTATTTTTCAAAAAAACAATACAAATTTTCATTTTCAACATTTGATGTGTTGTTTTGTATTGATTTCATTTAAAAATATGGTTTACATGATTTGCATATCATTGCATTCTATTTTTATTTACATTCTGCACAGCATCCCAACTTTTTTGGGAATGGGGCTATAGTTCCTATCCTACCTTTTTTTCACTTTTGCAAAAGCAAATTCACTTCCAGTTTCGCAAAAAGATTCAGTTTCCAACTTAAAGAAAACACTTTTCATGTGTGGGTCATTTCTAAAAAAACATCAGTTAGTTTTGTCCTATGCACTTTTGCCTCTCACAGATATGTAATATTGGTCTACTATTTTTGTCTCATTTGTTTAATTTGGTTCACTTTATCTACTTTTAGGACTTGTGTGAAAATCAGATGAAGTTTTAGGTCAAATTTATGCAAAAATGTAGAAAGTTCTAGCTATCACTCTTGCACATACAACTGACATCGTAAGACTGGCAACCTCACCAAACTAGCGAACCAGCAAGTTTTCAACAAAATTCAAATTTTCTACTTAGTTAAATCATTAAGATGTAAGCAAAGTTATCCACAGTGGTTTTCAAGATGTGAGAGTTTAGTGTCATGCACAGAGAAACTACACGGCACAATGAAATTCTTACTCTGCACTACCTCACAGACTACAAATGACTGTACAAACACTATATAAATACTAAGTACTTAGCACAAAAAATATATATCTAAATCAGGGTTGTCAAACTCAACCACTAAAAGGGCCATATTAAAAAATTTCAACACATCCGTGGGTCAGAGAACGCCATGTTTTATTTTTTTTTAATTAATGTTGTGCTGTAACCCGAACTGGCCATTGTTTATGCAAAATATTCAAAAAATTCAGCAGTAAAATTTAGGCAGTTGTAGACCTTGAAATATATGAATACTTGAAATATTCGAAATGTAAATGTCCCCAGGAGCTCAGTCTTTTAAACCTACCTATTTTCTTGAACTAGACACCTGGTGTCCTTTCTTTGCTGCAAGTTTATTTATACTTGGGCTCAGTTTCTGAGCTGCTGAGCTGATGGTAAGTGTTTATACTGGTTGAACTGCAGCTGAAATGCAGCTAGTGTGTTTGGTGATGTGACTGGGGTGGAATTGTGTGGAATTGTGTAGAACTGAGGTGTAACTGCTGTCCCATAGATTGTTTTTGGGGTAGGAGAGTCAGAGCACATATTACGTTGCAGTGCATGTTGGGGACTGTAGTGCAGTGCCTTGTGAAACAGGCTAATATTAATAGAAAATTAAAACACTTTTGCGGGCCAGATAGGACTGTGTCATGGGCCTGATCTGGCCTGCGGGCCTTGTGTTTGACACATGGGATATAAATTAAGAAAATATACAATATATAGTTTATAGACTACACAGTCTGTGTGCAGGTGTATCTGACAAATTCAAACAGAACATATGTGCAGTATGCAAGATAACTACAAGCACAGGGTGAATCAAAAAGATTTATCTGATTTCAAAGCACCATATTTTACAACCGTGAGGCACCTAGGAACCAATCACATACTAATTGAAAGAGGGGGTCATAGAGTTTCTGACTGTCACCGGAAGATGGCTCCCTTCAGTTTGCGAGGAGATGGAGACATGCATTCTCCACTTCTGGAGTTTACTGCATTGTTCTGTAATGATTTACTAGTGAAATACATCATTTTGAATTCAGATTAATCTTTTTGAATCACCCTGTACAATGATAGTTTTGAAAAGGCCTAAAACACATTCATGGTGGAGAGGTACATACAGGGCCTTGTAAGCCAAAATAGTAATAGTAATAATGGCTTCTGCACCAAAACAGTCCATAAGATATAAGAAAATAAAGTCATTTGGGATTCAGCTACATCTCCCTACTGGACATATAATGGACTATTTACATCATTAATGGACTAACTAATTTAATTATTAAGATCTTAAGTCATTCAGAGTGGTTTCATTTGAAATGCTCCATTCTACATAAACTTTATGGATTATTTGTCTGTAGAAGCCAGAATTTCATATCTCTTATAGTGCACTATACAGGGAGCAGGGAGTCATTTAAGCTTCAACCTCAGGAACTTAGAGAAGAGTTTACTGTCATCGTTATTAGTCATAAATTAAATTAAACCAATCATTTCATATATTTTTAGAAATTTTCTAAAAACAATAAGGTACTCGAGACCTTGCATAACAGTGACTTCACTATGATTAAGGGGGTTTTCGATACTATTTACTTTCCAGCACTCCAGAAAAAATGATAAAGTAATAACAGAATCATTAAATGAGCAAAACACTACGTCACTGGAAATAAGATCCCTCTCCCACCAGCACAGTGGGTCATGGAGCTTCTGTCAGAGCGAAATTATAGTGACAAGCAGAAACACAGTTTCCAAATTGCCCGAGCAGTTCCCTGACTGAAAGCCGTAATGTATTTGGTGAGAGATTTTCGAGTCAGACATGAAAGGAGGCTATTATTAGGGGGCATGTGGGTTGTCCTGCCAGAGATATTTCAGAGCAGTTCTTATCTCACCAGATCGGCTGAATCCAAACTTTCCATTCATTCATCTCACCTGTCTGCCTGAGTCTGCGGGTCAACTTTCATGGTTTATGTTCCCACAGTGCCCCCTGTCCGCCTAAACCATACAGCTCTGAACTCACAATACAATTCAGTTACGCATCTTTGGGGAAAAATTCAGTGCTCATTTAAAGCTCAAATGTACCCAGACTTCAATTCTATTCTAATTCTATTAAAATATTTTGACATAATTTGATACTCTGAAGGAACCCCTGGTCAAATTATATGTTTTATATGTATGTACATTTATATGGCATGCTGCTTAGTCTGAATTTACTGAATGAACCTTGAGAATATAGAATGAAACTTGACAGTATGGTATTTATGTAGAATAAAAAATCTGACATCATCAAGGTTGTGATGTGTGATATTATCCCATACTGACGCAGGCAGTGAATCACTATGACTGAGTCAGCAGTCCTACATTGTGAGGAGATCTCTCAAGGTTCATTCCATATATACGTATATTCTATATTCTGACTGTCACCGGAAGATGGCTCCCCTCCATCTGTGAGGAGATGGAGACCCCTGAGCAGACACACACACACACACACACACATATGTATATATATATATATATATATATATATATATACACTATAATCCAATATACAACATTATCATGCATTCAATTAAAAAAATGCAGGTAAACCACTGCTGTAAGATCAAAGCACCACATCACATCAATCCATTTTTATGCCACTGTTATTTTATCATTTTTATTTTGACCTGGAATTCCTGCCAGGTATGAAGACCCAGTACAAAAAAAACAACCACTGAAAAGAAAAATAAGCCAATTTCTGAAGAAAACTGGATGAAAAAGGCTAAATAACACAGAGCACCAATCTCTTTCTTCTTTGATCAGAACTGGTCAGTTTTAACTCTTCTTAAAAACCACCTCAAACATGTAAGATTTCCATGCTACTCTCACACAGAGGCACTACCACTCAAACAAGCTGGCCTGGCGCTGTAACTTTAAGGGGAATTAAATTTTTTTTATGCATATTAAAATTATTAAGATCATTCAGAGTTTGTGTGAAATCCTCTGTTCTAAACTTACTGAGTCAGAATTGTTCACAGAGCTCCCTCACAGATAACTACTACGTGAAATGAATATGCTGCCTGATGTTTACAGTCATTGATTTATGACAGCTTTGACAAGGTTTGGCCTAAAATGTATTTTTAAAACTCCATTAACGGTGGAGAGATACATCCAAGGCGCTATACCGCAAATAAAACTTATATTTTCAGATTTATCGCTGTTTTATCATCATCAATATTCCATATAAAACTCAGATGATGTGTAGGTTCACTGGTGGTTTTGGATGGTAAATAAAATAAGTATATTTGTGCTGTAGTCATGGTGACCCCTGGTTCCTATCACCACCACTGTTAAGAAATCTGAGTCAGTAAGTTTCTCTACATTGAACCGTTTCACCACTTTGAATTACTCAGCAAATGAATACTGAAGAAATGTTGAACAATTGGTGGAATTTTTTTTTATAATAGAAGTCAATGGGCAGCTGATTAATTATAGACATCAATGGTCAGTTGTTTTATAATAGAAGACTGGGCAGCTGATTAATAACAGAAGTCAATAGGCAGCTGATTAATAATCAACTTCAGTGGTCAGTTGTTTTATAATAGAAGTCAGCAGGCAGCTAATTAATAATAGAAGTCAAGGGGCAGTTGATTTATAAAAGAGGTCAGTGGGCAGCTGATTAATAACAAAGGTCAATAGGCAGCTGATTAATAGTAGAAGTCAACTGTCACTTGCATTATAATAGAGGTCAGTGAGCAGCTGGTTCATAACAGAAGTCAGTGGTCAGTTGCTTTATAGTATAAGTCAGTGGGCAGCTGATTAATAATAGAAGTCAATAGTCATGTGATTTATAATAGAGGTCAGTGGGCAGCTGATTAATAACAGAGGTCAATAGGCAGCTGATTAATAATAGAAGTCAATGGTCAGTTGCTTTATAATATAAGTCAGTGAGCAGCTGATTAATAATAGAAGTCAATGGGCGGTTGTTTTATAATAAAAGTCAGCGGGCAGCTGATTAATAATAGAAGTCAATGGGAAGTTGATTTATAATAGAAGTCAGTGGGCACTCCCTTAATCTGCCCATTGGTTTCTAATACAAGTGTGCTTTGAGTAAAAACGATTATTCATGCTAATCGAGTGTATGTTACAGATGTGGCGCACTCCTTTCAGAACATTACATACGTGTCACTTTTAAATGTGTAATTTGGCAAAAAAGTACACAATTTTCCTTTTACCCCTAGATGTATCCGATCAGCAGAGACATGTTTGGTGGTTAGACAATGCGGGTGTCTGTGAAAGGGAGGCGGAATTCAGCACCCATGCTGTTTAACCACCAACATGTCTCGGCTGATCTACTGCATCTGGGGTAAGAGGAAGATTATGCAAATTTGCTTTTTTTCCAAACCATCCCTTTAACACAACCAGAGTGTAGTTTTCTGCCTTTTTTCACAAACAGCGATAACACAAAGAGAACGTTTTTAATTATCAAATTATTTTTGGGAACGTGAACCGTCTTCCCCGGCCCAGCCTCGGAGACGGGGGGCATTCTCTCAGGCTGAATCTGGGGGTCAGTCTAGGTGTTTTGGGCTGTGGCAGTGGCTCCAGTGGAACAGCCACTTTTACAGTATTCTTTCCATACAGTTTCCTCTCGTAGTCCAGAAGCTGGTCCCAGAAGCCTGCGTTGAGACGGATGCAGGGTCGGCTCCTCTGGACCCAGCTGTGCGCCTGCTGGAGGGTCACTCCTTTATATTTCATGAGGTAGGCCATTATCAGAGCGGGCGAGCGGCTCATGCCAGCTGCACAGTGGACCAAAGTCCCACCAGCCCGGTTGTTATGGATACGGGTAGCCACCCTGTCGAAGTGTTCACTCAGCCGGGCGCTGGGCAGGTCGGAAACGGCCACGCGGATGCACTCCACGCCGGGGTACCTTGGGCAGGTGTGTGACAGGGTGGCGTTAACGATGAGGGTGATGCCTTTACGGCTCACCAGGGTCTGGTTCAGCGGAGCATCAGCACCACTCAGGAAAAGAGTCGGGGTGATCTGGGACATAGACATGGAGGCTGTAGAGAACAACAGTGCAGTCAACACACTGAGATATTAGACATGTTCTGAACAAACATGCACTGCCAGAGTTCCCAGACGCAGATTAAGCCTAGACTAAATACTCAAATACTGGACTCAGAATGGTCCCTTAATCACTTCTCCGTAAACTGGAGCACTCAATAGAACACTGTTATATTTCTTACATCAGAAAATCAAGAGTGCTGTACAGAACACCTCTAATCACTATCATAGGGAACAGAAATGGTCCCTAATCACTATTATAGGGAACAGAAATGGTCTCTAATGACTATTACCGGGAACAGAAATTGTTCCTAATCAACATGAAAGGGAACAGAAATGGTCCATAATCAATATCATAGGGAACAGAAATGGCCCCTAATCAACATGAAAGGGAACAGAATTCGTCCCTAATCAACATGAAAGGGAACAGAAATGGTCCATAATTAATATCATAGGGAATGGAGATGGTCCCTTATTACTATTATAGGGAACAGAAATGGTCCTTAATCACGATTATAGGGAACAGACATGGTCCCTAAACACTATTAAAGAGAACAGAAATGGTCCCTAATCAACCTGATAGGTAACAGAAATGATCCATAATCAATATCACAGGGAACGGAAACGGTCAGAGGGAACAGAAGAGGCTCAGAGACCCTTTCTGATATCGCAGTTCACTTGTAAATGTGCACAGTGGCGTGTAGGGTTTAGGGAGTAGGGATAAGACAAAAGTAGGGACAGTAGTGACACAAACAGTGTTCACATTGTTAACATAGAGATTACACAGTCTGTGTGTGTATAGTAGTAGTGGTAACACAACAGACATGTAAATTTACTATGTTTAAGGCATTACTTCTCTCTCAGAGCACTGCTAGACTTTGAAAACAAAGGCAAATCACTACTTATCAACATACTACTGTAGGCCATTACCTCCATTCCTTCCTTAAACATGGATAATATATAAGTTCACTTTAAAGTCCACTTCATATTCACATTCTAATAGTAGATTGGTTACAGTGATTTATTGCCACAAGTCTTTAACATTTCCTGAGCTGTAAAGCTTCATTTTTATTTTCGCGTAATAATCCCTTGTGAACTCCACTGACCTGGTCCCTTGGAGTGGTCTCTCTGTCCCTCTGTCTCTCTCTCATGAGTGTGCTTCCTCTGTTGAAGGAAACTCCCTGTTGGCACACTCAAACCATAAAAAGGCTTGGGGAGCTTCTGACCAATGGAGAGAGAGGTTAATTTTAGACTGGCTCAGCAGCTGTGAACTGTCCTATAGAAATATCTCTGTCGCCTTACATCACTCAGATCTGTTAGTTTACTCAAGCAAACTACTCTGCATGTCCAGACATCTCAATCAAACACAGCCACAGGGTTGGGCATAACCTAGCTATCACAGAACACAGCCCTTCAGAAGTTACAATTCAGATTGTGGTGGTCATTTGTATGTGTATAAACATACATAGAGAGAGTTTTCAGTCAAAACGTATGTATATATACATACACACACACACACACACACACACACACACACACACACATATATATATATATATATATATATATATATATGTCTGATATAAACACAAAGGCTTTTTAAAGCAAAAATTGATACAAAATAATCTCATATTATTTAACAGGAAGTTAAGAGTAATATGTGTCATTCATATATAAATAATGTTTTCTATCATATATTTTTAAATATGTGTTACATGTATATGTTTGTACAAGTTGATATATGACTGAAATATGTTTCCCATATTTGAAAAAGATATGACCAGTTATGCAAGTGTTTGGATTTATTTATTGAAGTCTGAATAAATTGTACCTAGTGTCTAAAGGCCTTTAAAAATAAGGGTTAATGACATAGAATAAAGGGAGTATGTCATAGGGAATAGTGCATAGGGTATAGTGCATTGGGAATAGTGCATAGGGAATAGTGCATTGGGAATAGTGCATAGGGAATAGTGCATAGGGAATAGTGCATAGGGTATAGTGCATAGGGTATAGTGCATTGCATAGGGAATAGTGCATTGCATAGGGTATAGTGCATAGGGAATAGTGCATAGAGTATAGGGTATAGTGCATTGCATAGGGTATAGGGCATAGGGAATAGTGCATAGGGAATAGTGCATTGCATAGGGGTATAGTGCATAGGGAATAGTGCATAGGGTATAGTGTATAGGGAATAATGCATAGGGTATAGTGCATTGCATAGGGTATAGTGCGTAGAGAATAGCGCTTAGGGTGTAGTGTATAGGGAATAGTGCATAGGGTATAGTGTATAGGGAATAATGCATAGGGTATAGTGCATTGCATAGGGTATAGTGCATGGGGAATAGTGCATAGAGAATAGTGCATAGGGAATAGTGCATAGGGTATAGTGCATTGCATAGAGAATAGTGCATAGGGAATAGTGCATAGGGAATAGTGCATAGGGAATAATGCATAGGGTAGTAGGGCTGGTGCGTGAGATTTGAACGCGCCCATTCCTGCGCCAGTCGCGTTTTTATGTCGTGTGCCTGCCTTGTTGCACTACAACAACAAAGCTACCAACACAGCACAGCCATGGCCGAGTTAAACCGACAGCTACAGGAATATTTGGCGCAGTCCAAAAGCGGCGCCAAGACCATCTCACAGTCCAGCTCCAGCACGGCCATTAACATCGATGAGGAACCCGCCGCAGTCCCGGGGAGCTGGTTCGGCAGGTGGTCGAGTCCCTTTCCCGGACTGAGCAGCCGCGGAGCTCCGGCAGGCCCGGCGCAGAGCAGCGGCTTTTCCTGGCCGTGGTCCGCGGAGCCGGATCCATGTCTGCCGTCCATGAGTCGCTCTCAGCGGCTGGTAGCTTTCGGTACGTGCGTGTTGTTCTCAGCCATATGTTTCGGACTGTCGGCTCTCTACGCCCCTCTGCTCTTGCTGAAGGCTCGGAAGTTCGCCCTCCTCTGGTCCCTCGGCTCTTTATTCGCCCTCCTGGCCGCCGCGGTGCTCCGGGGGCCGAGCAAACTCCTGGGCAGCCCGAGCCCCGGAACCGCGGTGTATCTCTGCGCGCTGGGCGGGACCCTGTACGCGGCGATGGGGCTCCACAGCACGGTGCTCACCGCGCTGGGGGCCTTGGTTCAAATCGGCGCAATCGTGGGCCAAGTGGTGGCGCTGCTGCCGGGAGGGAGCGCTGGAATGCGGTTTGTTGGAGGCTTGGCAGCCTCGGCCATCAAAAGAACCGTGACTGGCAAAACTATGCCGATTTGAGCCCCGGTTTGGGGAGAATGGACAGGACTGGACTACACTGACTCTGTGGACTGATACACTGATCTGGGGTTATTAAACAAAGCAGATTTTTTCAGTGAAGCTGGATCAATCAAACGTGAGAATTGTCCTATTTAGTAATTACAACAGCCTTCACTACTTCTGTTAAACAGGCTTGACTTCGGGCTTAAGTTATCTGGCTAACTGAGAGGAGACACCTCTGTGAAGGACTCACATTTTGAGAGGTTTCACAAATCATGATTTGACAGTAAAGCTGAATGACTTTTGCCAAAAGTGAGTGTGCAATAGGAATGGCCTTTATTGATCAGGCTTGACCTTGGGCTTAAGTTATCTGGCTAAATGAGAACTTCCGTGAAATACTCAACTAGGGAGAGTTTCTCAAACCATGATTTCTCATTAAAGATGGCCAAGATAAGCCAAAACTGAAGACTGTCCAATAGGAGTGACCTTTGGCTCAAGTTATCTGGCTAACTAAGAGAATCCCCCTCTGTGAAACACTGGAGGGAGTTTCAGAAAGCAAGATTTCTTGTTAAGATGGTCAGCATAAGCCAGAAATGAGTACTGCCCAATAGGAATGATCTTGTATTGGTCAGGCTTTGGGCTTAAGTTATCTGGCTAACTAAGAGAATCCACTTTGGTGAAATACTGAACTAGAAGGAGTTTCAGAAAGCATCTTGTTAAGATGGTCAGCCAAAAGTGAGGACTGTTCAACAGAGGTCAGGCTTTACTTTGGGCCCAAGTTAACTGGCTAGTTAAGAGAACCCACCTCTGAAACACTCACAAAACAGGATTTCTCAGTAAAGCTGGAGAACCCAACCCTGAGTAAGGACTGTTCAATAGATACAACCTTTGCTTTATTGGTCATGCTTGACTTTGGGCTGAAGTTGTGTGGCTAACTGAGAGAATCACTTCTGTGAACTATGCTCTTAGGGCGTAGAGATGGCCAGCATAAGCCAAAAGTCAGGATTGTCCAAGAGGAATGGCCTGTTATTGGTCAGGCTTGACTTTGGGCTTAAGTTAACTGACTAACTGAGAAAATCTGTGAAAAACACACCACATTTTTACTCCTGTTTGCAGTTACCAGTAGACATACTGTAATTCTGGAACAGTGTTATGCTGCACTAATCTGGATTAATGGGATTAATTCAGATTTTTCTTCACTGTGAAAAGTTAAATAGGACCAAGGTCAAGGCAAAAGACTTTGATGTTCATCTGAGTGTGACCATGTTCACTTCAAGCACACACAACAGATTTTTACCTTTGTAAATAAACATGGACTGTAATGTATTCATTCCTGACTGTTCGGCTAAATCACCATGTTGTTGCACAGAGCTTTATTCCACAGACTACAGCACTGGAGCTGGAAAACACTGACATAGGCCTCACTCAGATTTGGTTAGTTTATGAGGGGGGCGTCTATAATTGACACATCTCAGTGATAAAACTTCCACATTCGGACAGTAGTTATTAGGGCTGAACGATTTGTGGAAAATATCTAATTGTGATTTCTCTGATTAAAACTGCAACTGCAATGAAAATAGCGATTTTTATTTATTTATTGTTTTTAAATTGAGATTCAGGCCTGATTTATTTTGGCCAAGAGGACCAGAACATCCACCTTTTTTGGCCTGAGGCTCGACCCCTAAACATAGTGTGTCAAACTGCCAGTAAGTTGTGGTTGTGATGTCACAACACATGGAGGTTTGGTTGCCTCTGATTGGTCTAACTCATCTATAGGCATTTCACAAACTCTTATTAGGCTCCGTTTCCCCTCTTAAAACTTATAACAACGTTTTGGCTAATGTACACACTTAATAAAGATGGTTCTTCAAGGGTTCTTTAGTAAAGACAGTGGTTCTATGTAGAACCATAAGGACTCAGCAATCCATTCGCATGGATAAAAAGTTCTCTGCATGGTGAAATGGTTCTTCAGATTGATGGAGAATGTGTTATGTGGTTCTATGTAGAACCTTTTTGAAAAGAGTTCTCTGTAGGACCAAAATGTTCTTCTATTGTTATAAGCTTGACATCAACAAGCAACAAAATAACAATACCAGAGCCCTTTTTGATGCTAGACAGAACCGCATACAACACATTCTCCAATCTGAAGAACCATTTCACCATGCAAAGAACTTCTTAAGCAGGCAATGGGTCTGAGTGTTCATGCTACTATAAAGAATGACTGTCTTTACTAAAGAACCATTTATTAAATACCTTTGAAGAACTATATTTTTAAGAGTGTAGACTGTAATTAAAGAAAATGGCAGCTATTGTGATTTGAAAATTGCACCGCTTTAAATTGTGATTTTGATATAAAAACGATTCATCTTTCAGCCCTAGTAGTTATATTACTGCAGGTTTCTAGTGGGTTCTACAAATTCAGATGTGTATGGATGACGTGGTCATATGATAGTAGCCACCACTGGGTCTTGGTTTTCTGATTGACTTCATTTTCTTTCTCCTCCTGCTGATGGTCTCATAGTGCAGAGTGGATGGAGATGAAGTTCCACCTCCCAAACCAAGTAAATGATTGAGAGACTCTGGAACTGGGAGGCGTTTAACATGGATATGCACTACAGGGTTACAAATAAAGGTTCTGTTCAGGTACATTTTTCGTTCATCAAGGTACAAACAATGTAAATGTTCCCTCAAAGGTACAACAGTGGTTTTAAGGTCCAATTCTGTACCTAAAATAAGTTCGTATTTGTACCTTTTCATAACCTAACATTTGAAATCAACAATAAAATAAAAGCCTGGAGACGAGACGGGGTGTGTGGAGTCAATACAACTTAGAAAATATCATTTCTTTGGATTATGGTACAGATATGTTCCCTGACTAAAGGTACTGAGATGTACCCTTGAGGGTCCCACCCCAGTGACGAGGGGGACTGCCCCAGTGACATTTGTGTACCTTTTTTTCTGAGAGTGTAGGAGAATACAGTGGATAGTAAAAACGCCAGTCTGTCTGGAAAATCATGGAGATGTCTATCCAGACCGGACTAACATTATCAGACGACTGCTGAGTTTGGTGAAAAACAGCAGGCCAGTAATTAGGAGGGAGAAAAACACCAACATGTCTGATCTGGATGGAAATAAAATGGCAGGTTAGCACATTAAAAAGAGTAAATTACCTCAGGACCCCATGTAAATTCCATCCGAATAGGGCTAGAGACGCTGCAGAGCTCGGGATTTATAGTGATTGCATGTAAAGAAAGGAACACTCAGTTTTTCAACCTAATCTGTCTACCATTATCTGTAACATGAGGTCGATTATGTTCGACCTGTAGAAATAAACACACACACACTGACTCAAAATGCCTTTACAGTAGGAGGCAAAGTAAAGGTGCTTTGGGTTTTTAGTTCTTTACCAAGTGCAGGAAAATGCATTTAAATTATCAGTGGTAACTGACCGTATGCCAGATACAGCAGGTAGAGATTAGAGACACAGGTTACTGTATTAGATGAGAATTTCAGGACTTTTTCTAAAGTTCTGCATAAATAATTGAGACAGTCATTCAGAGGGAGTTAATATGAAATGGTTCATTGTAGAGAAACTTAGTCTCAGATTTCTTTACAGTGGTGGTGATAGGAACCAGGAGTCACAATGACTACAACACAAATATAGACATTTTATTTACTATCCAAAACCACCAGTGAACCTTCACGAGTCTTTTTTTTAATATAATGTTGATGGTGAAATAGTAATAAAAAATAATACATTTCTTTTGGGACTATTTAGTCTTATAAACCATGCATATGCCTCATGAACAGATATGTTTTAGGCCAAAACCTTATCAAAACTAGTATCATGCAGCATATTCATAACCATTTAATCTACTAACTCTCTGTGAGGGAGGTTTTAGAGGCATTAAACTCCTTCTGATAAAATGGTACAGCAGTCACTTTCTGGTACCCGAGGCTGCACCATTTAAGGTGGAACGGGAAAACAACATGAGTGTGGATCGCTGCGTTCCCTCCGTTATATAATCCTATACTGCTTTCTGAATGCAATATTCTTGAAATAGTTTAATTCTGGACAGTATCTTTCTTAAACTGCCGCTCTGTAACTGTACTGAATGCAGTCCAGCAGCAATGTTGACCGCCCTAGAAAGGCGGTGCCGTTGACGTGCCTGGCTGGACCCAACGCGGCATCTAGGGATGTATATCTATGGTTTAAGACCATTTCTTGTTAAGACTGTGTTGAACGATCAGCAGAGCTTCAAGCTGCTTCAGATCTGAAAACATCCACAGGTGTTTCTGTCCATCTTTCCACTGTGAGAAGACGACTCAGCGCTGTGGGTCTGAAAGGATGTGTAGCTGTCAAGAAGAACCTCACTGAGAAAAGGAGACGGACACATCGAACAAAGAAGCTGAACAACGGACTGACCACCCCAGAGTGCAGACCTCAACATCACTGAGTGTGTTTGGATTTACTTGGATCTTAAGAAGCAGAAAATGTGGATAAACATCCCTGCAGATTTCTTTGAAAACCTGAAAGTGAGTCAGCAGAAAATGAAAGCTGTGATAAAGAGTGGACACAGTAAATACTAAAAAAATGTGATACATTTAGTTGTTGAGGCTTCTGTGTAATTTTCTGCCAAATATATTTGCTATATATATTTCCCTTCCCAAAGCTGAAAAACGAATAACGTATACTTAACGTCCGTTTTGGCTGGAAATTAATAAATGAAGGATGGTGCACAGTACTGTATTTTGAATATTCGTATCAGGATATCAGAGCATTCCTTGTAATAAAGCCAAATGTCTGTGTTAATTGTGAAACTGGACTTTGAGGTAACTAGAATTAGATGACTCGAAGGAGTACTCTGGGCAGATTATTTAATATAGATGTAATAGCAGCAACTAAAGGATCAACTTCTCAACTCAAATGTTCCCAATATTGTAATGTAAACTCTTCTTCAGACTGTAAAACAGATTTGGGGTGAACTGTTTGAAACCAAAGAAATGACAAAACTGATGCTTTGTTATAAATCTTGCACAACTTCTATTGTAGTCTCATACAAAAACAGACAAAACAATGAATCTTTTGACAAAATGTACACAAAGTAGGCAGCCTCGTGACGCAGGAGATGCCCCGTAAATGTTACAGAATTATTTTCATTATTTTACATAAAATGAAATTAAACAAGAGGAGCTCAGCATGTGGAGAACTAAATGTTTTAAAAGTCCAGTTTTCATTTATTTCAGTCACTGGTTTGGAAAATGGGAGTTTTAAAGGTGAGGGCTTCAGCAGTGCACACTGTCAGAGTGCTCCTTAAAGCTTAGATGGGAGATGGGTAGCAGAGCAAAACATGGCTGCATTAGCTTGGAGTCTGGCTGTATGGTGCACTGGAGGGATATTTTGGGGAGAGACTATTTGACGGCCCCAAAAGGAATACAATCCATGCGCAACAGGTCAATCAGTGATGCACATAAAGTGTCCAAGATCAAATTCATCCAGTCAGCTTGTGCGAGAACTGCTGAAAGAAGCCTTAGCTTACGGGCCTCAACCAATGAAATGTTCCCATTACCGTCTGCGCAACCAATCGGCACAAAGAGGCTGAGTCACAACAGCCTCTGGACAAATTGGACAAGGAGGATCCAAACTGCCGTAAAGGAGTTCCACATGGTGCCGAGACGTTCACGTAAACCCACTGAAAAGCCAGAGCTGCTAGAGTGGCTGCATGTGGCTCTTTTGGTCTCCGTCCTCGTTGTAACCCACAGTATCCCCTATAGTCCTTGGAAGGCGGGGGGAACGTGTAACTTCTCCTACCGACCCCGGCCCCCTCTCAGTGCACCGCGAGCCCCCCCGCGCCTTGTGTTTGGACCTGGGTTGCCACCTGGACCTCCTGCGTTAGGGGGCCCACCACGACCCCACCCACCTCTACCCCCCCTCGATGGAGGGCCATAACCACCATCCTCTCGTGGTGGCCGACCTGGGGGAAAAGAGAGAGAGAGAGAGAGAGAGAAGAGTGCAAAGACATTATTCACTGTTTAAGATTGAGATGTTGCTACATGTTCAAAACATGTTAATTTATAAATAATTAGCATACAAATATGTAAACAAGTCACTGTCATACTGTTAACAAAAACACAATGTTTAATATTCATTTAATGTGTGCCCATACCGGATCATCTGGTTGATTTAGTGATTTATCTCGGTAGCCTATGAGAGTCACTTACACTGCACACCTCTGTTATTCTTCTGCTTAACATGAGGTGCATCATAAACTCGTGTTGACACTCTCAGTTTTGTCACACATGCAACTTCTCTCAAACTTACAGAACACAATTTATTTCATTTTTTGTTTTTATGTGAAACTACTAGGCTGTGTCAACATGCATTTTTCGGTGATCGGATTACGTTCGGATTTCAGTTGAGCGCATGAAAAGCCAGGTGTAAACACCCCCAGGACGCGCTGTGAGCAGATTACGATCGTATCACTCGAACCATTCGAAGGTGGTCCGGGACCGATCTTGACCACATTTAACACAAATGTAAACTGAATGCTTTTTTCTATATTCGCATACAGTTATGAATCCCCAGACCAAGAGCCTTCTTGCACTGTCGGGCTATGAAAGCATCCAAGCTTATTGATTTGGACTGCAGGTGAGAAAATGTTTACAGAGGTTTACCAGACGTACAGTTGTATGCAAAAAACGCCCCTTGTCAAATGGAATGCCACTGCTATACTAAAAAGCACCAGGGCTGTCACTATCGATTATATAGGTGTAGTTTAATAATCTACTGTTTATTTTGATGATTAATCAAGTGATCAATAAACATGGGTTTAACTCAACAATGAGTGTGTTTACATGCACTTAATAATCCGATAACTGCAGAAAATCAGATTGTCAGAAATCTGATCAATGTGTTTACATGTACTTGAGTGATCAGATAACGGGGAAACTCCGGGTCTACATGAGTCAGACAGTAATCGGATTTCTGCTTCGCAACCAGCCACGAAACTCACAGAAGACGACGGGATGTAAACGTAACATAAAACTCAAACTTCATGTCAACTTTTTTTTAAACATTGCGCCACTTTATCTGAAAATATGAACATACATCATCTAGAAGATGAAGAATATTTAAATCCTTTATTTTGTGTTTGGTTTCAGCGCTGCTTCAAAAATGTTTTGCTGCGTCACGCGACATCCACCGTCTGTTCTCACGCATGCGCATACTGAGAAATCCGGATAGAATAGAAAGCGGAGTAAGAGTTTACATGCACTGAGAAATCTGATTACTGAGCTAAAATCCAGCCTCTTTATCAGATTTCTAAATAGGATTTCTAGATTGGAGTGTGGTGTTTACATGACCATTTGAATAATCATTTTGCAAAAATCGGATTAATCCGCGGGCCAAGTCAGTCTAGTAGAAAGATCCAGGCAAGAAATCAAATACATTTTAGTATCTGTTTATGTTGAAATTCAAATAACCATAATCAAAACTGTATGTATAGAATCCCTCCTTCAGTTTGTTAAACAGCTCTGCAAACTTCTAGAACCTGTAATAAAGCAACGCAACAGAGAGAGACATTTAACATCCGTCTCACCTGCTCCTCGGTCATCAGGTCCACCGCCGGGTGAGTCCATGTCTCCAGTGCCTGGCCCGTCATGCCAGGGCCGTTTGCGAGGAGGCAGTGAGGCCATATCCATCCCCTGCAAAGAAGAGGAGCGCTCCCTGCTGGCTGGAGACTGACCGTCATGCATGGAGTGGTCACCTCGCTGGCTGTCCCAATGGCCGTCATGACCTGCAGGCACAAGTTTAACTCGGGGTCAGTACAACAGAGCTTGACTTTTCAGCCTGGACAAACAAAGCACAACAGTGACCAACCACAAGCTGCACTATTTCCCCAGTGGTCGAGGACAGGGATGCACCGGATACAGGATTTGTAGGCCGATAATAACAACAACCGACGGTTAACATCTTGTTGTGGATGAGAATGATACCGCACTGGAGTGCAGTGAAGTCCAGTGAGTAAAAGACAAGTTAAAACTCTCAACATGGATCGTTGATTAATTTTACACAGCCATGACATACACAGCAAAATCTGACACGATTACTGTAGAAGATTTACATATTTAGGAGACGCTTTTATCCAGGCTGACTTACAGTAGTAGACAAATGTAGAGTTAGGGTCCTGCCCGAATACTCTTATAGATATATTAATAATGTGTGTATGTACAATTCTTTAGGGCTGTCACAGCTGCTCGATGATAATCAGGATTTCTGCATGTCATAATAAAGCTTAGCAGACTGTCCACAAGGGGGAGCTATGAGCACTCAAGTTGCTTTTGTGAGCATCAATTGGAAAAGATGAAACCCACACCAGCAGGAACATAATGCACGTTTGTAATTACAAATTGTATGGAGGCCTGCTGGTGACATGCCATATAAATAAAAATAATGCATGGCCATGACTTAGTAAGGAGTGGGAACAAGATCCTGATGCGTGGTCATGACTTAGTAAGGTGTGGGAACAAGATCCTAACTAAGCCTTACTAAGCTGTGGCCACGCATTAGGATCTCGCTCCCACACATTATTTGTATTTATACAGGATGTCACCAGCAGGGCTCCGTAAAATTGCATGTGTTTGAAGCAAAATTAAATTCTTATAAACTGCACGTATAACAAAGCATAGGCCAAACGGCTCAGCAGATAAGCTTTGTTCCCAGTAGAGGATGTGTAACTTATTTGCACTTAAAAATAAATAAATAAATAATAAAAAAACAAACAAACAAACAAACAAACAAAATTCAGTAGATTATTAAACTACACATATGTAATCGACAGTGACAGCCCTAATACTTTTATTAGTATAGCAGTGGCATTCCTGCTTGGATGGAGAATCACACCTTTGATTTTCCATGTGTTATCTACTCTTCTATCAATTTCATTGCCCACCATTAAAGATTATATTTAGAAACGTGGGTTGCCAGTTATTGACTGTAAATATGAACAGTATTTTGAATACTGGTCCACTACAGCTTCAATTTCCTCATTTATATAAGAAAGGGGACAAAGGCTTCAGCTCTGGTGGTGTCAGAACACTATCTGTCTACACTTTCACAGAATCAACACCCACCCACCCCTCCCTGCCTTTTCTCTGTTTTTCTACCTGGGTCTCGCCCTCCCTCCCAACCCTCTTGGTTTCTTCCTCCTTCGTAGTGAGGGCCATAATCATCAGGAGTTGGCAGAAGCCCCTTTCTTCCTACACCACCTAAGAGAGATGACATGTTCAAACATGGCACCTCATACTGAATGGATGGACGCTTGCTATGCGGCTACCAGGATGATGTGAATGAGTCTGACCTCCTCGTGGTGGTCCTCCACGCCTCCCTCGTCCTCCTCCTCCTCCGTTTCCCCAGCCTTGGCCCATCTCATCCTGAGAATCAAAGCTTTCATCTCCTCCATACTCCTCTTGGTAGCCTCCTCTACCTCCGCGACCGCTTGGACCTCCTCTCCTGTAACTACAGGAATTTGACCCACATCAATCCTCAACCTCCGCAGCTTATTTTGGAGTAGGTGCGCTAAGGTTTTACTGCTTTTTCTGCCAAACTTTCCATGTACACTGATCCAGACAGCAGTCTTTAATATTGATATTTTGCAGTATACATGACTCTTTTGCATGGGTAACACCTTTCTATAGTAAATCGCTCTCCTTTATTTATTTATTTTAATTGTTCTTTAAAAACCCTCTGCACTTAACATGTGTTACATTTTTGTTTACTTGCTTAAAAACAATGCTCATTTCTCAAGTTCTACATTTAACTACAGCATCACTTTGCATCAGTGTGACTTGTAATCTTTGCACATTTTGTAAATCGGCCTCAGTAACAGCATCCACTTATAAATATACACGTCGTACTTACGAGTCATCTGGTGGCCGCCTCTGCCTCTGGTCAAACTCCTCCCCTGGACCCTCATACCCATCATATCTGCAAGGAAACCCAAGTCAGAATTTGAACACATTTCTCTCTGTACTTATATCTAAACACTGACAGGCACCATGTACCATAGCCTTTGCTGGAACCGACTAACAGCAATCGCACCCAGTCATTTTGAGGCACAGGAACATTGAGTAAAGCGCACCTGTCGTGTCCACCGTATTCCCCATCATGTGAAGAGAACCGTTCCTGGTTTTCCCACTGTCCTCCTGAGCCTCCACGGTGGCCCCTGGGGTCCCCATGGTAGTCCTGTCCTGGCCCACCAGGCCCTCTCCTCCAGTTCTCCTGGAAGCCACCCTCCTCACCCCAATACTGGCTGCCTCCGTCCGAGCCTTGGCCCTGTCCGCCTGGGCCCCCAGGGCCCTGTCGGTCAGGAGGAGGTCCCATGTGGTGGTTCGGTGGTCCTCGAGGCCCATCTTAATAATGAAACAGAAAAAAAAATAAAAAAATGGATAAGACGAAGATAAATACATCAGATTTTTATATTTCAGACAATTTTACATACTAACGCAAAAAGGTTCCATTAGGCCTGGATAATAAAACACTAACATTAAACCAAATTGAGATATTTTCACTAAACTAATGTCATTAATGTTCCTCAATCAGTTATAAACAGCAGTCTTGCACTTTGAGCAACTGCGAATTTAGTACACTAGGTTTGCTCACTAGACAGACAGGAGGTAGTCTAGTTATTTACTAATAACAAACTAGAACAACGATGAAAATTAGTCTTTTCATAGTTATACTTTCATGGCAATTTTATTTTAAATATCACACCAGAATAAGCTTTTAATTTCCAAAATATTTTTCAGATCTACAGTTGGCTTAAGAAATATAATCATTATAAATAAATAACATGGAAAAGATTTTTGGACATATTGCCCAGCCATAGGTTCCACAGACTTCAGTTATTTTGTGCTGGTGGTCTATTACACATGTGGTCACTTAGCCTTACCTTTGCCTCCAGGACCTTGTTGGCCCATTCCATGCATCATCGACTGAGGGCCGGAATTCTGTCCCTAAAAGACATTCACAAAGATTCACATCAAGACTGTTTAATCCTCTAAACAGACTCAAAGTATACAATCACTGAACTGACCGCATGTACTATTTTAAATGGTCATAAATTTGTTTATATACCGATCAGGCATAACATTATGACCACCTCCTTGTTTTTATGCTCATTGTCCATTTTATCAGCTCCACTTACTATATAGGTGCACTTTGTAGTTCTACAGTTACAGACTGTAGTCCATCTGTTTCTCTGCATACTTTGTTAGCCCCCTTTTACCCTGTTCTTCAGTGGTCAGGACCCCCATGGACCCTCACAGAGCAGGTACTATTTGGGTGGTGGATCATTCTCAGCACTGCAGTAACACTGACGTGGTGGTGGTGTGTTAGTGTGTGTTGTGCTAGCCTGAGTGGATCAGACACAGCAGTGCTGCTGGAGTTTTTAAAACACTGTGTCCACTCACTGTCCACTCTATTAGACACTCCTACCTTGTCAGTCCACCTTGTAGATGTAAAGTCAGAGACGATAGCTCATCTGCTGCTGCACAGTTTGTGTTGGTCATCGTCTAGTCCTTCATCAGTGGTCACAGGACGCTGCCCACAGGACACTGTTGGCTGGATATTTTTGGTTGGTGGACTATTCTCAGTCCAGCAGCGACACTGAGGTGTTTAAAAACTCCAGCAGCACTGCTGTGTCTGATCCACTCAGACCAGCGCAACACACAATAACACACCACCACCACGTCAGTGTTACTGCAATGCTGAGAATGATCCACCACCCAAATAGTACCTGCTCTGTGAGGGTCCATGGGGGTCCTGACCACTGAAGAACAGGGTAAAAGGGGGCTAACAAAGTATGCAGAGAAACAGATGGACTACAGTCTGTAACTGTAGAACTACAAAGTGCACCTATATAGTAAGTGGAGCTGATAAAATGGACAACGAGCGTAGAAACAAGGAGGTGGTCGTAATGTTATGCCTGATCAGTGTATATTGATGAGGCCCCATTTCTCTTCCCTCATCACCTGATTGAATTGTCCTCTGTTTCCATCAGCCATGTGCGGCGGCTTGCCCTGCTGCATATATGGAGGAGGACCCTGCATGTTGCCCGGAGGACCTTGCATGTTACCCGGGGGCCCTTGCATATTGTTTGGGGGCCCATGCATTCCTCCAGGAGGAGGTCCCATTCCATGCATGTTCCCCATGCCGGGCATATTGCCATGAGTTCTGGGTGGAGGTCCCATCATGCCTCCTTGCATGGGCGCCTGAGGGCCCATCATATTACCATGGGGTGCAGGCCCCCGCATGTCCTGATGCATCATGCCTCCCTGCGGTGGTCCTTGGCCCCGTGGTGGTGGTCCCATCATGCCACCTGCAGGACCCCCGGGCCCTTGGGGCATCCCACCTGGAGGAGGTCCCTGCATACCCCTCGGTCCTGGTGGCATACCATGAGGGGCTTGGGGACCCATGTTTCTGTGAGGTCCTGGATGACGTGGGGGTCCGTGTAAGTCATGGGGGCCCATCATGCCCTGTGGAGGACCTTGATGAGGTGGAGGCCCTGGAGGACCCATCTGGCCTGGAGGAATGAAGGGACCAGGCATTCCACCCGGACCCATCGGAGGCATGTTGTGGGGAGGCATCTGCTCAGGTGGCACGGACTGAGGGAAGCCTTGTGGAGGGGGTGGCATAGGACCACCCTGGCCAGGGAATGGGGGCATGGCTCCTGGCTGGCTTGCAGGAGGCGGAATGCCCTGCTCTTGGAGCTGCGCCATTCGCTCAATCTTTAGTTGCTGAAGGAACATAAACAAATGAATAATCAAATAAACAAATAAATAAATAAACAAACTAGGAGCATAAATTTATTTCAAGAATATACTAAATACATAAATGTGACTGGACATACTATTTACACATCAGTGGAATATGACCAATAAAATCACTAAGCATTTTTGTATGTTTGCATTTGAAAACAGGTAATTTTATTTTGGCTAAAATGTGTGCACACCTTATTATTACATCGATTATAATTAAAAATCGACACAGTTGAATTGCCATATTCAAATCCATGCCTCGGTTGCATTTTACACCCTGTACTACCTGGCACTTGTTTATCTTTTCTGAAAGAGAGAGTAGAATGAGAGCAGCATGGCTGTGCTTGTACTGACCTCCAGCAGCATGGGGTTCGTATACTGCAGCGCAGCCATCTCTTGCTCTATTTCAGCCTGAGTCTTCTTCTTGCCGTCCACCTTCTCATCCTTCCTCTCTTTGGGTATCTCACCAGGAGCTATAGCTGGTACCTTGTTCTCTGCCCACGCCTAAAGAGCAAAACAATAGGGATGGAGAAAACATTACATACCACTAAAAATGTCTACTGAAGTCAAGTTCTAAACATTGTGTGCTTGCATGTTTTACACCATCATAACTGCTCAATATAAACATCTGAAACTGGGATAGGTTTGCTGAAAACTGATTTTCTTTACTACACTCTGGCTAGCTGAGCCTGTCTTACCTGTTGAAACTGTGCAGGAATAGGTTTTGCATAGGGAACTTTCTTCGTTGGAGGTTTCTTCTGGTCTTTTTGCATGACCTCATCCATTCCCCAGTCAAGCCCTGGGATGCTCATCTCTGCCTCTGGTGCAGCCTCTTTATCTGGTGATCACACAGCCCACATATCAGTCTCCACTTCATCAAAGGAAAAATCACAGCTATGAAAATGCTTGTAGTGTGCAAACAATAAACAATAAAGAATTTGTCCACAAGAATTAAACCGCTCCTGAAAAATTTATGGCGGAGCATTTTCAATAACTATACTCCAAGCTCTATGAGATTTTTATATTAGGTTTTTACTGTACCGATCAAGCAGTTCTATAAAGTTAATTATTGTTTTAACATTCAAATTAAACAGGGTATAATATTAAATTAGTGTTCTGTGTCTGTCTGGTCCTCACTCGTTTGTTCCTGCTCCATGGCTGCTTTCAGCTGTTCCGGGATCCCCATGCCAGGAATGGCTGCAAGACTGTTGGGCTCCACATCATCTGGAAACACCAGAACATGACACTCAGCCAAAGCTTTACAACACTGCCTTCTCAGAACTGTATGTGATCCCCTAAGACTACTCACCATACTCGACACCATCCTCTGACATTCCTGGCAGCAGATTCAGGTTGTATCTGTCACGCATCTTGTCTCCTGGTCGGTTCCTGGTCCAAAATTTGCTGAAGGAGATAATAAACAGCTTGAGTCTATCAGCACAGCTCAGAGGAGGGTTTAAATATTGCTACGACTGTATTCTTTTACACAACACACATTACTGACTACATCCATGTGTATAAACACACTAAATAGCATACACACCTGGTGTGATCATTGGACCCTGAGCACAAGATGTGGCCAAGAGGGTGCCAAGCTAAACTCCAGATCATGCCCTCATGTGCCATCTCCATACCACCAACCTCCTTCTCCACCCTGTCAACAGAGTTATTACAGCTTTATGGGATTTTCAGATATCGCCATTTTAAACATGAGGGTGTCTGATATATATTGCTGTTGTCGGAAGAAAACCTTGTATGTCCAAAATGACAACTTTACAGGAAAAGGGAAAAACCTTCTTTACTTTTAATGTAAGTCAATGGAACCAGACTTTTTTCCGAGTCATTTTGGGTCATCTCTTTTGGTCCATACGTCATGAAATTTAAACACAACATAAAGGGCAACAGGCATTTTCAGATTATGTCAAAAACTGACAAAAACGGTTTTCTTCCTGACAACATGCATGTTCCCCATGCCTGGCATATTGCCATGAGTTCTGGGTGGATGTCCCATCATGCCTCCTTGTAAGGCAATGGAACCAGTCATTTTGGGTCATTTCTTTTGCTCAATGTGTCATGAAATTAAAACACAATGTAAAGAGGTGTGTTACAATAAGGTGTGTTCAAAAACCACCAAAACTAACTTTTGACGTTTTTTTACTACTTAAACATGCCGTATAAAAATGAAGAGTGCTATGCAGGATAGCACACTTTCAGTCATGGTGTGTTTCTCCACAGACAACAATAAAAAGCATGCTTAAGAACCTGCAAAGGCATCATCTGGACGCCCTACAGTAGAACTACTATGCACTATATTCTATTCTGAAGACAATTCTGGATTTGGATTTTGACTATAAGTAGCACTAACAAGCCTTTCAAATGAATTAAGGCTGATATATTTCTACCACATTTTATGTGAAATTACTATCATATTGTATGACTAATGAAACATTAGGTGGCTGTAGGTGTTCATCACCATTACACACCCTGCATGCCAGAACAGCAGTGATCCATCGGAGCCTCCGCTGGCGAAAAGGCCTTCGTGGACAGGGTGCCAGGCGACAGCTAAAATCAAGAGGTAAGAGGAGTGTCAGATAACACCTTTAAACATTAACAAACGCATGAGCGCACAAGAAAACGTGTAATCACTACTGAATTCGTACCTGTAGCTTCCTTTTTATGGCCTCTGAAAACCTGCAGCTCTTCCTTAAGGTTTCGGATGTCAAACAATTTGCATAAGTGGTCACGCGACGCCGTCAGCAACCAGTTGCCGTTGAGGTTCCACTTCACCTCCATTACGGTGTTCTTATGGGCATGTCTGAAATGGACAATAAGCAACAAACTTTCACTACAGTTTTGACCACTGCCAGTTTTTACTGCTGTCATCATGTTCTTTATAGTCTACCAGTATCTCTCAGCTAACTCTTGTTGACTAACTTGGTACATTAATGTAACAAGTAAAAAGACTTTTTTAGGGAAATATGATAATATTGGAATCATATCAACATCAGCAGACATCTGCTTTAAATAAAAACTGACATTGGACAGATGTTTAGATTTGCCTGATATTTCAAACTGATTTGATGTATTTACTGTACTTTGGAAGAACAGACAGAATGTGTGTGTGATGCTGGATTACTGCACCAAAATACCTGCATTTTATTCATTTTACTGCATTTGTAACCCTACAGAAACAAGATACACTTGTAATGCTAATCCAGGTAGAATTAGTCCCAATTTCTACATGTTATAAAACGTTTATCAGCATAGTTCATGAAAAATGCGGGATATTGGCGTCAGCCTATAATTCCCACACTGGTGTATCCCTATTCATTTTCTAGTACCGTTAATGGTCTGTTCGTTATGAAATGTTCACATGTAACATTCTGAGGAATGTCACTTCATTTTTGCTTTAGCACTTTTGCCCAAGTTTGTAGTTGGAATTTTTTCCATCTATTTGTGAGTGATGCTTTAAAGTGATTTATTTAGTTATTTTTATTATAGAAATTTACATTTAGTTTCTACAGCTAAGTTATGCTGGTACATACTGCAACTGAATGGGATTATAATGTAACAAAAGGAGTCATATTCTCACAGCTGATGTACAAACATGATATACATTATCACCCCCCTTTTTAAATATTAAACTGCTTATATTCTTATTTTGTCCAACACTGGTACAATGCATATTTTACACCCTTTTTGTCTTTTAATTAAAATAAATCCAAAAGATCACCTTCACACAATCAAAGGGGCAGGTACCAGATTCAAATGAAACAAATAAAGAAAGAAGCAAGAAAAAGATTTTTTAAAATAAGAAGATACTAGGTTATTACGTTTACGTGACAGTTCTAGCGCCGAAAGTAGCTTTGATAACTCCCATGATTCATCATGCCATCTAAAACAAAAACTCTGTGCCATTTTCCCCATCACAAAGTTTGGCTTCTGGCCTTGCACCTCAATTTCTGAAGCCTTGTGTGTTATAGAGGCACAAACACTGCGTCACCACCCTGTTCTCACTTAAACTCTCAAACTTACAATGTTGCTAGACTCTGGCCAGTCTTTGGGTCCCAGAACTTGATGGGCTGCTGGCTGTCTTTGCTGCCAGACACCACCAAGCCCTTGGTGGGGTGCCAGTCAACACACTTTCACATCTGCTCCGTGGCCTGAACACCGAGGGGAGGAGAACAGAGTCAGAAACAGACATGGTCAACAGTCCATCCCTCGTTCTTCACTCATTTTCACACACAGGTATAAAAATCACCAAAAACTGCAACTGCTCATACTGAATCTATGAAGAACGAACATCCGATCTTTCAGACCTTTGCTGTCATGCATCATTCTGTAGTTGGTGTCATTCCCATTTTAGAAACTCCAGGTCTAAACTGGTTTTCTCTATGACAGAAACGAATGGCATTTTCGAAAATCACTCCCTATTGCACCCTGTGGTAAACAAAAACGTTCCAAACCTGATCCGTTTTGCCAAAAGGACTTTTTTTTTCTCCGAATGGCGCCGGATCCTCTGAATTATGAGGTCAATAAGGGGTGAAATATGAATTGCTACATACTACATGCAATGCAACTGAATACCCCACAAAAATACCCCACACAAACCAGTATAAGCTCTGCCAAATTTGTCAAATGGCAGTTTTAGACTACAGTTTGAGCAGCTGGCATTGTTATTAAACAGTGTCGTAGTTTACAAGTAGACTTTCATGCAACGTCATTTTAGAGCGCAGGAGTGTTAGCTTGCTTGTAGCATGTATGTAGCATAATTTGTATTCTGACTGCTACATGGATGAACGGCATTCATTAATTTTTCCCATAGAGAAATCCAGGTTAGACTCAGATTCCATTATATGGGCATAACGCTGTTATGCCCATGTAATGGGGGTGTCCTTTAATTGCAGGTGTTAATTTTCAACCCATTTTTCTGAACACATCTCTTCTTAACTGACTTGCAAAATGTGTCACAAATATATTTGTAAACCATTCTTTAGCTGACAATGATCACAGATTATTTTAGGGCTGGACTTAATTTGCACACACTTGGTCACTGACTCATCAACGTTAGCTTTAATGTTTTGCACACAACAGGCATTTTCCCCACATAGCATACTGTCAAAGGAATTAAACCAAAGTAAAATAAAAAATATTCAACACAAAACTGAAATACACTCATTTCACATCAGCAAAGTCTAAATGTACTGTGGATATTTGGATTAATAAAACGAAAATGATTAAAGAGTATGATGGACACTGCGTACCATCGCTGTCATAAGAAAATCTTATATGTCTGCGATTGTAAGATTTTATTCCAAGTAATTCTGGACCATTTACCTTAGTCCATTCATCATGAAAATGTAAAGGGCAGCTGGCCATTTAAAATGGTGCAGAAATTGTTTAAAAAACAAAAGAACAATAATTCACTGAATTACAGAATTTAGTCTTTAAAAACATGAGCCAATTTGTTCCGTCGGCGACAATGAATGCTCTAAATCCCTCGGAACAGTTTTCTGTGTCAGTGCTGAGCTTAAGTGCACACCTGAGAGTAAACCAGAGTGAGACAGTGAACCAGAGAGTGAGTGAGACAGATATGAAAGTGATACTCAGAGAGAGAATATGAAAATGAAATATAATACTGAAAGTACTGCTGGGCTCTCAACCTGCAAATTACTGCACATAATACTGACAAACTTTATTTCAAGACTTACTGCAGTAGATCTTAAAACCACTAGTGCAAAGTAAAATAAATAAAAAGTACACATACTATTCAAAGCTTATTTTGAGAGTTACTTAAGTGGTTTTGTAAACCAACAGTGCAGAGTACAAAAGAAAATCTTATAATGTCTACACGCATTTAACAGTTGTTGTTTAATCTCTGCGCTGTAGTGCTGTAATTTGAGAAAAAAGCCCCCCAAAAAATCCAAGAAAACATTCAATGTTACTGGTTAAACCTGGTTGTTGGCAGCGGTGTGTGATTTTCCCTCCTATCTTCCTGCTTACTACCAATATTAGTCACTGCAGGTGTATTTTTGCTGGGCAGAGAGGGACTTTTTGCTTAGGCAAGGTAAAACAAATTATTTTACACCATATTAAACTGTTTTGATAAGTTGGCGTCCAAAGTGATAATCAATACACCATCAGAAGAACTGGGTATTTTGTAAAAATGTACTAGAATCTATTTTTGTCCAACCAACTCCAACAAACCCAAACGTTTGACTGAGGTGCCATAAAACCGTAGGACTGTTCCAAGATGCCTAAATGCCCCCCCAACCCTCCATTCGCACTGCTCTAGAATGCACTTCCTGTTTTTAGTATTCTAGAACGTTCTTCCTGTCCACACTGTTCTAGAATATTCTCTCCCTGATTCATACTACTCTAGAATACTCTTCCCGAGTCAGTCTTCAATGTTCTAGAACGCCCTCCACATCCACTCTGTTCTAGAATGCTCTCCCTCTCAACGCAGTGTTCTAGAATGCTCTCCCTCTCAACTCAGTGTTCTAGAATGCTCTCCCTCTCAACTCAGTGTTCTAGAATGCCCCCCACATCCACTCTGCTCTAGAATACTCTCCCTCTCAATTCAGTGTTCTAGAATGCTCTTCCTCTCAATTCAGTGCTCTAGAACGTTCTCCCAGATTCACACCATTTAGAATGATCTTTCCCTTTTAACAGTGGTTTAGAACGGTCTTCCCATTCACACTGGCTCTTTTGCCCTGTCAGTTCATATTCTGGAACAGTATATTGCCACACATGCTGGTCAGTGTCCAGCTCAGTTTGGTGTTTTCTCTGCTCAAACAAACCCAATTCAGCTCTGTTAACTGTCAGGTTTTAGGTGTGTGTTTGAATAGGGAAACTACCAAACTGCCCTGGACGCCGGCCCTCCAGGCCCAGAGCTGAGCCCCCATTCTAAACGTTGTAGTTGTTTTTAGTCCATAAAAAGAATTGACAGGGCCAATAAAAGTGTGAATGGGGAGCAGACATTCTAGAGCAGGGCAGCCCAGAGTGTGCTCCACAGGCCAAAACGGTTTGGCTCAAAGGGAAGCCAAACCCCTCAAGCAGGGAGAGAATAAAATTAATACCACATATAAAAAATGATTATCCTTTCAAATTTGTATTTTGTGTCTTTTTGTAGCAAATTATAGTGTAATGTTGTTAAAAAGGTCTACCGACCATCTTTATTTGTACATAGTTTTTTCATTTTTTGCCCTCAGCCTGACCACAAACATTGCACTTTGGCCCCCTTAAGAGAAACAGACTGGGACACCCTGTTCTAGATTCTTCTATCAAGCACACACAGGTATGGCACACCAATCAAATGTTTGTTTGCATTGCTGGTGTTGGTCAGTGTGTTCTGGCCTTCAGAACGTCTGTTTGTTGGTGAATATTGCATTTTATGTATTTCAAAATTCATCTAATAATTAAATCTAACTGTTGTGCATGTTACTTTACATCAGTTGACAGTAATGAAATGGGTCCCATTACTGTACTTAATAATGTATTTCATGTATCTGTACATTTATAAAGTATTTCCATTTTCTAGACTTTACTTCCACTCCACACATTTTACAGTAAAATATTCTACTTTTTACTCTACTTTCTGCAAAATATTGTGAAGAACTAGAATTTCCATTATACACAAAAGAATATGATGCTTTCTCACAAATAAACCAAAACAATCATAGTGCACCTCTGACAAGAATTAAAGAAAATGCCGTAATGTTGTGTGGGGTATTTTAAAAATCAGACAGCTGATATCCCAAGAGTTTGGAAAAGGAGCGAGATTTTATCCATTTCCTGAAGATATAAGAGGAGAAATGTTGGATTGTTAAATCTCACAGTACTTTAACCCCTTAAAATCCCAGGCTTATTACATACGAACGCTCATTTTTCAGTAACTACAGGGACATTAATGCAAACTGCTTGAGCTACACTCAAAAAACGATGGTTCTTTAAGGGTTCTTTATTAAAGGAAATGGTCCTATATAGAACTATGAACACTAAGAACCATTTGCGTGATTAAATGGGTCTCTGCATGCTGAAATGGCTTTTCAGATTGATGGAGAATGTGTTGTATATGGTTCTGGAAAGGGTTCTTCTTTTGTTACAAGCTTGATATTCCAACAATAGCAGAACCCCTTGTGGTGCTATATAGAACCCTTTTCAAAAACCATATACAGCACATTCTTCATCAATCTGAAGAACCATTTCACCACGCAGAGACCCAATTATTCATGCAAATGGATCTTTGAGTGTTTATAGTTCTATACAGAACCATCTTCTTTGCTAAAGAACCCCTGAAGACCTAAGCGTTTTAAGTGTGTATTCTTAGGTTATAGAAGTGTGTAATAAAACTTTGGGCCCAGGTCATTTAAGGGGTTAATATCAGACATTAAAGCACATTTAAACTTTAACTCGATTAAAAATATAAACAGAGCACTTTTTTCTCTTACTTGAGTAATATTTCACTAAGGGCATCTACGTCCACTCAAGCACCGGATCTGTGTGCTTTGACCACCACTGCTATTGTAAAGAATACTGTCCATTACTCTTTCATATTTTTCACTACAGAATTTGAGTGAACGTACTGAATGTAGGACCACGGTCATGGTCTTTACAGGTCTATGCTGACGTTAAGGATTACAATCAGGTAGACTGAGAGCACAATGAGGCTGGAATGTCAGTGTTGTGTGATTGCACCACATTGTAATGACACATGACTGAGAAAAGGGCCAAAACATGGAGGCGGTACGGACGCTAGCAGGCTGGACAAAGATCTGGACAAATAAAATTAAAGTAATAACACATTTTTTTAAAAGGTTTTCCAAAGCAAGATTCAAGTTAGATTTATTCTATAACCTACAGGGCCAGAAAAAAAAAAAAAACACACACAAAACTGCACCGATGACTACAAAGAGACATGCTTATGCAAATGTTTTAACCTGACCAAATTACATGTTTTGGTGATTTTCTGAGTGAAAAAATAAGTTAACATTCTTTACAGAGAACACAATGTATTTCGGCAAATATTAGTGCTCAATTTCCATGTTTTTGTGTTTATTAAGCTTAAGATACTGGAAAAAAATGGAAAATATGCCATCATCTTTGCACAGGTTTTTATAACCTGCAGGTTTTATAACTGTACAGGTAAATACAACCTGTGGGCCTTGATTCTCACCAACCACAGCACACTAATGTCCTTCAGTGATGGTGCTTAATTACCTCAACAAGTGCTTTATTACAATCAACAACTGACTCAAATAGACATTTTTGAAACCTTTAAAATTTGCAGTTCCTTACACAACTGATCAGGTGTGCTCAATAAAATTTGAATCATATCGGTATTGGCAGCTAACTGCTTTAAATAACTGTTGGCATCAGACAGATGTTTAGATTTGACCAATATTTCAAACCGATATCTGAAATATTGGCATTTATTGTATTTTGGAAGAGCAGAAAGTTTCAGGCAGCTGTGCTGAAATATCTACCTTTCATTAATTTTACTGCATTTTTAAACCCTAAAATGGAGGCAGATGTAGTTCCAATTTAAACAGCCATGAGTTGATATGTACATAACACCGGTACCGCTAATCGTGACAGACAGGCAGCAGATTTCGGTACTTGGTCTCAGTAATTAGTGAATGTAAAATTAGTCAATTTTATTCACTACAATAAGGCAATTACAAAGTATGCTAATATACACCGATCAGGCATAACATTATGACCACCTCCTTGTTTCTACACTCATTGTCCATTTTATCAGCTCCACTTACTATATAGGTGCACTTTGTAGTTCTACAGTTACAGACTGTAGTCCATCTGTTTCACTGCATACTTTGTTAGCCCCCTTTTACCCTGTTCTTCAGTGGTCAGGACCCCCATGGACCCTCACTATTTGGGTGGTGGATCATTCTCAGCACTGCAGTAACACTGACGTGGTGGTGGTGTGTTAGTGTGTGTTGTGCTGGTACGAGTGGATCAGACACAGCAGTGCTGCTGGAGTTTTTAAACACCTCAGTGTCACTGCTGGACTGAGAATAGTCCACCAACCAAAAATATCCAGCCAACAGCGTCCTGTGGGCAGCGTCCTGTGACAACTGATGAAGGACTAGAGGATGACCAACACAAACTGTGCAGCAGCAGATGAGCTATCATCTCTGACTTTACATCTACAAGGTGGACTGACAAGGTAGGAGTGTCAAGTCAAGGCTTTAACGTAAAAGTGGTTTACTGGGGACACTTTCTTTCTCGCTCAATAAAGCCTCCCCTCTTCTGGTGAACTAAACATTGCACTGGGCAGCTTTAATGTCATGAGTATTAGGCAGGTAACACAAGTCAGGCTAACCTAAAATCTCAATATTTATTAGGCTAGTATGGTTCTTACGTCATTTTCAATAAATGATGAACACTATATTCTAAAAACATGTACAGTCTTATACAAAGGTTTGGTCAAATGACATTTTGCTGATTTTCTAAATGAAAATAAGTTAAAATACTCTACAGAGAGCAGGTCTGCACATTTTTATGCACAATTACTATTTATGCTGGATTTAACATGCTGGAAAAATGACTAACAACCCAGATAATTTTTTTCTGATTACTCAGACAGAATGGCTGGGTCTAACTGTGGTACCTGCTAAAGAACAACTAGAGAAATTCCTGCTTTTTAAGATACTAAAACATGTACCTTGGAGGAGTTTGGGTTTTTGTTATGCATAAAAATGAAATCTAGCAGGAAAAACACAAAATATTCTAAAGTAACTTTATGGCAGGGGCGCAAAACTCCAGTCCTGGAGGGCCAGAGCACAGTTTGGTGATTCTCCTACTCAAACACACCTGATTCAACTAAATCACCAAACTGTGCTGTACTGTGCCCTCCAGGACCACAGAGATGGGTCTGTGGGCTGTGATGTAGATTATGCTTTAAAGTTGGGCAATTTCAGTTCAAAAAAGGGAAAATAAAATCTTAAGGAACCAAAAACACAAGGAAAACTTAACCTTTTTCAAACGGACAAATGTTTGTCTAAGAGAAACCGCCAAAAATCCAAAGCAAAAATTACCAAGATAGATGAAAATACAAAGACTGAAATCAGGCAAAGGTCAATCACATCTATATTTCACCTAGCATACATGGAAGCCAAGAAAAAAAGTATAAGAAAACCATCCAAATGAGAAACTTCCAGCAAACGTTCAAGAGTCCATGATAAGGTGCACTGATGTGTGTGTATTTGTGTGTGTGTTTTTTTTTTTTGCTGGCACAAAGTGTTTGTGTGTACAAGTCCATCATAAACATACCTCTCAGGATTCTTTCCTCGTGGCAGCGCAGAAAGTCCCAGATGCGTACAGTTCCGTCATCAGAGCAAGTGGCAAATTTATTATCCGTAGGAGAGAAACTGAAGACACAGCAGGGAAAGAATCAATAATGAAGGATAACAAAGCAGCTCTTTGAGGGTTTGAGACACCCCCAAACTCTGGGAGAGGCTTTGAGTGGGTCTTCTCACTGTCTCAAGTGTCTCCCTATCAGCCATGCCATAAAAGAGTAGAGACTGAGCTGATTCTCAAGTTCTGGCCCAAAAAAATAATGCAGAGGAAAGTTTCCATGACTCAGATTAACCCTAAATCTTCCCCATGGTAATTTAGCACTGGCACTGCAATTTAGCTAGACTAGTCTTTACCATGTCCAGAAAACTGACCAATTATCTTCAGCTTCACAGTCACTGCCAAACTCTTCTCCCATAACACTACAAACTTATCAAACGTCATCTCTCTGCTTCCGAACATGAGACTGTGGTTGAATTCCACATCCATACTGTGAATACCAGACCTAAAGGAAGCAGAGGAACCAAAAAGGTTCCAGTCCACAGTGCCTGCTAACATGGCTGACAATGAATGGAAGGTAGTAGCCACCAATTAACATGACTATTTGCTTACCTCAAAGTGGCGACTATTCACTTTCATTCAATGTCAGGAATATCAGGTTTCTTGACAGAACAGTTGCTTTAAAAGTAAATAATAAATGGAAACCAGACTTAATGAACACCAGAGTCCTTCACTTGCCAGAACACCTTCTAGTTGAAATGTATCCAAGTCAATTCATGTGTTTTCAGAATCTGCCTCAGCTAGAATAAGGCATGACCTACATATTTTGTTTTCTGCACTGTCCATTTAAGCATGTTTCTGTTCTGCAATTATTGGATTCTGTTCCATGTTAAGCTCTAGGGTTGTGCATAAATATACTTCATCTATGCCAGAAAACACCTCACAACAGTGTCCAAGATGACACCAATTTCTGATTCTCTCTACAGCACCATTACTGACCGCAATCAACTTGCCTCTACATGGATAACACTTTTTTTTTAAATGAAGTTGAAACACTGAAAGCCAGCTAAAACTAGCCCACCCAAAGTGTGAAAAATCGAGAAGGGCCTTTTTTTTTCACATCATATTTAACCTCCACCCATGTGTCACTTTGGTTATAAATGCATGGCTAGAGGAAAAAAAATAAATAAATAAAATTGTCAACTTTATTTGATCAGCTGTCAGTGTTTCCCCCACTATGTGGCCTGAAGTGTAAAAAAGGAGCAATAGCAGCGAGTGGTCACCCTGGATGTCCCTGTGATGTGAGAGGCACGTGCACTTGTCCCCCCCAATGACAGTTGTATTATTTACATGAAAATGGTAATCTTTATTCTATTAACCTTTATTTTTGCAATCTTTATTTAAAGCCAGTAATCTTTATTCAAAGAGTCTACGAGCATGGCAGATCCCGCTGGCCAAGGGGTAGAACAGCAATTTCCCCATTAATGTACCAGTGTGAAATTAACTGTATGAGTGGAAGTGGGACACCAGTGTCCACCCTCCGATACAGAGGGTCCAACAAACCCTCCTAAAAGCACTTTGTCCCTGTGTGTCTCTCTGTTAGTCTTTGCACCTAAGCTGGGATTATAATGACCTTAGAATATAGATAAATGTGAATACTTTATTTAAAAAAAGTGAAAAATATACCTTTTCTGTACAATAGTAATGAATTATATATTGAAAAAACCAGGATACATAACTTATGAGCCACAGGTGACAAATCAATGCAGTGTTGCAACAGCACACACATACACGTATCAATAATTATGGACATCAACATTGAGCAGCACAGGGAGAAGTATATAAAAACTAAGAACACTGAGGGGAGCCCCCTACAGACAGTTCCCTGACAGTGCAGGGCCAATAACAGGCTTGGGTTAACTACAGAAAATGGTAGATTGGGTATAGACCTGGCCTCTCTAATCGCCTCCTTGTGAGCCTGGAACATCTTGACGTTGTTCATGTTGGACTGCCAATACTTCACGTAGCCTCCGTGGTCAGCAGTCAACATCCACATGTCGTTATGAGACCAGGTCATTGCCCTGACAGGACTGTCGTGAGCCTACAAGAGGTGTAGAGAGGTAAGAGTAAGTATAATTATGTCCAAGAGCCGATTCTTGCATTATATTAGCCAATAATGCTGGCAAAAAGCACCGTCCGTCTTTACCTGCAAAATGGTCTCAAAGTTGAAGGTAAGGCCGTTCCACAATGTAAATTCCCCACTGGAGGCACCTGTTACGAGCCGCCTGCCTTCAGGGGTCCACTACATTTAAAAAAAATAAAAATAAAATAATAAAAAAAAAAGAGAAGAAAACGAAGACATAGATGAGAACAGAGCTTCATAACTGCCCCAAAATATCTTAGTTCACTGACAGAAACTAGAACTGGAGAAACTGTACATTTCAATGAAAGCCTTCACAAGCAGAAAAGAAGAACTGAACATGCTTCACTCAAGCAGGAAAACAGAGCTGATATGTTCATACTTTCACTGACAAACTAGTGCCTGGCAGAGCGAAACCTACATGCCTCAAAGAGCCTTTTGTGAATCGCTCCAATACGGCTGTTGAGAATTGTAGACATGAAATTAAGACATGCTGTCAATGGAAGTCCCCTAGTTTTGTTTTTATCATACCTTCGCCAAGAAAAACAACTTGCAACAGTCTCAAGAAATTGTCAATTATGTTAAAAACAATGTCAATATAAGCACTGAGATGTCAGGCATGTGAGTGCTTGCAGATTCACAACCATCATAGGTGTTTTTTATTTTTTTGAGAAGTCTGTTTTTGGTCCTAGACCAGCTGAAAGGTCTTCATTGTTTAGTCCTAGATCAACTGAAAAATCTAGATTTCAGTCCATCAAAAATGCAAACTGATACAGGCTATGAACCCTGCAGTGAACAAAACTTACCCGCACAACAAATACAGGGCACTTCACTTTATTGGTGGATGTTCTGACAAACTTTGTGGTGACTGCATTCATGGGGTTATTGAGCATACCAACAGGGGGGACCAGCTAAAGAGACACAAACAGAATTGGCAGGGAATTAAAACTTTTATTCAAACGTAAACTTCCAGACATAATTTTAAAAGCTTATAAAATATCCAGCCAAAGTAAGCACTCACATCATTGAAGCAACCTGCATCTGGCTGAATAGCACGGAGATCTCTGTGATCACGCTGCCAGAGACGATTCTGTGGGACAAAAATGAAGAAATTATGAGGAATATCTTCACGTTTTTCAATACTGCAGGAGGCGATAGACGCTGGAGTTCTGCCAGTACCTCTAGGTATCTGATGACTGAGGGGTTGTAGTCGATAGTTTTGCGGTTGACTGCCTTCCTCATGCGCTTGCCATCGAAGGTGAGCTGCTGCATGGCCTGCTGCTGAGCGAAGTCCGGCCGCTTGTAGAACAGCTGCCGCGGCGCCTGGTGCTGGAACCGAGGCATGTGGAAAAACCGGGGTGGAGAGCCGATTTCTGTCGCCATGGTGACCAGTCAGCTACACCTGTGGGTGGATGTGAATGATCAGGTCGTGTCATTGGCTTATTGTAAAACATCTGGTTTGCACATATTTTTAGAACATGCATGCATCACCAGTCATTATTTAGAATGGAAAATGACAAACTGGAATGACCGAGTTGAATTAGGAAAACCTAACAGTAGACCGTGAATGTCAAATGCAAGCGTTTGATTTTATAGCACAAATGAACTCATTATATTTTGACTTGTCAATCTAACGCCACACTTTTTTTATCCTGCAATACCCAACAGACCTTTTTGGTCCAAACATACTAATTTCTGATATTCTATCGCTAATTTATCAGCTCAGAATAAAAGGCTTACAACCACACCCCAACCAGGATGCATGAGTGGAGGGATGTATAAATGTAAACAAAACTTCATTATCCAAAAAAAACACAATACCAAACGTTTAAAGATTTGAACAGGTACGTGCTGTCAACACACTAAATTCTGACTGCTGGCATCTTTTGAAAACTTTTGTAATTTTTTATTTTTTTTATAATCCTCTTAAGGAATTTTAACAATCACAAGCCCACACCCAGTAACCCCATACCTTCTGAGCTTCTAATGTTTTCTCTGCACTCTCAGAAACAAAGATAGTAAACTGTCACTGGGGTGGGACCCTCAAGGGTACATCTCAGTACCTTTGGTCAGGGAACATAACTATACCATAATCCACTGAAATTATAAGTTGTACTGACTCCACACACCCCGTCTCATCTCCAGGCTTTTTATTTTACTGTTCTGTTTAAAACATTAGGTTATGAAAATGTACAAAATGCATACATTTCACCTGGAAAAACCTGTTAACGGTTCACAATTGGACCTTAAAACCACTGTTGTACCTTTGAGGGAGCATTTACATCGTTTGTACCTTGATGAACGCAAAAATGTACCGGCACAGAACCTTTATTTCTAACAGTGTGAATATTTTCTCTTCTCTACAGTCACTGCCAGACAGTTGGAGGCATTGGACTCAAAACAGTGAAGAGAATGCAGCAGCATATTTAACCCATTTTGATTGTTTCTGCTGGATGAATAAACATTTTCTACCAAATATGGTTTAAGCTTCGTCCAACAAAACTGTATTCTGATATTAACACTGCTAAAAGTACAGATAAGACTTTGGGTTGTAAACATACAGAAGTGCATTTTAAACAAGATTTCCAAAGTAACCAACACCACTCAAGTATTCAAAATAAAAAAAAACAAAAAAAACCACACCTTTCAAAGGATTAGGCTCCATTAGTGACTATACTACACTCTTAAAATGTGTGTTTAAAAAAACACCATGTTCTGTCTTTAACTAGACAGCTGTGTGTTCAGGTGGAGACGACACATTGTGTTTTACTTTTAACACAAAATGTTTTGAAATACTTCTATACCTAGTTATGGATAACACATTTTGGGTTGTTTTCAACATGGAATGTGTTAAATCAGAAAACAACAGGACATAAAAAGTGTTAAAATGGGTAACAAGTAAACACGTGTCTTGCATGACAGACATTCTACTAATTATGCCAGAAATCTTTTATCACATCTCTGAGGACCTCACAGCGACCTCTGAGTCTGTACTATGCCAGCGCCAAACACGCCTAAACCAGTGACTGAGAGTTACACAATCTTTAAAAGACATGCCTCAAGCACAAAATGCAACCTCAGTTGACAGGAACAGATTCTAGACCTGAAGATCTGAGCCACTCTGTGAATACGGGCCTTGTTCTTCTGTAACACTTTCGCAACAAAGCCATCCCACTGACACGCCAGACTGGAAATTCAGCTTGGGTAAAGGTTAAATCAGTCAAACTAAGCATTCACTGACAACATATCTTCACTTCACTGACGGTCAAGCTCTGCAAATACAAATCACAAAAGCACTAAAATAAGCATTTTTTTCTAAACCATTTGACCTCTTGATTTTTTTTTACAATCATATGTTGTCCGTTTTCTAATTTCTCCCATTAGTTTGGGCAGATTTAACTGAAAAAACTGAAATTTAATGGAACAGCTGGGCGAAACACAAAAATTAACAATTTTCTAAATACCCCAGACAAATCTGGTGTCCAAATTTGCTTCTTTAGTTTAGAACTGGAGCTACAAAGCAAACATTACCAACAAAAGTCAAGTCACCCACAGCTTTTATGCAAATACATTCCCAAAACTTCTCTCAACCACACCTATGTGGATGTGGTTTAGGACACAGTATAACTCACTGTGAACAGCAAACATTATGTCCTAAACCACACTGATGAGTCTGTGTGAGCTTAATTAAGACTAGCTTGAGCGTGTTGAGAGACGTGTGGGGAAGATTTGAGTGACCACTGACTTCTAGTGTTTTTAGCAATGTAAGCCTTGTGGTTCGAGCACTAAAGAAGCAAAATCTGAACACTGTCTTGGCTGAACAATACATCTGAGGCAAGTGGGTAAAAATTGTGAAAATTAGATTTTTTTTAGTTAAACCATTTATTTAAATAGTAGTGTAGCAATAAAATGTTACACATACCATAAACCATTGATGCTCCCAATTTAACTGGAGCAAAAAAACCTTGGCACCCAGTGACCTTTGGCAATGAAGACACATTTAATCTGTATAATGCTTCATTCTCTGACATTGAAACATTTCCTATAAAAGATCACTAGTTAGTCTAGTAGTAGCAGCAGTCCAAACATCAATACTGAATACTGAAATGGTGCACCAAAGTAAAAATAAATAAATAAACCTTATTAATATTCATTTCCTTCAAATGGGTCTAGCTAAGCAGCATCTATGTATATTCCCTGACAGAAAAAAGGTATTGAGCGGATACATTTTTCATTTGTCATCGTGCAAACAATGTAAATGTAACCTCAAAGGTACAACAGTGGTTTTATTGGTCAACTGTGTAGATTTTTTTCTAGGGGAAAGGTACATTTGTACATTTTCATAAACTAATGTTTCAAAACAGAATAAAATAAAAAGCCTGGAGACAAGAGCGTGTGTGGAGTCAATACAACTTATTATATATATATATATATATATATATATATATATATATATATATATATATATATATATATATTCACAGTAGATTAAGGTACAATTATGTTCCCTCACTAAAAGGTACTGAGGTACCACCCAAGAGACAAGAAGGGAACAACCCCAGTGTTAGTTTAGTACCATATATATATATAAATCTAAATAGGAGTGTATGAGTCACCAAGCTAGTAATGAAGCTACCCACACCATAAAAAAAGCTTTAGGTTACTGTTTGGATTTGGATCCCTTGTCTTGGTAGTGTCAGAAATATGATGAGTGAAAGTGCACAAAAATAGAAATCTGAGGTATTTTGCAATTATTTTAGGTCAATCAGTGTTTCTGCTTTAAAGTGTTTACAAGAAACCCAAAAACAGCATGTTAAACACAAACGGTGCTTGGAGTTCGACTGTACTGTATGCATCAAATACTGTAAACAGTTGGTTCTCAGCACAGAATCATACAGCACCATCAACAACAAGCACCAATAATCAGCAAAGTCACACAAATGCCAAAATTAAAGGTTTCAGTATAGTAATGTAGAAGCATCACTAATGGATTTCGTTCAAAGCATATCCTGATCAGGGTGTTTTCACAGCCCTGAAAACTGAAGAACTGACAGTCGGCAAAATTTAAAATGATAAAATTTAGGCAGAGGTGCAATCACTTCTGCATTTTATGGCCAATTAAATTCTTTTACAGCCAAACAGACCAAGTGCCATTTTTTGTCCATTCATTTTTATTCCGTTTTTTTATTTTTAGTTATTTATTTTTTTTTACAGAAACAGGCAACGACAGCAGCATCGTTAATTTGCTTTTGACTCTGTATTCTACAAGCTAAATGAAACATTTAAATGCAGCGTGTGTGTAATTTACTTAATGGAAACATTATTAATATGCTAAAATCTTTAGTTTTTTTTAATTGGGTAATTACATACCAGCAGCAACTATGAGCAGATTCAGATGCGTAATTAGTACAGAAAGAAAACAACTGTCACTAAACGTTTTCCTCCCTTTAGTAATTAAAACAAAAATATGTATTGAAAGTTGCACAGGAAGGGGTTTCTGAAAAGCAATCTCTGATAAGCAATGGAAATGGAAATGTGATTAACTTCATGAAACAACCTTACAGCTTGTCCCATGTGTGAGGCACTAACAAGAAAATGAAATAAAAGGTTCTGCATAACCAATAAAATGATCTACAACCACAAAATTAAGCATGAATACCCCTTTATGGGTGTTTTTTTAAGCTGTTATGTTGCATGGAAACATGACTAATTTTATTACATTATTTCATTACTAAAGATAAATTAAAATACATTTCTTGCAACTTAAATAGGCCAGAAAACATCAGAGTCTCAGAAGCTCAGACTTCATCATGAGTCAACATCACTGTGCTTAACCTATAGACTAAAATGTATACTAAGAAAATGAATGAACTGCTGGTCTAAAGTGATCAAATCCACAACATATTCATTTTTAAGGCGAGGTAGCATAACATTTAGTTAAAAAAAGGCAGTTTGCTTTGTGGCCCAGCAATCACAGAAGAAAAGTTCCAAGTCAACCTTCACCAGGAGGAAAAAAAAGAGGGGGGAAAAAATCCACCAAGGGTAAAATGTACATTTACAACCAGAGACGAGATGAAAAAGGTGCTTCCACCGACTACAGGTGAGGTGCTACTAAAATAAATAAAATAATTAATAAAATTCTCAGGTGGAAAAGGTGCAACACTCATTCTATCCTCAGCAAAAGAGTAAGTTTATACCTTTCCATGTTGTATAACTTTATAAAAGATGTTTTTAAACATATAAACTTACCCTTTTGCTGAGGATATAGTGAGTACTGCACTTATTCACCACAGCCATTCAATACTGCAAAGCATCAATGAGTATTTGCCCCAGTATTTTTCTCCCCTTTAAAAACAAAACCTGAACAACAGTTTCATATTGTCCAAGTTCAGTGAGACTCATAAGTGAAGACTTTATTACTGAAGCATTAAAGTCTATTTGAAATACTGGAGACCTAACTTGTGAAAACTTTGTTTAGACCCAAAAAAAAATTGCGTCTTTCATTTATTACAGCTCAAATGATCCTTTATTAAAAATTATATTTATCACTAAACTAAACACCTTAACAACCTTAAACAGCACCTTCCCTGGACCGAAAGAACAAAGCACACCACCAAAAACAAACTTCATCTTACAGTACAGGCCATCATTCATGAGTTTCAGTTCAGTAGTTTCTGCATGCAAGTGTTGAATGTATAGAAAATGTATATGAAAGAGTAAAAAAAATACAGACCGCTTAACATGCATAGGCTGGAGAATGTGCTCAATAATCTCTACAATCATCAACCTTGATATTCAGGGTTTTAAATGATTCAAGTGATTCAGATTTTTCTGACGCATTTGGTTAATTCGTGTTTATCACTTTCACATACAATGTCCGCACAAACAAATAACTATACAACCTAGCAGACACATTGCAGGCCAAATTTTCTGAAGTTATACATGAAGGGCTGCTGTTCCAAAACATGTTAAATGCCACAGTTGTCATTTTTTCTTTATTTTCCCAATAATATATGTTCTTGAAAGTGGCATATACACAAAGAAATATCAATACCATGTTATGAGTAATACCACCTGTTATTCTTTTCAAACCTACTCTCGTTACAAATGGACATTTTTAAATTAAGCTCTTTCATATGTTCCTGTCAGAGTTACACACATGTAGTTCTGTTTTAAAGGGCAACTCCTCCAATCTTTCAAAATATCTACATAACTTAACAGTTAAGATGTAAACAAACCCATTTAGAATAGTTTGGTGTAAAACACTTCGTTCTAGAAAAACTTGCAGAGTCAGAATAGTTCACAGTGGTGGTGATAGGAACCAGACGTCCACCTCTAAAAGCTCCCTCACAAAAAATAACTACATTTGGCCCTAAAACGAGTTGAATTTACTTATATATAGTCATGGTGGAGGAATACATAAAGGATGTTCTAAGGCAAAACAGTCCCCAAATAATCCACTATTTTACCATCAACGTTACCTATAAACACGTGTAGACGGTAGACACTTGTGGTTTTGGACAGTAAATAAAATGTCTATATTTGTGTTGTAGACATAGTGACCTCTGGTTCCCATCAGCAAAGCTCTAGCTACGTAATTAGCGATTAAAGTGATAACGTGAGAACAGCAACAGAACCAAATAGCGTCGCTAAGAGAGATAGGTTAGCTAGCGTTAGCCTGCTAGCTAAACGACAGCTAGATTAACGTTTCCAAAAATAACAATTGATATACAACATATTTGATTTCTATTCCCTGCTCCAGGGCACCTGGTTGAACCAATCAGCTCGTTTCCGCCTCTTTTATGAGGGTAAACGAGCAGTTTCATAAACATAAATTGTTTTATTAGCGTTAGCTTAGCCTGTTAGCTTAGCCCCAACGTAGGTTAGATCAGAGTTCCTAACCTTACGCGAGTTCGTCCACATTTTAGTTTGTAAACAGCTCTAATGCATCCGATACTCGCCGTCAGCCCTTTATAACTGCCATTTTAAAGTAAATAAAACATTTATAAAGCATTTAAAAGTGAACGAGGCTTAAGCTGGCTTCCTATCCGCTAGCCTCTTTTTCGAATTTTACCGTTCCACTTTAAATCCCGCAGCGACTAGGCTGCGTCTCAGGCGCTGGAACGCAATCACTGCAGCATTTAAGGTGGAACGGGAAAATTCGAAAAAAAGAAGCTAACTTCAGCTTCGTTAGAAGTGATGTTTAATTGCGAAAACATAGCATCTTAGCCATCCGTCGGCTAACCTAGCACTGCGGCCACTGGGACACAATGGTGGTTAGCTTAGCTTAGCTTGGCGCGCTACCCAACGTCCCCCAACCCACACAGAAGCTAGGCAACTTTATTTTAGCAGAGGAGCTACAACACAAGTGACTGGTTCGTTTCTGATGGAAAGCAGGTTTAAAAACAGCACATATAAACTCTTTATCTGCACAGTTTGGTGCGTGGTTTCCTCTCAACGCAGCGGGTTTAAATGGCGGCCGGTCAAGAAACATGTTGCTTTCTCATCCTCGTATTTTTCTCGTCAATTCTTGTGAGAACTCACCCCAAAAAATATCCAGTGCTGACTGAGTCTATATTAGCTACGTTTAAACGCACGTCTCTTCCCTCGCGGAGACGATTTTGTACTCTCTTTTGGGAAAATACAGCAACATTAAAACCGTCTCCAGATTGTCAGCCCGCGGCCTCCATCTCCATCTTGAGGCTCCGCTTCGACCCGCTGCTTTCAGTCGGGGGCGCGGTGACGTCATGACGCAGCCAAAGGCGCGTATGCGTCATGAAGCCGAGTATGTATGTATGTATGTATGTATGCATTTTTACCTAGTTATTTATTTAAATTTTATATAACGATCATGAGCAGAGGTAAATGTACAAGTCCAGTTACATCTTGGAAGAATTAAACATACAGATTTATGTTGAACCAATTCAAATGGAAGGACAATACATACATCCACACATAAACAACAAAGTAAAATACAATTCAAAATTAGATTGACTAAATAAATAAATGGCTAGTACATACGTCATACATGAATATGATCTATGTTACTCAATGCAGTGCTTTAATAATTTCATTTAACATATAATTTTCGATGCCATGACTCTGGATTTGTGTATATGAAATTTGCCCAGTAAGGTTAATAGTTTCATAACCTTATTTAATCTACATAAATTAGTATTGTAGTTTAGGAACAAGACCATCACCTCATTTATAGAAATAAATTTGTTTAGGGACAGGAATACCATTAAGCAAATTTCCCTCCGAAATTCCTTTGAGAAAATGCAGGTATAAAATGAGTGAGTGATAGTTTCCAAAAAAGAACATTATGGTAAAATATCAGTTTTAAAGTTAGTAAGCAGGACATAGCAACACTTCTGTCGAAAGCGAGGGAAATTTCTTTGTCCATTTGTAGATTAGCTTTGAGGCAGAGTGAGTTTGACAAACTCATCAAAGGATTCCTTGAACTGTCTGAATTAATCAGTCCTTATACAGCATTATATAAAGCATGTTTATTAGGTCATTTTCTGCTAAAAATAAGAAATACATCATCATTGTTTTTCTGCATGAAATTGCCTCTCTTAAAAATGCTTTGTTTTACTGGAATAAACATATATATGATGTTGACTGTGATAAAATTTGGCCTCTCAAAAATTTAGTTTTTTTGTTCAGAGGAAAGAAAGTATGCAAATTTAATGCACGTTTAAATGCACAATTGTTTGTTAGCAGAACTTAACATTCATAACTTAACATTGGGAAAATAAAATCTGGCCTGTGAAAAAGTTATGGTGCATTTTACATTTTATGTTTTATTTTTGCTTCAATATGTTATAATCAGTACTTTAATTGTGCATTAAACCCTTAAAATGCCAGGTTTATAACATGCTAAGGCTTATTATTTAGTAACTACAGGGACTTCAATGCAAACTAGCTGAGCTATTCTTAGGCCAGGGTTACAGAAATCCATCCATCCATCCATCATCTAAACCACTTATCCTTCTGGGTCACAGTGGGGTGCTGGAGCCTATCCCAGCTGTCAGTGGGCGGAAGGCAGGATACACCCTGGACAGGTCGCCAGTCCATCACAGGGCACATTCACATTCACACAGACACATTCACACACACACACTCACACCTAGGGGCAATTCAGCACGTCCAATTGGCCTGACTGCATGTTTTTGGTTTCCTCCCACAGACACGGGGAGAACAGGCAAACTCCACACAGAAATGACCCTGGTCACCTGGCCGGGAATCGAACCCAGGCCATTCTTGCTGTGAGGTGACAGCGCTACCCACTGCGCCACTGTGCCGCCCGGGTTATAGAAATGTGTAATACAATTTTAGGCAAAACTTTGACTACATACACAAATCATTTATATTGATTTAAATTCTTCTTCTGAGAATAGAAAAGCTATTAAAACTTTTAATATATACAACTGAAACCCATATGTGTACCCCCGTGTATAAAGTTGTGATGTGTATATTTTGTATGCCTCCTTCAGAGTGAACACACTTCTGCACATTTCAGTGCACACTTACTGTTTATTTGTTGATCCAACATGTCCGAAAAAATAAAACATAAAATGTGGCCTGTGCAAAAGTAATGGGACACTTTAAATTTAATGTTTTTTTTTTTCGACATGTTAAATCAACAAATAAACAGTAATTGTGCAGTATATTTTGAAAAAACTGCCATATTTAAGTGTGTTCTCTGTTGAGGATGTGCTAACCTATTTTCACGTGGAAAATCAACACAACGCAACTTGTTCAGAGATATTCAAACTTTTGCGTACGACTGTACATGTAAAGTGTAGAAATTGACAAAATCGATCTGTATCAGCCTTACAGAGAAATATAGCATTTACTTCTGTAGGGTTAGAAATGTAGTGAAATGTCATTTCAGTATAGTAAACCAGTGTATAGTAACCTCTTCACTCCTCCACCTCCTTACCAGTCTAGAAGAAATGTTACAAGTTCAACACCAAACTTCATCCCTTTACTTGCCAAGAGCTGTCCCCACTGGTGGAAAGCAGTGCCAACGTCTACTCTTGTTTTGTCTTTTATTTATGTTATTTATTTATTTTTTTTTCACAGCCGATTGTGGTTTCCTGACAGATGCGTTTACTGTTCCTTTCATTGGCTACCTGTCCTTAAACGATCCAAGCAAAATTTATGAGGAGCCTGGCCGCTTCCTATTTCCTCCGTTATATCAAAAACAGAACTGCAAAACTGCAGAGGGTGCCCGCGAGTGAGTCGTCAATGGGAGTGAATGGAGCTAAATGGCTAAAAACAAAAGGTTAAAATAGTTTCTAATCACTCGCCCAGACTTTTTTTTTTTATTTTAGAAAGTAGAAGGATGTATTTCATATATATAAAAAAGCAAAGAAAACTTAACTATATATTTCCTTTTTTCTACAGCAGACAGGTTTTGGGCAGCAGAATACTGGCATTACTGCTAATGAGTGCTGATCGTTTGGCGAGCGGAGCAGCTCATTGGCTGTTCGCGCTCACTGACGTCATTAGGTTCCATTTTAAACTCCTATAACTCGAGTTTAAAAGCTCTTAAAAATATAACAGCAGCGTTTAAATGTTTTATGCTGTTTAGTGTTCAGGAAATGTATCTTTTTCCATTAAAAATGTTTAAGCATTTATAAACTATTATTTTGCTCAAATGCTCCATCTTAACCTATTCATTTGGACTCGCTCGGGAGCGCCCTCTAGTGTTTGAGGAACCCAGAAGACGTTTCAGAGTGGTAATTCTCCTCTCTACAAGTTCTCTGGTTAGAATATGCCCTCAGGGCAGTGCTAGTTCTTCATCCTTTCATGTTGGACTGACGGCAGACTCGACGCTACAGTGACTTTGAGGTGAAGTGGTATTATGAGACAGGGCGGGGCAGGGCCAGCAGGTTAGCATGCAAACTTCAGTAGATATCTCTGCAACAAAGTACGTAGACGTCTTTGACGTGACATCAAAACTGTTATTTCTTCACTCTCTGTCGACAACTTTAGTTATTTTTGTATTGTTTTAAACTAAAAATCTTACAAATTGCACCTTTAATCGATAGAAAAGTAGTCATTAGTGGCAGCTACATCTGTCTGGGCCCATATGATCCTATTTACGCCACTGTGTGGAGGGAGTGGAGTAGCATTAGGACCTGGAGGAAGCCTCTGGCTTCTGCTGTAAATATAGCAGCACTCAGTGGAATCAGACTGACCTCTGCATTGCCATTCTCATGCCAGCTTGCGCAAACTAGAAACGGACAGTTGTAATAGTGTTTGTTAGAGTGTCCAGATGTAGAGCTGAGCCTGAGCTGGGGGTGCTGTGTGTATGTGAGTAATGTGTGTAAGTCATGTGTGAGTTAAACCGGCTGTAGTTTCTCTGCTGCTCTCCAAACTGTTCTCAATGCTTCAGCTGTGTAAGGTTACAGACGCGCTGCTGATCAGCAACGCTCGCTCAGCCTGCAACGACCAGCTCATCCAGCAGGAGGCAGTAACGCTCTGCATCAACGTGTCCAAGCAGCAGCCTTTTCCCTCCACCAGAGTCGGCACTTTCCGCGTGGCCGTCTATGATGACCCCAACGAGGACCTCTATAAGTACTTTGACCGCTGTGCTGACGCCATCCACGCCGAAGCTGACCGAGGCGGCCGGACAGTGGTTTACTGCAAGAATGGCCGCAGCCGCTCAGCCACAATCTGTGTGGCCTTCCTGATGAAGCACCAAGGCCTCACTTTAGCAGATGCATTCGAGGTAACGTTAATGCCTTTAGCTACTGCTTCTCACTTTGTGCTCACTGACACAAAATGTTACAGTACATCACAGTAAATTATCGATTACTACTGCATTACTTACACAATGTTTTACTGCATCATTTTAACAGTAAATAACAGTCAAATAGCAGCTGTCACCTGAACCGATACGGCAGAAAGGTAATATCACAATACTTCAAGAAATGTTCACAATACACAATATGTCAGTGCATATGTCACTGCAGTGACACTGATGTGTTTAAAAACTCCAGCAGCACTGCTGTGTCTGATCCACTCAAACCAGCACAACACACACTAACACACCACCACCACGTCAGTGTTACTGCAGTGCTGAGAATGATCCACCGCCCAAATAGTACCTGCTCTGTGAGGGTCCATGGGGGTCCTGACCACTGAAGAACAGGGTAAAAGAGGGCTAACAAAGTATGCAGAGAAACAGATGGACTACAGTCTGTAACTGTAGAACTACAAAGTGCACCTATGTAGTAAGTGGAGCTGATAAAATGGACAATGAGCGTAGAAACAAGGAGGTGGTCATAATGTTATGCCTGATCGGTGTATATTTTTAATACATTGGAAAAGACATAGTAGTGTCACATTTAATAAATAATATGGAAAACAAAAAGTACGCTCACACTGATTTGCATTCAACATTTCAAACACAACAGTGAGTGCGTTTACATGCACTTAATCCGATAACTGCAGAAAATCAGATTTTGTCAGTAATCCGATTAACGTGTTTACATGCACTTGAGTAATCAGATAATGGGGATACTTCAGGTCTACATGAGTCAGACAGTAATCAGATTTCTGCTTCACCACCGGCCAGTAAACTCACAGAAGAAGACGTGACATGAACATAATATAAAACTCATGCCGCAACTTTTTTAAAAAAACATTGCGCCACTTTACCTGAAACTATGAACATATGTCATCTAGAAGATGAAGAATATTTAAATCCTTCATTTCGTCAAGCATGTGTTTGGTTTCAGTGCTGCTCCAAAGGTGTATTGCTGCATCTCGCAGTGACACTGCTCGCTTATTTCCGGTACTGCAGTCTGTTTTCGCACGTGCGCAGACTGAGAAATCAAAAGATAGTTTACATACACTGAGAAATCTGATTACTGAGCTAAAATCCAGCTCTCTTTATCAGATTTCTAGACCTTACTCAGATATAAGAAATCCGAGTATGCTGTTTACATGCATGTATGGTTCTATATAGCACCAAAAAGGGTTCTTCTATTGTTATGCTGTCAGGCTTGTTACAACCGGTTTGGGTGCTATATAGAACCATCTACAGCACGTTCTCCATCAGTCTGAAGAATGTTTTTACAATGCAAAGAACTTTTTAATCATGCAAAGAGTTCTTTGAGTGTTCATGGTTCTATATAGAAGCATTTTCTTTACTAAAGGACCATCATTTTCAAGTGTGTAATTTACACAATTAATTACGATTGTTTTTATTGCAAAAAAATTAAATGAGTTTTTTCTTTGCACACAAAGAGACTGTACAGACAGCCAGAGAAGCGGGAAGGCGAGATGGAAAATCTTCATAGAACCTATGTTTGTATATAACACCAAAAAGTGTCATAGAACCCTTTTGGTACTACACAGAACCCCTTTATGCCTACCAATTAGTATTAAAATGTGAAATGCATGTTCAGTAAATTTGACAGTACATTGTATATAAATATACATCTTTTCTGTAACATACATGCTAAAATGCAGCTGCACATTGTAATATGCAGTGACACTTTTTGTGTTAATGTAATGCTGCGCTTCATGTTACCTTTCTAAAGTCATCTCACTTGTTCCCCCAGGTCGTGAAAAGTGCCCGGTCAGTGGTGGAGCCCAACCCAGGCTTTTGGGCTCAGCTGGAGCGATACGAGCAGGAGCTGCAGGTCAGGAGGTCAGCAAGCAGTGGCTCGAACATCTCTCCAACTTGACCTCACCAAGGACCTCAAACAGTGTTTACATTAAGTATATAAATTGTTGCCCTTAGGTAGGTTTATGTGGGAGCTTAAACTCGTAACCCTTTAAACTACCAGCTTATCATTCTGTCCAATTAATCTTACCTACTATAAATTATCAACTGCTACAAAACTAATATGTAGTTATAAGAGTGAAGTCTGGACCCACATATGCACTCATGCTTTTTACACTGAAAAAAGAAATGCATGAATTCAAATGTGTACATCATTTTCTCATAAAATATTACAGCATGTTTTTGTATTTCTTTTGACCTACTTTCTATAATAAGTGTGTTGATGTAGTCTGTTTTATTCATGTGGAAAAGAGGTTCACATTTGAATCAAGAAAAAATTCAATGCAACACTTTACAGTATAAAGATCTGTACTACATAACTCATATGGTAGTTTCATATTAGTCTTAAGATTAATAGCTGAATAATAAGGGTTAAATACAACGGCTATATTGCAGATTGTATCCTTTAAGTAAGACTCTTCACCTTGGACACCTCAGACTGTCACCTCCTCACTGTTTAACTGTGTAACTTAAATACTGCCTTAAATAGTGGCGCTCAGGTTCTCTGCTATTGGATTGTGCAAGAAGCCTGTAACTTGTTATGCATAATGAACCTACAAATGCTAAGTTAGGTGGATTTATTTGTCACTAATAGAGTTTTTTTTTTTTTACACTTTTCAGAACACAACAGACACACAAACATCTGCAGTTTTCTCTACAACAACTTTTTTCACACAAAGGTCATACATCATAGAAAAGAATTTATTTTATTATTTTTTCACATTTGTCCCATCAACCACAAAGCACTATAAGCAGTCTTAAATCGTGGTGCTGCTCAGTTCTCAAGGAATCTCTCCAGTACTTGTATCCATGCTCAGGAACTTCCATTATCCTTAGAAGTCAGTGATTGCTGTTGTTGTTCGCTTGTAGCTCCTAGAAACTAATAGACATTGTATGGAAAGTGCAGATTGTAAACTTTCAGTCCATATCACAGTTGTATTTGTTGGTCGAAGAGGAAACATTTTATCATGATTTGAATTTAATGAAGAGTTACTGTCGTGTGTACAGTTTCATGTTAAGGACAGAAAATTCATCTATTTTTATTGACACTGAATCAAACTTAAACATGTCATTTGAATTTAAACCCATCAATACAGAACAGAAGCTGAATATCAAAGCATTAATTAAAGCTGCAATATGTAAGCTTTGGGAATTTGGAGACCTCTCTGGTGGAAATGTGTAATTGCATGCAATGTGCAGAAGAACATTTTGTAATGTGGGTTGTGTTTTGAAGCCCTTCAATGAGTGGATGAATCTGATGATTTCAAGTGAGAGAATTCAAAGAGAGCTCAGGCAGACCTCGGTGCAAAAACGTGTATTCTGATATGAGTGAATAGATTGTTTGCAAATGATGCTGCATCACTGTGTTGCTGTGGTGCAAACCACAGATGGAGGGCAGGAAGTGATTTTCCACACAGGAAGCTGTCAAAAGCTCTCAAAATGCCTATAGTTTGTGTCGTTTATGGCCGTTCAAGTCAATCTAACAGAGAAAAGACAATGAGCTTTTATCGATTACCAGAAGTTGATGTTCATGAGGGAGATGAAAGTAAAAATGGCTTGCCTGCGGCTGTGAGGAGCGGAGTATTGTATTTCATCTGTGATTGTTTATTGGTGATGGGTTTAAAATAATAACTACAAGCAACACTGCTAACATTCAAGTCAGGGTTAGGAGTTATACAAAAAACAGGCGAATGTTAAAAACATATCCTGCCATGCCAGCTTCTTGTTTGAATTTTCCCGTTCCACCTTAAATGGTGCTGCAGTGACAGTGCTTATAACAGGTCTTATAATAATAAATGCTGCACCATTTGAATAACAGCTTCAAAATCATTGTGATGGTGCACTGATTTATAATAGGGAGAATCGTGTCTCTGTCATTGCCAAAGTCAAAGCCTGCTATAGTGCTATGTAACTTTGGAGGAGCACGAATCCTCTCGCAAGAACTGCGTAACGCTTTACGGCACCATATCACACATGAACAGCTATGGGTATTCAGCTAGCTACAAGAAGAAGCTAGCTCGCTATCCCCAGCATGGATGTCACGACAGAGGCTTTGTCATTTTTCTGGATGCTAAAAAGTCATTTAACCTCAGTCCCGTTTCAGGCTATCACACAAAGGAAATAAATTAAAAATTGGTGCTTTCCTCCGAGCACGTTCAGCTGTCCAATGACGTTGCGTGAGCGGCAGTTCGAAAAGATGCGGTGGCTGGTTTCACGGGTCACGGAGGAAGCCTGTGTTAGTCTTCGCCTTCCTAGCATTAGTAATACTATTGGGGAAGTCGTAACTAGCGGGTTGAATTGGAAACGACTAAATTGGGGAGAAAATTGGGTAAAAATCCCCAAAAAATTATAAAAAAAGGAATGAGGAAGCCAACTTCAGCCTTGTAAAGTTGTATCTCTCCATACTCCATGTATGCTTTTGTTTGTTGTCTCATTGTCTGAAGGTAGATGCTTATATCTACTGCCTCAATAGCAGGCAAGTCTATCAATTCAGTTCAAAAATCGCTCCTCTTCTGAGCGTAAAGATCGCAACAAATGCTGTGCTTTTTTAGACAATATTACAAGAGAACGATATAAACGGTATAATTGGTATGATTTGCTGTTTATATCTTTCTCTCGTAATATCATCAAAACTAGCACAGGATGGGCTCTGTACACCTCCATCTCGTCCATTCTGCTATTTACTTTCTGCCCTCCATCTGGATTTCGCTCTTCTTCAGAATCATGTGACTGCAAACAACCAGTTATCTATTATTGTCATCATATCTTCATCAGTGTAATTATATATAATATTATATTATATTATATTATAATAAGATTTTGCATTTGAGACCTAAACATAGAGCCTGTGTGTGTGATGTTAATATGCATCTGAAAAACCCCCGAACCCGACACTTCCACTTTTTAAAATGACTCGCAGCAGCACACGTTCACCATGTTGTAGCCTGACTCAGTAATGTTCCTCCTTTCAGTCTTATATAATATTTTACATAGTGCAGCTTTAGGTAATTACATTTAAGTAGTATTGCCAAAACAATAATAATATTGCTTGACTTCTAAGGGTTGATTGTAAAAAAGGGCTGAAAGATTCACTTTAATAACAATCATTTCAAATCCAAATGTCTTTCATATGGTTAGTGACAATGATTAGTTTTTAACAAATCATATTTCAAAGCTTTTTATTGATCACGTAACAGTGCGAGGCGTGATGCTTGAAATGCAGATTCAAAAAAATGAATGTACTATAGCCTAATAATATTGTTGTATCCAACATTATTATTGTTATCTGGATTAATAAATAAAGAGCGTTTATTACATGCTGAATTAATGTGTTCTGAACTAGTGGTTTTCCATTCTTTGAAATGCAGAATAATGAAATACATGACGCTTTTAAGCTCATGTTTTAAGAGCAAATACTGATGATAGGACATTTGTCATCAAAATAGGTTTTATGAAATTGTCACAGTTAACAGTACATATGGTCCATATGTATTTTGATATGATATTTGATTTTTGTTGGATTACATAAACCCTTTGATTCATCAAAACACCCACAGAAATACTCATCTGGAACTGTGATTGGTCAGGATGATCACCGTACACAATAAAAAATACTGTGATTGGTCGGCTCATTTGCATACTGCAGCAACCAGTTATATCAGTATTGCACTGGCCAGTGATGCATTAATGATTAATCGTTGATATATTGTGCAGCCCTCTCCTGTTACCACAAGGTGACAATGGATCAAGGACTCGTTGCTTCCTGCCGGACGCTGTCTATCCACTCCAGATAATTGGAGACTTTGGTGTAGATGCCCAGTTTGTCTGTGCGCCCGCATCCCTCGCCCCACGACACGATGCCTATGAGGAACCACGTGTTGTGGTACTGGGTCATCATGGGGCCGCCGCTGTCTCCCTCGCAGGCGTCTGTGACCTTCCCTATTGTCCCGGCGCACAGCATGTTCTGGGTCAGGGTGTTGACCATGTGGTGGGCGCATTCTGCATGCTCCACCAGGGGGATGTGGATGAAGCCGAGAGCCTTGCTGTACTCGGACACCGTCTCGTTTTGTTTGCCCCATCCAGTCACTACTGTTTGGGTTCCGTTGAGGTGGAGCACGCGCTCGGCCAGGCTGCGGCTCGGGAGGCACGCTGGCAAGATGTAAGTGCTGAATTTCACCGGAGAGGCCAAGCGCAGCAGGGCTATATCGTTGTCCACCGTCACAGAGTTGTACTTTGGATGGGAGATGACTTTGGACACAGGGATAGTAACTTCACTGTCTTCCTTTTTAAATCGCAAATAGTCACCTGAAGGAAGAGGAATCTTTATATGATAAGCTTAGAGTGTCAAACTTTTTCCATACCTTGTGGGTGTGGCTTAAACCAGAAGTAAGTCTCAGGTATTGGAAGTAGGTGTCAGTGTTAGGATAACATGAATACAGAATTGAATTTAAACAGCCAATCACTTGTCTAGATTTTGGAACGGTCACCTAAAGGGGTAGAAAGTCAGGAGCATCAAAGTCTGATCTTGGAGGACCACAGCCTTGCACAGATTAGTGCTTTCCCTCTTCTTATGGTGCGTTTGAAAAGTCCTTGTAAACAGGTCTGTGTGCAGACATTTTGGGTGACAAGAACTGTTTTTGAGATGCGTTGCTGCCATCAAGTTCTAAATGAGTTAATGTTTTTCATGAAATGGTAAAATGTCTCACTTTCAGCATCTGATATGTGTTCTATGTTCTATTGTGAATAAAATATGGGTCTTTGAGATTTGCAAATCATTGCATTCTGTTTTTAGTTACATTCATTTACGTTTTACACAGCGTCCCAACTTTTTTGGAGTTGGGGTTGTATTAATCCTACCTGTAATGAACAGATGGGCCCTATCAGCAAGCTACCAACAATATTTTTGCCATTAGTGATATCAATGGTCCATCTCAGTAGCAGATGTGTACTGTTCACAGGATACACTATATGGACAAAAGTATTGGGACACCTACACATTACATCTACAGGAACATTTATGACATCCCATTCTAAATCAATAGGCATTAATATGGAGTTGGTCCCCCTTTGCAGCTATAACAGCTTCTACAAGATTTTGGAGAGTCTGTGGGAGTTTTGTCCGTTCATCCAGAAGAGCATTTGTAAGGTCAGACACTGATGTTGGAGGTCCTGGCTCACAGTCTCTGTTCTAGTTCATCCCAAGTGTGTTTGATGGGGTTGAGGTCAGGGCTCTGTGAGGGTCAGTCAAGTTCTTCCACACCAAACTCACCCAGCCAGGCCTTTATGGTTGAGTCATGCTATTTTTTCTGTTACCACCACTAGAATAATGCAATGTGATGTATTGTTACCGCCAAGCTAGGACTGTTCAGCCTACTCTGATGAGGGCAGAGTACTGTCTATTCCAATTACAAAGAATATAGTGTTAACATCCAGAAAAGATTATTTTTGTAAAGATATTTTGGGAATTTACTTACATGTTACTGGGAAATAATTAAGCAATAGAACACAGGACAGAAAATGGAGGCGGGGTGGGGTGTAATAATACTGAAATAATACTGTCAAATAATGATAGAATTTGTGAAAACCAAGGAATTTCACTGAATATGTAAAATACAATTACTTTTTATTGTATTTTTGTATTTATTCATTTATGTATTATTATTTTTTCCTACCTATAGGTCCCCATCCCAATACTCAGTGTCGGCCATCTCGTGCCCTTTGTATTTTGCGCAACAACAAAAATGTCTTATGCTTAAACATAGCTGAAATAAAACATTGTCGTTCAGCTTGATGCTGCTAGCATGAAGTGAAATATACCTCAACCTTAAAAACACTTCAGATGTAGAAGGAAAGGTGGACAAACCTAGTCTGACGCTGAAGCGCGAGTTTTTCTCCAGACAGTGGGCAGCAGTGAGGATCCAGCTTTCATCGATCAAGACGCCCCCACAGTGAAAAGCTCCCCTGGCATTCAGTATGAGAACCTAGAAAACATACATAGATCATACTGAGATTATCCTTCAGGAAGTCCTTTAAGGCAGACACGCCACACAAAAACTAAAAAAAAAAAAAAAGATCTATTGTTACTGTTATAAACATGTCTACTCCCCTTTAACAGTCATGATGCAGTAGTCTCTAGGGAGAGCTTAACCGGTCTGAATACTGGAAAACACTGCTCAGATGGCACATCTTGAATTTGGGAGTTTTGAAAAACTACAAGCATTTGGGATGGATTATTGGGGGAAAGCTTTAGATTTTTTTGTGTCTGGCTCACTAGCTATTGGGCTAATGCAGAGTGAAATCTGATAACTAAAGTTACTGCTACGAGCGCAGTTAGATATGGTCCGGTAATGACTCATATGCTTCAAACCTTTAAAGCAGCAGAGAAGTTCACGGGGTCGCATATTAAATGGCATAAATTATCTCCAATCTGGTTCAACAACAATCTTCTAACAGGGAACAAACCGTTTATTCAAAACTCATGGGCAGAAAAAAGGTATAAGGGTTCTTGAAGACATCAATGGCAGCAATTCTCTGAGATCTTTTGAGGAACTGGTTTCACATTATGGGATACCCAAACATTCTTTGTTCTTTTATTTTAGACTCGGATCCGCATTGAAGTCGCATAATGTTAAATGGGGCTCAGACTTGAAAGACCACCGAATAATTAGTTGGATCACAGAGGCTCCCAAAAGAATAGTATCTTTTATTTACGCCAAGTTTATGTCACATGTATCTGTAAATGTCTCTGGACAAACGGAGTGGGATAGAGTTATGCAACAGAGAGGAAGGCAGATAAACTGGGAAATGGGAAATGGCTTGGGCTAGTGTTTTTAGAGCATCACATAATCCCAATCATCAATTCATTCATTTGAAAATATGCCACAGGGCTTATTTAACACCCAGGGTAAGACATTTGATGGGTTTAAGCCCTTATCCCTTTTGTAATTTCTGTCCACATGGGACTCTGGGGACTTTTATGCATATTATGTGGGACTGCACAAAGGTTTATGCTTTTCGGGAGGAGGTTATTGATTCCATCTCTTCTCTGATCAGGACAAACTTACCCATGGTCCCTGAACTTCATTTACTGAATGATAACTCTAAGTTCCCCATTACGGAAAGTTCCCGGAAGATATGGCTGGCTGGCTGGACGGCAGCGAAAATAGTCATTGTCCAGCATTGGCTACCCCCTCATAGCCTGTCTATACGTCATTGGCTCCATACCTTACTGGATATTCTATATCTGGAACTGTCATCTGCAAGAATTGGCAGTGCTGGCCCTGGAACTCTTAACACATGGATACACAGAATTTCTAAAGTCAGGACCATTGTGCTTGCTTAACTATATACTGTGTTTAGGTTGTGAATGATGTAATTCTCCTGTGTCCTATGTTTTGTTTTTTTTCCCACCTTTTGTAAGTCCCATGTGTGTGTGGGTCGGGGCTGGAATGGGGGTGTTGTTCTTTAAATGGAAAAATAATAAAAAAATGAATCACAAAAAAAAAATGTTACTGCTACGAAACTGAATATCATCTATCGTCGCTGTCTAAAAAACAAACAAAAAAAAACCACGTATCTCCATTTTTGTCAGTTTTTTTCTTCATCATGTGAGCATAGCAGCTGTCCTTTCCAATGAATTACAATTTCATGATGCATGGAATAAAAAATCACGTGGAATAAAACTTACATTAACTTACATTAAAAGTTAAGACAAGGCTGCCAGACCCACGGGGGCGAGCGGGCATTTGACCCACCACTTTTCAAAGTACTTTCAAAGTACCCACCGCTTTCAGATTGAGTTCTGGACACATCATAAAGAAATTTCTCATGCGTGGAGAGCAATGAGGCAGGATGTAAGTGCGAGCAAACTTTAATGAACAAAAAAAAAAACTAGTAGAAACATGGAGTACAATGTCAAATCACAAACTGCAAAGCTTTAAACCGAGAAACACATTGAATAAACTTTTGAAATTCGAATAGGCAAACCGATCATAAAGAGGCAGCTGTCAAGAAAAACGTATTATTATTGCTTTGTGTTTTGACATGCATAGATGTTAAGTAGATTTTCTACTGATATTTTTGTATTTTCATGGTCAGAAATGTGACGGTAACAGAGTGATTGCATTCCTGCAAAATTTCTGACCAATAAACAGACAAATGTGACCGACCACGGAAGCACCAATGGCACCACATCAGCCAGTGCCACCAGACAGACCGATCACAAGCGTGATTCAGGAGCCCCCGACTCCCTCTTACAAATTGTGGTGGCTCCCATGTCCATCTATTCTCGTTCTCTTCCCCGTGAAGATCATAGCACCTTCCAAGTAAATATCCACGGCCTAGCTTGTCCCCAGCTAGCCCAGCAGATATCTTGCAAATGTTAACTAATGCATTTCCTTGTTTCTACACTCATTGTCCATTTTATCAGCTCCCCTTACTATATAGGTGCACTTTGTAGTTCTACAGTTACAGACTGTAGTCCATCTGTTTCTCTGCATACTTTGTTAGCCCCCTTTTACCCTGTTCTTCAGTGGTCAGGACCCCATGGACCCTCACAGAGCAGGTACTATTTTGGTGGTGGATCATTCTCAGCACTGCAGTAACACTGACGTGGTGGTGGTGTCTTAGTGTGTGTTGCGCTGGTCTTAGTGGATCAGACACAGCAGTGCTGCTGGAGTTTTTAAACACTGTGTCCACTCCCTGTCCACTCTATTAGACACTCCTACCTTGTCAGTCCACCTTGTAGATGTGAAGTCAGAGACGATAGCTCATCTGCTGCTGCACAGTTTGTGTTGGTCATCCTCTAGTCCTACATCAGTGGTCACAGGACGCTGCCCACAGGACGCTGTTGTCTGGATATTTTTGGTTGGTGGACTATTCTCAGTCCAGCAGTGACACTGAGGTGTTTAAAAACTCCAGCAGCACTGCTGTGTCTGATCCGCTCAGACCAGCGCAACACACACTAAGACACCACCACCACCACGTCAGTGTTACTGCAGTGCTGAGAATCATCCACCACCCAAACAGTACCTGCTCTGTGAGGGTCCATGGGGGTCCTGACCACTGAAGAACAGGGTAAAAGATCCTGGAGGGCCGGTTTCCAGCACAGTTTGGTGATTTATCTGCTCAAATACATCTGATTACACTCATCTGTTAATGGCCAGGTTTACTGGGTATGTTTCAGTAGGGAAACTAAACTCTGCCGGACACCGGCCCTCCAGGATCAGAGTTGTGCTCCCCTGCTGTAGGTGATTTACGGCAGTGTCATTTTTGGAAATCAGTTTCAAGATCACCACTATTTTAGAATGTGTTCTTACTGGAGACTTAAATACCTGCCAGGGACTCTCTCCTCTTCTGCCAACTTCACCACCAACAAGCCATGGCTGTAAAATTGGTCTGGGCTTAGTACTGTAAGTCGACTTGGCTATCAAAATCTGTCCACATGAATCTTGATCTGGAAATCAGAGACATGCACACAGACAATGATTATTTCAGTACAGACTTCTGTTAGCACAAAATAGAAATTAAAGCAGTGGTTTGGGGAAAAAAATCACATTTTCACATCTTTTCCCCAAATGTAGTCGAAAAGTCAAGACGTTTGGTGCAGTGGTGAACAGTTACTATCAGAGCTAGGCCTTCAGTTTGAGCCATAAATGTCAAAACACTAAAACGCTTCTACATATATACTAATTTCTATTCTAATCGTATTTCCACAAGCAATTCATGTTTTTCAGCCACTGCACTTAAAAAGATGGTTCTTCAAGTGTCTTTAGTAAAGACAGTGGTTGAACCATGAGCACTCAAGGAGCCATTTGAACCATTTTTATATGGCACCAAAAAGGGTTCTGCTATTGCTACAATGTCAAGCTTGTAACAATAGAAGAACCCTTTTTTAGTGCTATATAGAACCCTTTTCATATACAACATGTTCTCCGTCCATCTGAAGAACCATTTCACCATGCAGAGAACCATTTAATCATGAAATGGTCTTTTGACAGTTCATGGTTCTATGTAGAACCATTGTCTTTGCCAAAGAACCCCTGAAGAACCACCTTTTTAAGAGTGTAAGTTAAACACAGACATTTGAAACTTGTATAAGATATTCTATTTGTTTTATTTGAAGATTATAACTGACATATTAGCAAATATACATGGGCTTGGGTTAAACATGGGGGGGGGGCAAAAAAATTGAATTGACATTCTAATCTCATAAAAGATGTTTAATTTGGAGGGAGAACATTGAAGTAAGAGCAGGAATAATGGTGAATTATTAATGATTGATTTTATTTTTGTTATACACTTTTGTGATAAAGTACATAATGTGATCGCTTTGCAGTGCTGTAGTCTATAAATCTCTGAGCAGTTCAAAAGGTTAATTGATTATTATAAAGCCTAAATATTTTTATTAAAACACTACCTCTGTGTGGTGAGAGCGACACAGAACGTCTCGCTTTTCATTTCGGTGCTCATGTTAACAGGTCAGAACTATTACATTACATGTCCTTACTTTTGGGAAAGCACTCCTTGGAGTTTTCTTGGAGTTGGTATCCTTGGACGCAGCTGCAGAAACGTCCAGTTTTGCCTTTCCTGTCATGGCACTCATGGTCACAGTGACCGTTGTTCTCTGAGCAGTTGAGAGATGTGGTTTCTAAGGGCCAGGCCATAGAGGACCATCAGTCCTACCATCGCTATAATACACTCTGACCCAACACTCAGCAAAAATACTGACAACCTACAGTCTAAATCAACATTTCATTCTTCATAATCAGAATTTCAAGACTTTCTTTACGCATCTTCGTCTGGAAATGTGAAACATGCATGCAAGTCATGATGATACGTGGTGTAGTTTATTATATATATCTAATACATACTTTTACATACATTCTGTGGCCATTTTGTTGCCAAAACAATATAAAACAAAATGTTCCAACTTTATGAATCAACTTCATTATTTTTTTGTATACACCGATCAGGCATAACATTATGACCACCTCCTTGTTCCTACGCTCGTTGTCCATTTTATCAGCTACACTTACTATATAGGTGCACTTTGTAGTTCTACAGTTACAGACTGTAGTCCATCTGTTTCTCTGCATACTTTGTTAGCCCCCTTTTACCCTGTTCTTCAGTGGTCAGGACCCCCATGGACCCTCACAGAGCAGGTACTATTTTGGTGGTGGATCATTCTCAGCACTGCAGTGACACTGACGTGGTGGTGGTGTCTTAGTGTGTGTTGTGCTGGTCTGAGTGGATCAGACACAGCAGTGCTGCTGGAGTTTTTAAACACCTCAGTGTCACTGCTGGACTGAGAATAGTCCACCAACCAAAAATATCCAGACAACAGCGTCCTGTGGGCAGCGTCCTGTGACCACTGATGTAGGACTAGAGGATGACCAACACAAACTGTGCAGCAGCAGATGAGCTATCGTCTCTGACTTCACATCTACAAGGTGGACTGACAAGGTAGGAGTGTCTAATAGAGTGGACAGGGAGTGGACACAGTGTTTAAAAACTCCAGCAGCACTGCTGTGTCTGATCCACTCGTACCAACACAACGCACACTAACACACCACCACCATGTCATTGTTACTGCAGTGCTGAGAATGATCCACCACCCAAATAGTACCTGCTCTGTGAGGGTCTATGGGGGTCCTGACCACTGAAGAACAGGGTAAAAGGGGGCTAACAAAGTATGCAGAGAAACAGATGGACTACAGTCTGTAACTGTAGAACTACAAAGTGCACCTATATAGTAAGTGGAGCTGATAAAATGGACAATGAGCGTAGAAACAAGGAGGTGGTCATAATGTTATGCCTGATCGGTGTATATGTGCTTATTCTGAAATTGATGTCTGCAATACATTCCAAAAAAGTTGGCAATTTAAGACGACAAATGTTGTGAAACAGGTGATGCATTCATGCTTGGGTATAAAAGGAGCATCCAAGAAAGGCCTAGTCCTTTCTAAGCAAGGATATCATGGCATGATGATAATTGGAATACTGTGACAAACCGTTGTCAGTAAATACTGTTCATCTCTGCATCCACAAATGCGAGTTAAGGCTGTAGCATGTGCAGCAGGAGTCATATGTCAGCAACATCCAGAAACACTGCCAACTTCTCTTGATTCAAGTTTATCTGAAATAGACTGTTGCATACTGATTGTCAGCCTTTCAATAGTTTCTGAAAATAACGGATGTTGAGTTCTCCAGGCCAAAGAAGAAAAGGACCGTCCAGATTCTCACCAGCCTGACAAAGTTCAAAAGCCAATGTCTGTCATGGTATTGGTGGGGGGTAGGGGGTGTATTAGGCTGTGTTCAGACTGCAGGCAGGTTGGATTTGTTTCTCAGATCAGATCTTTTGAGATGACTGTCTGCACTGTTATTTGCAAGATCAGATCAGATTTGTGTGTCCACACATCACATGTGGTTTTCAAACACGGATGCAGGAGGTGAGTCATCTCACCCTCCAAACTCTTCAGATTTCTTTTCGTAAGCATGAATCTTTGGCGCTCTTCTCAAATCCCAGCACTTCATCACTCTGGATTTGACATCGTCGTTGTTTGTTGTGTTGCGAGTGACGCAAAAGACGCTTTGAAATCCGATTTGAGCGTCCAGAGCGTCCAGACTGAGATGTATCTGTAAAAATCCACTTTTCCACATTTCGCTTTGAAATTCGTATTTCAAACCACTTCCAAATTTGGTTTGGATCCGATTTGCTGTTCAGAGTGGATACAATCTTGATATGCCAAAAATCAGATTTGGGCCAGCAGTCTGAACATAGCCTTAGTGTGCACCTTCCACATCTGTGAAGGCACCATTAACACCGAAAGATATACACACACTTTGGAGCATCTTATGCTGCCTTCTAGATAATGTCCTTTTCCAGGGCCTCCATGCTTTTTTCAGCATGACAGTGCCAAGCTACATTCAGCACGTGTTACAACAGCATAGCCATGTAATCCAATATGACTGATGGCTGTGCAGCTGAAGTCTTTTATAACAGAAGATGTTCCACAAATTCTACTTTCAAAACTGGATCAACTGGTGTTTTCAGTCCCCATATCGTTTTATTAAGTGTTGTTAACAGGAAAGACGATGTAACGCTGTCGGGAACGTGCTCCTGTCCCAACTGATTTGGAAAGTGTTGCCGGCATCAAATTTGCAATGAGCATAAATTTACCGCCACTTTTTATAAAAATAATATAAATAAATAAATGAATAAATAAAAACATTAATGTATAGAAAACTTTCAAGTTCTTCAAAGTTACTATTAGAAATACAAGGGCTCCTTACAATAGCAATGCCATGTAGAGTACGAGCTGTACATTGTGCTTTTGGTTTGGGGGGAGTGAAAATGAATTAATACTTCATTAATTGTAATCAGGAACAAATGTAATAAATGCTAAGGTGAAAAATAAAACAATAATTAAACATATATAGGGGAAAGAAAAGAATTTAATCTACTAAATCGGCCATAAAATAAATACATAATACATAAAATATTTCAAAAACGGTAAGTCATCAACAATGTAATCGCAAGATGTTTTTCTGTCAACATCATGATTCACACAAACAAAAAACATTTGTAGGGTCCCTTGCACCAAAAGTCACACTCACCTGCATACCGCACCCAGAACTCCAACTACAGGAGAAAAGAGTTAGTAGATTACATTTACATGTACATTCACTGTCCATTGTGTGGTTAATCTGGTAATCTGCCAAAACCTTTGACAGTATTTGAACAATAACAAACCATGCATATCCTTTAAAAGTTTCCAAAAATCTTTGCTGGGAAAAGATAAAGTTAAAGATAAAGGTAAAGATACAGATAAAGCCTTTAAAAAGACTTTATTAAAAAGTATAAAAACACTGTGGTAAAATCTGTTTCTTACAGTAGAAGAGCAATAGAAATTAACATATTTATTATTATCGTTAATGCCCTGCGATGGACTGGCGACCTGTCCAGGGTGTATCCTGCCTTCCGCCCAATGACAGCTGGGATAGGCTCCAGCACCCCACCGCGACCCAGAAGGATAAGCGGATTAGATGATGTATGTATGTATGTATTATTATCGTTAATAATTATTAATAAAATAAATAACGACAGACCGTGTGCTCTCTGCTCTTAAAGATCTCTCTGGCCTCCTCAAAATTACAGTCCTCTTCCATACACTCTCGCTCTAGTGACGCTGGCTTGATTTCCTCCAGGAAGCTGTTGGCTCTTTTGGAACGAAGCAGCATGTGAGCCTTTGGGCTGCTGTAGAAGACTAATACATAAAGGACAGGCCAATAAAAAACCAAGAATTTTAATTAAAGCTCTTAACAGACAACAATCGTGCCTCTGACTAATTACGTTTGGGGTGAGTGGTAAATTAATATAAGTTTTGTTTTTGGTTGGGTGGGGTGGGGGGTGGGGGGGGGTGGGGGGGTGGGGGGGGGGCTCCCTGAGGGGTGGGCTTGGGGGGGTTGGGCCATTGAGGATTGGGTCATTGGGGCTGAGACACCACAAGTCTCAAGGTTGCCCAAATACCTGGGACAGTCCACCACAGATGTAAACATTAGATGAGTAAATAGCCCTTTAATACAAACAAAGGCTAAATAAATACAAATAAATACGTTTGTTGTTGTCATTCAAATGGGATATTGTGGATGGTGTGATGGTCTTAACGTTTAGCCTTCCATAACTTAGTTTGAAAGAAAAAGCCTTCACGTTGTACAAAATCACAAAGTATTTGCACATGAATAAGGCTAATTTTGTTCATTTTCAAAACAGGAAATAAACAGCATTTTCAGTTTTGCTCAGAGTGTGTACAAAATTACTGTGTACATCAACATTAAATGTTGTTTTGTTATATTTTCTTTCATTCTTAATGTATTTTTTGCTTCAGAGGCCCCCAAAGTCTCTTGGTCATAGGGCCATGATCCGTGTTTGTATAATACTTTTTAAACTATAAAGGCCTCAGTAATTCTGTTTACATGTAGCCCATCAAAGCTGTACTCAAATACACAAGGCTTTCACAAGTGATTTGGGAATGTTCACAATTTCCCAGCAAATAGATCAATACTTTCCCTGATTTTTTTAGGTGCTCAACAATTCTCAGTAACACAGTTAATTTCAGTTAGAATATGTATTTATATTTTATTTAATTAGATTTTTAAAATGTGAGATCATACCTGACATGCTGAGAGCTGTAGCAGCCCAGAAGAAAATCAGCACAACAAAGCAGAGGAAATGTCTCCTCGCCATGGTTACACACACTGTGGATATAACAGGACCCAAATTCTTGTTATATTATGACACAATACTTAGCAAAACTCTTAGGACGCCAAGAAAATGGTTTAAACCTATTTATCGCAACTGTAAGTGTGTTTTTTGCCAGTGAACACTATATAGCATTGGAAAAAAATAATAAAAATGCACAATACTCATCTATATTTTGTTAATTATAATCAATAATAATATTTATTCTATGTAACTGTAATCCAAAACACAAAGCACAGTTTCGCATGGCACAACATGAATGCACTGTTCTGGAATCATGTCTATATCTCTGCACTGTCCAGTTTTACAGTGTAAAAGCAGAAGTCTCCTACCAGATTAGCAGATCTGACCAATCCAGTCTGGTTCCTCCTCAGATGAGAACTGTATGGAGAGAGACAGGCATCAGACAGGCTTTGTTTTGTCCTAAATCCCCAATGGTCAACAATGCATGAGTAACCGTTAACAGTGAAACCAAACTGCAGTCCAAATCACACGTGTGTGTGTATGTGGGTTGGGAAGGAGGCAGCACTGAATAAAAGATTCCCAAGCCTTTCTTTATTTTTGGATACACTGTTATATTTTCCGAGCGAGCATGTGAGCTCATTCAGAGTGCAGTCTGGATCTGCAAGCACTTTTTATTGATTTGTTTCATCAGAGCAGTGATAAAACCCAGCAGACGTGTCACTCAGTAGCGTAGGCAGAAATACGTTCTTGGACATCCGACAAAGTGGGTAGGCCACCTTGATAAATACAAATTATAAACATGCTATGCCCTGCAATGTCTGTAAACACATTAACCAGAATGCAGGATTCATATAAAGACAACTGACACTGCAACACCCTTCACTTTAAAGCATGTGAAGTAGCTCATCTGTCTGATTTTAACTCTATTATGTTGTCTTCATTATGCAGAGGTTGTGACTTTTGCAAGCACCACAAGGCACAACTTCTGCATAATGAAGACAAGATAACTGAGTTAAAATCAGACAGCTGAGATGTACAAATGAAAGGAAAACAACCCAGCACACCTTGAAAACCTTAATCATTAAACTTAATCATCCTAGGCTAAAGCCTACTGCCACAGCGGGCATGAAAAATGTTATGGACCATTCATGTCTTACCTTTGATGACTCAATGCATTGAAGAAAATGTTTGCTTTGACACTTTGACCAATCTCATTTTAGTTTTTGTGGTAAAAGAGAATTGTAATCATCAAATTTACAGAAAACTGACAGCAACGTCTTTAAAAAATTGTTTTTGGCTTTGGAAATGTGTAGAAAATTTCATACTCCACTCTACTGGGGACAGGATCCCACAGATACATATTTTGACTGTGCCTGGACCTTCATATTTAAACACTGGTGTGCTGATAACGAACTGAAGGCTTAAGGCAATGGCAGAAGGCAAAAGTAGCTAAGCAGTGATTGAAGGGTGAATTTGGCAGAGAGCATAATGATTGGATTGGCTATAACACAATGGTAGCATGTGAAGACAAAATAAAAATTCAGTATCTTAAAAATGCAGGTTAATAAATATTCTGTCCATATTTGGGTGGGCTTGTGATCAATATGGGTCCTTTTTCCTTAGTTAGACCACATTTCCATTTCAATTAAATTCAACAGCAGCTCTGAGAAATCATGGCATTAACAGAGAACAGCAGGCTAAACCTCTGAAATGCGTAGCATCTTATTGACCTCATGAACTCACATTTAGCAGGATAAAAATGCTCCACAAGGGGGAGCTCAAGTATTAATGCTTTTTAAAGCTGCAGTCACGCAGGAGGTGAGTAACACTTGCTAGATAGAGAGAAAACCATTCACTTGAATAATAAAGGGCGTGGAAACACTTCTAGCAGTGGTTTATTTCATTTTGAGCTGGGTTTATCTTGGCGATTGTTAATTTTGGAAACATGAGCCAAAGAAAACAAGAGGGCAAGCTGTGACATCGTCATTCTGAAAACAAACTAAATGTGAACATAATGGCCAATCAAATACATATCGCTGCTGTCGGAAAAAAAACCTTGCATCTCCATTTTTTCCTGTTTCAGTTTTTAATGAAATTTTAAAATGCCTGTTGCTCTTTACGTTGTGTGTAAATTTCATGAAGAATGGACCAAAAGAAACGGCCCAAAACGACATGGAAAAAAGTCTGGTTCCATTGACTTACATGAAAAGTAAAGTATGTTTTTATCTTCTCCTGTGAAGTTACCATTTTGGAGATACAAGGTTTCCTTCTGGCAACAGCAATATGGTCAAATCTAAAATGAGCGTTCGCAAATTTCACAGACAGTTTTGTGATTTGCCAATTTCCTTTGCTGTATCTGTACCATCACACTCTGGTAGGAACACATCTAAATTTGAGCATAAACGTTTAATGACCTGAAAAAATGCCTGATTTGCAGTTAAATAACCAGAACTATTATCAATATCGTCCAGTAATACCACTAGTAAGAATAAAAATAGAAAATAACAATAATACTAATCATTTATGCACTTGGCAAACCAGTACAAAACTCGATGTATTTATCTTACATGCACATAAACTAATATACCACCTTCCATTTCAAGTCATGTTACACTGCCCTTTTGTGTTATACTGCTGACTCTGCACACAAAACAAACACTACAAAACACAAGTGCAGAAGCATCTCACACACTGCGATAGTGCAGCGTTTAAATGTGTTACTTTAAGAAAACAGTGTCTCACTACAGTCACCTCATTCTACCCTCTTAAAAAAGAAGTCATTTAGTTTTTTCACATTTTATTTTTTCCAGTCGTTGTAATGTTACCACTAAAAGGGTGGGTCAGTAGCGTGAGCAGCGCACTCACTGACCTCAAACTCCGCCTCTGAGCACAGCCAATTGGCTCAGGAGCCTCTAAATGTGTTAATTTTATTGGCTTCTTTCCGAAACATCTGCACGGAGTCGGGCATGTTTCCTGTAAATGATATGTAAATGAGGTGCAGGTAGGCAGGGCCTTGATTTCACGCACCCAAGCTGATTCATCATTTATGTTCAAATCTCTGCTTGTTTCTATGTCCTACAGAAGTTTCATGAACCACACATAGATTAGTTCAAACGTCATTAAAGGCAGTTCAATCTACACTCCTTTTTACACAACTTCACTCGCAGTAGCAAAAACGTAAAAACCTAGTTGACGAGCATTCGCTGTTTAATGAACTAAACATTCTTTCCAAAACCACAAAACCACATCACATCAGGAACGTCCATACTTGCCTGATTGTTTTTTCCGCTGCAGTGAAGAAGATTCAAGTACCAAATTTACTTAAAAAATAAAGAAAGAGCAGGAATGTTGGATGTGGTGTTTAAATTGTGTTAATGACTAACTAATATCTGTTTACTGACAGTCCACAGTCTGCAACAACACCCCCCCTACCCCCCCGAGCCACCCACTCACACTCTCCGGTCAGCCAAAATAAGCCTACAGTACAAACCTTTATAAACAGCTGAGGCTTACTGAGTACTACACTCTTAAAAAAGACAATTCTCTGAAGGTTCTTTAGTAAAGAAAATGGTTCTGTATAGAACCAAGAACTCTCAAAAAACAATTTGCATGCAAAGGTTTCTTTGCATTATAAAAATGGTTCTTCAGATTGATGGAGAAAGTGCTCTAAATGGTTCTATACAGCACCAAAAAGAGTTCTTCTATTGTAACAAGCTTGTATCGTAACAATAACAGAACTCTTTTTGGTGCTATGATGGAACGCTTTTCGAAAAGGTTCTATATAGAATCATCTACCACACACTCTCCCTCAAACTGAAGAAGTCATCATCAAAGGGTTCTTTGAGTGTTCACGGTTCTACATAGAACCATTTTCTTTACTAAAGAAGCCTTGAAGAGCTGTTGCTTTTAAGAGTGCATGCTATGCAGTTTTCTACTCAACAGCTGTTTGTAATTCATTGTTATAGCTATATCCAACAGCTGGCCTGATGCAATAAGCTGTTTAATTTAAGTAGAGGATGGTCCCTAAAACACAGCTACGTTTTAGGGCTAAGCTATAGGGTCATTTCAGTCATAATCATGATTTCCTTGACAGTTTTTGATTTTTCACACTAAAGAGTTAAAAATAATTATTCTGTAGAGTTGACACTTCTACAGAATAATACAGTCTGCATTGGGCTGAGGTACGATACAGTTTCTCTGTGGTGTTTTTTCCCCATAAGTACACACATTTTCTGTAATTCTACTACCTCTACAGTTTCTGCTGCTGCTACTACAACTAATAATAATAATACAATAGGTGCAATACTGGGTAAACTCTTTTTCATATTCAAGCATACTGGTTAAAATTGTGGAGGACTCTTATTGTGATAACTGTCGTGTTTCTGCCTGAAAAGGTGAAATTATTCACTATGCTATGCAGTAATCACTGTTGTTGGCAAAGGAAAGAATGTAAATCTGCCTTCATGGTGCACACTTAAAGAAGATGGTTCTTCAAGGGTTCTTTAGTAAAGGCAGTGTTTCTATGTAGAACCATGAGTTTTATATAGAACAATTTTGTATAGAATTTTATATAGAAGAATTTCATGCTTAAATGGTTCTTTGCATAGTGAACCAGTTCTTTCAGCTTGGTGGAGAATATATATGGTTATATATAGAATGTTTTTTAAAATGGTTCTATATAGCACCAGGTTCTGCTATTGTATCAATGTCAAGCTTGTAACAATAGAAAAACTCTTTTTGGTGCTACATAGAGCTATTTTCAAAAAGATTCTGTACAGAACCATATATAGTTCCATATAGCACCAAAAAGGGTTCTTCTATTGTTAGGATGCCAAGCTTGTCATGATAGAAGAACCCTTTTTGGTGCTATATAGAACCATTTTCAAAAACATTCTATACAGAACCATATATGGTTTCAAATAGCACTAAAAGGAGTTCTTCTGTTGTTACACTGTCAAGCTTCTAACAATAGAAGAACACATTTTGGTGCTATTTGGTGCGATATACAACACATTCTCCATCAGTCTGAAGAACCATTGCACCATGGTTCTAAATAGAACAATTGCCTTTACTAAAGAACTCTTAACATTATTTTTTATATTTGTTTGATACATCGTGTGGCGATTAATTTCACTTTTCTGACATGCTGTATCTACTGCTGTCATAAATGAGTCTACAAAGACTAAAGTCTATAGCTAAAGTTTTAGTTAGCTATTCGTCTAAATTAGCATAATAGCTAAGCTGCATTTCTTTGTACTGTCTGTTGTTTACACTCTTAGAATGATTCAATGAAGGCATCGTATACAAGGTGCAAAACTGTGAAGCTGTCATTTTTACACAAGATAAATCTGCGTTGTAGATCATGAACCATTAACATGGTCTGAAAACTGCCTAGCAACTACATCTAAAGAAAGAACTTAACTAAATTAGTGCAATTTCAAAATGACATGCTGACATTACTCACCTTTGGAATATAATTACTTATCTACAGTTTTATAACAGCTTTATTAAGTTTAAAATCATGGCTTTTTAGAATAAAAGGATTCTAAGCTCTGACATCACTAAGATATAAATAATGAAAGAAAGCAGAAAAGTTATTCAACCATCATAAATCTTGTAAAAACCATATTAATGTCTTCTCCACTTAGTAATGCTTCAGTAGTGCAGTGAACAGGAACACTGTATGTTGGTTTGTACTTGGGCCGTGTATGTTTTGCTGTGAACGCCAACTAGTGGATCACATTGATTTATCAGTCTACTCAGGCTCTAGCAGGAACTTCAGTGTTTGTAAAGAAGCCATTAATAGAGGTCCTGTTTAGAATGCTTGTGCTGACTCTAAAATACTTAATAAACATGCACTGATGTTTTTTTTTAAGATTTTTGAAGTAATTTTATTATTTAGTGGGTATTTAGTGGGTACTTTTTAAGTATTTAAAAAGTATTCTCCTAAAAATATAAAAAGGAACTCTATTCTGAATACTGCCTTTACAAAATGTAACATGGACTGAATACAGGTACTTAATTGGTGTATTCTGAATACATATTCCCAATAGTTGTATTCTGATACATCCCAATACTGTGTGTTGACCTGTTGAAAGCATCCTAGAGTCAGTTAACAGTCTGAAAATGTACTATGTCAATTTAGAGTTTACTACAGAGCTAGTTAAACATCTATGACACAGCAAAAGATACAGCAATTTCACAGCAAAGGAATTAGTCTAGAAATTGGTCTGTTATATCTATTTGGTCTCCTTTGTCTACACAGAAAGTCTATGGCATAGTGGATAACTTTACCTCTTTCAGGCAGGAACTCCACTGCTGTCACAATAAAAGTCCCCTATAATTCTACTGCTTAAATGATCATCTACTTAATTTACTTGAGTTATTTAAATGAGTGGTCTTCTCATTATTATTATTATTATTATTATTATTATTATTATATTATTATTATTATTATTCATGTCTTACTATAGAACATAAATGTCTGTATTCACTGACTAAAATGTCTGGCTAAATAATCTGATTGGCTGGTAAAGAGTTGGCCATCCAATGCAAGGCTTTATATTTGCAATCTGGATTAAAATATGACTGTACTGTAGACTTATAATATTGTCATCACTTTGTTATTGTTATTCAGATTAATAAAAACAGGGTGTTTATTACACACATTTTCCATTCTTTGAAATGCTGAAAAATTAAATATATGCTGTCTAATGAAGTACATGCTTAAAGCCATGTTTTACAATGAACCAAACAAAAGGGCATTTGTCATCAAAATAAGTTTTTATGAAGCTGTCAAGATTAACAGTACATATTATGTGGTACATTTGGTAAAGAGTTTAAAGTTTGTGAACTTGTTTCAATGAAAAGAACAGACAGTTTGGAAATGAGTGATTTCAGCAGTTTGCTTATTATGTCTCAGGGTGGCACTCATGGGGTCTATTTCTGATGCTATTAAAACCTGAATGGTGGACACACATCAAATGCTAGCTCTGCTTTTTCATATTTATATTCTAAGGTTGCACAATATGGATCAAATACAAGTGCAGTGGCTTTGCTGCAGTTGGGTCATTCTCATGAACTTATGAAATTGGACATACAAGCTAAATAGATTAGAAAAATTGGTGCTTTTAAAAGTTATTTTCTGAAATAAATGTGTTGCTCTTTGTGCCTATTTTGTTGAATATGTAAATATTTGTAGCTGTATCTAAAAGTTCATATATACTGTCTACAGTATTTTCTCCCAAGATCTCATGACCACAACCAACTTGTCTGGGTGAATTGAAGTGTAACTTATATACAAATACACAATTTGTTAAAGCAACATTTAAAAATTCACACGCTCAGCAAAAACACTCAAGCATGGCTACAAGGTAAGGTTGCCTCTCCTGCTCTAGAGTTTTTTTTTAAGTTTTATTTGATTCAAACCCCTAGATTTCACACTGTATCATTACAACAGCAACCATTTTTCCCATTAATGTAGTATGTTAGAAATTTTACAGGTAGAATAAAAAATTGGAAGTATGTGATGAGCAAAGTATGTCCTCATCAAAAACTAAACTAGCTAGGGCAGATTCATTACAGTAACATTTATTTATCATTACTTTAGCCAGGAACTCTTTATTCTGCATTACAGTAATGAATTCACCTGTTATGGTAATTATACCTTTTGTTTTCTATTCATATGGAAATTCCAGTCATTAAAGGTAGATTTACTGTCAAAGTGACAGTTTGGCAAAAATCAAACATACAAAATTTCACCTTGTCCCAAAGATAGTCAATCATACAGAGGCCCTAAGGTGACATGGTGATCCTTTTTTAATAAGGTGTTGCCACAAATTACTTTACTGAGGCCACGAGTTAAGTTTCTCATAACTCTATATATAAGGCCTCAATATATTAATTTGTGACCTCAGTACAGTAACATACGGACCCTGCTGGTGACATCCCATATAAATAAAAATAATGAGTGGCCACACTGTATTAATATGTGGTAAACAAGATAATTAAGTCGTGGCCATGACTTAGTAAGGTGTGGGAACAAGATAATTAAGTCGTGGAACTTAGTAAGGCATGGGAATGGGATCATGCTTTATTAAGCTGTGGTCAAGGCCTAATTATTGAATTCCCACACCTTACTAAATCATGGCCATGACTTAATTGTCTGGTTTCCACACCTTATTAAACATGGCCTCAACGTAATTATCTCGTTCCCATGCCTTACTAAGTCATGGCCATGACTTAATTATCCTGTTCCCGCGCCTTACTAAATTGTGGCCTCAACTTAATTACCTCGTTTGCATGCCGTACTAAGTCATGGCCGCAACTTAATTATCTTGTTCCCGTGCCTTACTAAATTGTGGCCCCAACTTATTTATCTCATTCCCAAGCCTTACTAAGTCATGGGCTGATTTAATTTTCTCATTTCCAGGTGTTATTTTCATTTATACGGGATGTCACCAGCAGGGCTTCCTATCAATCAAGATGCGTTTTGCTTTAATTTTGGGCTGGTGCTACGAGGCTAATGCAGTTTGCCTGATGGTTGTGGGCAAATAATAGCTTCTATTACCTGTGAGCTACATTAGCCTTGTAGCTCCAGTGCAAAATCCCAAATGTAGTCAGTCAAGACACGTTTAATTTTTAGGTTTTAGGTTTAATTGCACTGGAGCTATGAGGTTAATGTAGCTCACAAGTAATAGAAGCCATTAATCACCCAATAGCATCAAGTAAACTGCATGAATAATAATCATGCTTGCCTCATACTGTCTCTAACGGACTTGCTTATATGGTTTCTGACACAGCATGGCACACTGTCATCTACAAACATGGACAATAGTACAGACAAAATTCAGGCTTCTGGATGCTGCTACTGGTGTTTTTAGCAATGCAACATACTTCTGTCAGTTTTTACTGATAACATTTTAATACAGTGTCAGAAACCACATGTACAAGTCTCTTTGAGATTACTTAACTCTGTATGGTTTCAGGCAAGTGAATAATGATTTAGACATACTGTTTACACTAGACCAGGGGTCGGCAAAATGCGCCCTACTGCCCTGTTGCGGCTCCACAGCAGAATTAGATTTATAGGTAAAACAAAATAATCTTCCTTTGCAGTAAAATAAAGCTCTGCTGATCGTTCAACACAGTTTTAACAGTAAATGGTCTTAAACGCTGGAGTTAATGTTTAACTGCTAATTCACCCTTTAACCCTGAAGGTTGGCACGCAAACTGCTGGTCACCATAGCAGCAGGCAACAGTTTAGCCTAGCTAGTAGCTAATGGAAAGAAAAGGAAAAAGATTTAAGATGAACATAATTTAGAGATGAATGAACTTCTTTGTATTTATTAGCACTCAGCTGGTTTCCTGATACATTTATAATCTGCAGCAGAGAAACTGTCACACACTAAAAAGTCGCAAACCTGAAATCAGCTTCTAGAATTTTCACGTTCCACCTTAAATGGTGCAGCAGTTACATCCTAGCTCCTAAGGCACCTTTTAAGGTTGAACAGGAAAATTCTTACAAGAAGCTGGCGAATGAGAAGCGACTTTAGCCTCGTAAAAAGTCGAACGTTGAGAGACATTTTACAACAAAATATTCTACTTTTGTGAAAAAGTTTCCTGCCAGAGATGCAAGAAAAGTAGCTATAGTTGAATTAAAGCTTAAAGCAGAGCCAAGTAAATCTGCATTTTTGTTAATATAACATTTTTTTTTGCCTATACTGGGACATTAGCACATACTGAAACATATTTACCGCTATATTTGCATGACTTCTATAAAATGGACCTAAAATGTTGTGGCTCCCAAGGTGGTTTGATTTTTGTTGAAATGGAACAAAATTACCTGTCCAGGGTGTATCCTGCCTTCCGCCCAATGACAGCTGGGACAGGCTCCAGCACCCCACCGCGACATGGAAGGATAAGCGGTTTAGATGACGTATGTATGTATGTATGGAACAAAATTGCTCTTCTTAACATTTGGGTTGCTGACCCCTGGACTAGTGGGTGTTAGCTACATAGCTTCATAGCACCAAAACTGATTAGCAAACTAAAAAAGCAAGCTTTGATCACAAACCACAGAGCAAACTTTGGCATTTGTATTTTTGCCTCTGGATTGGTATTGTAGGTTTAAAATAATATATTATTATTATTAGTAGGTATTATTAGGTATTATTCATTTATTGTATTATTTTATGTTAAATTTATGCTGTAAATTTGAACTGTGTGAAAACTGTAATCTGTTTTTGTTGTGTTTAATCTAAATATTGTTACAGTAATTATTTTTCATCGTGACTGTCTTCAGAAAATTGTTAAAAACGAATTAAAAATTAAAAAGTTTTAACCCACACACATTATGATTATACCATCTGCTTTAGCCGAACAACAAAACTGTATGTGATTATAACAAAGAAATAAAAGTGAAAAATGAGAATGACCCAATTGTGAATTAATACCGGTGGACTAATGTGACATAGTTAAACATTGGCTTGCATTATTTTGAACAAAGGTATTTACTTTTGTTGGATTGCATGAATATCGTGGCTCATTAAAACACCCACAGAAACTATCTGGAGCTGTGATTGGCCGGGATGCTCACAGCACACAGTAAAAATCTTTGTGCTTGGTGAGAGGCCTCATTTGCATATTGCAGCCAGCTGTGATATCAGCACTGCAAATGCCAATATCACAACAGTGATTAACAAATGAAATATTGTGCAGCCGTACCATTTTACCACCCTGTGTTTAACGTCCAGGCAGCCTGCTAGGCCTCCTCTGGCCTTAGAGGGGCCGGAGATGGCCTAGCAGCTTACGTGGACGTTATACTGTGAGTGACACAATGAGCAGAATGGTGAAGAAGGCGAGCACAGGGCAGAGCTGAAATCCTGGCGATGGATCAAGGACTTGTTGCTTCCTTCCGGACGCTGTCTATCCACTCCAGATAATTGGAGACTTTGGTGTAGATGCCCAGTTTGTCTGTGCGGCCGCATCCCTCACCCCACGACACGAGGCCTATGAGGAACCAAGTGTTGTGGTACTGGGTCATCATGGGGCCGCCGCTGTCTCCCTCACAGGCATCCCTGACCTTCCCAATTATCCCGGCGCACAGCACGTTCTGGGTCAGATTGTTAACCATGTGGCGGGTGCACTCGTCATGGTCCACCAGGGGGATGTGAATGAAGCCGAGAGCAGAGCTGTAGTGGGACGCCGTCTCGTTTTGTTTGCCCCAGCCAGTCACTACTGTTTGGGTTCCGTTGAGGTGGAGCACACGCTCAGCTAGGCTGCGGCTCGGGAGGCACGCTGGCAGGATGTAATTGGTGAATTTCACCCGAGTGGCCAAGCGCAGCAGGGCTATATCGTTGTCCACCGTCACAGGGTTGTACTTTGGATGGGAGACGATTTTGGACACAGGGATGGTAACTTCACTGTCTTCCTTTTTAAATCGCAAATAGTCACCTGAAGGAAGAGGAATCTTTATATGATAAGCTTTCAATACCTTGTGGGTGTGGCTTAAACCAGAAGTAAGTCTGAGGTATTGGAAGTGGGTGTCAGTGTTAGGATAACATGAATACAGAATTTAAACAGCCAATCACCTGTGTAGATTTTGGAACGAGCATGCTTATTGGCTCACTGACACTGAGAAGATTGACTACTCAGGTCAGCGGTGTCAAATTGAACCACTAACAGGTCCAAATTTAAAATATCTCAGCAAATCTGTGGGCCACCTGTGTTTTTATTTCATTTTTACCTAAAATTATATATATATATATAATATATATATATATATATATATATATATATATATATATTTTTTTTTTTAATTGCCTATTTGCTTGAACTAGACACCAGACAGCTTTTCTTTTTGTGTAACCACTGGTCCATAGATTGATGTTCAGGGAAGGGGCCAGAATGCACACTATGTTGCAGTGCATGCTGGGGACTGTAGTGCATCTCAGGGTGAAATGGGCTACTAAGAATAGAAAATTAAAATAATTTCGCCGGCCGAACAGGACTGTGTCCCGGGCCCACAGGCCTTGTGTTTGACACGTGGGACTTAGGTATCGAAGTTTGGTACTGGATGACAGTTTGTTCTAAGCTCGGTAGAATTGGTGTAATTTGGCTCATATCATAAAAGTGGTGAATTTTAACAGCCTTAAGTTTACCACAACAATCTGATACTTGAGCTATATCATAAATGCAAGTGTTAAACTCAAGCTAACTCCAAGCTACCTGAGTTAATGAGATATATCACTGGCCGGTGCATTATCTGTAACCATGGCTACACAAGCTGGCAAACAATGCACCGATGGTAAATATTAATCTTACCTCTAATGAACAGGTAGGCCCTACACTCTTAGAAATGATGGTTCTTCAAGTTAGAACACTTTGCATGATAAAAGGGTTCTTTGCATCATGAACATGTTCTTCAGATTGATGGAGAATGTGTTGTATATGGGTCTGTATAGAACCTTTTTGAAAATGGTTCTATATAGCACCAAAAAGTGTTCTTCTACTGTTACAATATCAAGCTTGTAATAATAAAAGAACCCTTTTTGGTGCTATATAGAACCCTTCATGTAGAATTTATATAGAATATTATATATAGAACCATCTACAACATTCATGATGCAAAGAACCCTTTAATCATGCAAAGCGTTTTTTTTTTTCATGAGTGATGTCATTGGCCCATCTCAGAGCTTAGGCCTATGACATCACTTTTTGTTTACATGAGTTACCAGTTGTTGAAGACCACCCAAAACCAAACTGGTAGTTAACTGGTAGTTGATCAGAAGCGCCCAGACAGTCCACAACACTCTGAATTCAACAATAAAGGCCCAGCTTATTATCCAATGAGAATCAGGTGTGTTAAATGAGGTAGAATGCTAATCTTTGCAGTACAGTGGCCTTACAACAGTGGTCACTAGTCCTTCCTTGCAGATTTTAGTTTCAACCTGTCTTTAACTTGCTGCCCTCTCCTTTACTCAACATTAATGCATCTGGTCCAGCCACTCAAGGACTTGTAAAGAAGTTAATTAGGTGGAGCAGGTGTGGCCAGCTGTGGTTGGAACTAGACCCTGCAGAAAGGTCGATCTCCAGAACCAGGGGCCGGATTCATGAAAATGTTCTTAAGCGAAAACTTGCAAAGGTTCTTGAGACAAACACTAAGGATTTCATTAGAATGTTCTTAAATGCAAGTTTGAAAAACCTAAGAAGTTCTTAAAATAATCGTAATTATTTTCTGAAGAAAATCTTCACTGTTTTCTTATGTAGGCTCTTTTGCATTTTACCCCGCACCATAAATGACGTAAGATACATTTCAAATTTGTATTAACAGTTATTTTCGTTATTAGGCTAATCCACTCAGAGGAGCAAAATTTAGGAAAAACATCAAACCAAGTGTTTAAAACATTTTAGACAACAAGAACTAGAGATTATGGTGGAAGAAACAGCCTACAGGAAAAAAATCCTCCTTTGTGGGGTGACAGTGCAAAGCAGGAGACGAGGACGGGCTGAAGTAGATAAATTGATAAGTTTAGATGCTTACTTTGTCAACTCTTACAGCCTAAGACAAGTGTGAGACTGTCGTTATTTATTATTCTTAGGAAAATAGTAAAGGAAAAAAAATTCAATTGATTCTTAAGAAGTTATTTGAAATTTTTTTTTTTTCGTAATTACGTACGGAAGATTTTCTTTCTCAATACACTTTCGTGAATCCGGCGCCAGGGTTGGTGACCACGGCTTAACAGGATTAGAAGCTGACACCCCTGTTGCTGTTGACATTTGTAAGAATATCCCCCTTTTGGCCACCTCATACCATTTTTGAATTAGTTGAAACTCCAGATCTTTAAAAAATTTGGTCACATGCTTGAGCACTAGGTAAACAATGCATCATGTGTAGCCGTTTTACTAGATGTTGCTACCAAGAAGTGAAAGGAACCTCAGCCTTTCGCTGCATTTACATTACAGTGAAGCGAGCAAATTTTTGTTTCACCTCTCATACATACAGGCAGCAGTTCAAGAAAGTGGAAGTCACCACAGTGGAAGCGGCAACATGTACATATTCAAACAATATGCTGAAATATATGTGGGTGGAAGAGGAAAACTTGGCATGGGATTTTTACATTTATTCAAATTTTGAAAACAATATTAGACTTTTTCCAAGTTTCATCGGAGCACAAAACTAGTCTAAAACTCTGCCTGGACAGCTAAACCTGCTCATTTTAGCCACAGCAACGAAGAGCTGGTGTGGAGGAGGTAAGCACTTCACTTCGCTATAATGTAAATTGCCATAAAAGCACTGCTGATTCATATAGGAAAGGAGGACAAACCTAGTCGAACACTGAAGCGAAGGCTTGTCTCAAGACAGTGGGCAGCAGTGAGGATCCAGCTTTCGTCAATCAAGACTCCGCCACAGTGAAATTTTCCTTTGGCGTTCAGTATAAGAGCCTAGAAAGCACATACATAATTGAGTGGTGCCGTATTTAGAGTGAACTGCTTTAAAGAGACACTGCAGACCAAACAAAAAATGTAATTGTCCAGACGTTGTTACTGTGCTTACCTGCCGTTTCAGTTGTGATGCAGGGGTCTCTAGAGCAGAGTCTTCAAATCTGGACATTGAATCCCATTTTTGGTCCTGGGATTTGTTAAAACTGAATGCCTATACGTGCACTCAATAATTCGATCATAATCAGATTTCTGCAGTTATCTGATTATTCGGTCAAGTAAACAGCATACTCTGCTTTCTTAGATTGGAGTAAGGTCTAGAAATCTGATAAAGAGAGCTGCTTTTTAGCACAGTAATCAGATTTTTCAGCACATGTGAACTCTTACTCTGATTTCTTTCGGATGTCTCAGTCTGCTGCATGCGCGAAAACAGACGGCTGGTACCGGAAATAAGTGAACAGTGTCGCCGCGAGACGCAGCAAAACACTTTTGGAGTGACGCTGAAGCCAAATACACGCTTGATGAGAAGAAGGATTTAAGTGCTCTTCATCTTCCAGATGATGTACGTTCATATTTTCAGGTAAAGAGGCGCAATGTTTTAAAAAAGCTGCGGCATGAAGTTGGAGTTTTTTTTTAGTCTTCTTCTGTGAGTTTATTGGCTGGTTGCAAAGCACAAATCTGATTACTCCCTGAATCATGCAGACCTGGAGCTTCCCCATTATCTGATTACTCAAGTGCATGTAAAGGTGTTGATCGGATTACTGACAAAACCTGATTTTCTGCAGTTATCAGATTATTAAAGTGCATGTAAACACACTCACTGGTAGTGGCCAATCAGTTACATGAACATTTCTATTATTACAAAATACAAGACCAGAAACTGGATTCAAGGTCAGAATTTGAAGATCTCTGCTGAGTAAGATGTCCTGGTTTGAACACTGGGAAACCTTCTGATGATCTTATAGGAGGGAGCTTTATTGTGGATACTCGGGGCAGGCTGTTTAATTTTTTTAGCAAATGCGGAGAAAAACGATTGCTGATTTGACTGCTTACATCTCACGGATAACTTGGTTAACTATAATAATTACAATGAAGAGCATGGATGACTCAAACAAGAGAAGTGACTTACTGAAGTGGACGACAAGCAAATAGGTCAAATTACCAAGTTACCTACCTAGCGAGCTCATTTTGACGACATTGTTAGAAATAAAGGTTCAGGTACATTTTTGGTTCATCAAGGTACAAACAATGTAAATGTTCCCTCAAAGTTACAACAGTGGTTTTAAGGTCCAGTTGTTTACCTTAAATAAGTTTTTTCAGGTGAAAAGTTCGTATTTGCACCTTTTTATAACCTAATGTTTTAAAACAGAACAATAAAGCCTGGAGATGGTGCAGTTATGTTCCCTGACTAAAGGTGCTAAGATGTACCGTTAAGGGTCCCACCCCAGTGACAAGAGGGGTCCTGCCCCAGTGACAGTTTCATACTTTTTTTTCTAAGAGTGTACTTGGTGTCAGTTTTGTGTTGAATATAGATGGAATAAAGATTCTTCAACTAAATTATGTTTTTGATAAAAACAAGGTCCCTTTTTCCAAAATTGATGGAGATATCCACTAATGTTAGCTTGCAGCATGGGCGCATTTATCAGAATATAGATAGTATAATAGTACAGTATTATGGTACAGTTTAATATTTACAACAGTGTGGGTGATTTACAGCAACAGTTATTGGAAATTCATTTTAAAATCTTTAAACTGTGTTAGTACATTCTTATTGTTGACTTTCAGTGTAAAAGACGAAATAAATACCTGCCAGGGACTCTCTCCTTTTTTGCCAACTTCACCACCAACAAGCCATGGCTGTAAAATTGGCCTGGGCTTAGTACTGTAAGCCGACTTGGCAATCAAAATCTGTCCACATGAATCTTGATCTGGAAATCAGAGACATGCACATCATGATTGTTTCATAACAGACACAGTCCTTTCATGCCAACCCATAAAGAAACACTTCTGTAAGCCGCCAATGGAAGAAAAAAAACAATGGTTTTCCAAAAATCACATGTACATAGTTAATAATGTAGACAATCCACCATGGTATGTTTGGTGTCCTTGCTTATGGTCCTTGCGTACGTTGTTTCCTGACACTGTATGGCAAACTGTCATTTATAAAAATGGACAAAAGTACAGGTTTCAGGTTAGATTTTATTTTATCCTATAGGTAACAGGGAGTGCATTTACATGCACTCAATGATCTGATCATTAATCTGTGCAGTTATCTGATTATTCAAATGGTCATGTAAACAGCATACTCTGAATTCTTAGATTGGATCTAGAAATCTGATTAAGACATCTGATAAAGAGGCTGGATTTTAGCTCAGTAATCAGATTTCTCAGTGCATGGAAACTCTTACTCTGATTTCTTTCAGATTTCTCAGTCTGCGCATGTAAACGAAAATAATCAAGCAGTGTTGCCGCAAGATGGCAGCAAAATTCTTTTGGAGTGACGCTGAAACCAACTACATACTTGATGAAAAGAAGGATTTAAATATTCTTCATCTTCTAGATGATGTTTGTACATATTTTCAGGTAAAGTGGCGATGTTAAAAAAAAAAAAAAGTTTGAGTTTTACGTTATGTTTACGTCACGTCTTCTTCTGTGAGTTTATTGGCTGGTTGCAAAGTAGAAATCTGATTACTGTCTGATTCATGCAGACATGGAGTTTCCCCATTACCTGAATCCTCAAGTGCATATAAACGCGTTGATCGGATTACTGACAAAATCTGATTTTCTGCAGTTTTCGGATTATTAAGTGCACGTAAACACACTCAGCATGTTATACAATACATACCTCAGAAACCACATAACTAAGTATATTTGAGATTACTTAACAACTCAACGTGGATTGAAGCAAGCATGTGATGATTTAGGCATGTAATTAGCATGACGTTAACTCGTGGCTGTAAGCTTCCATTACTCGTCAGCTACATTAGTCTTTTAGCTCCAGTGGAAAATAAAATAAATAAAGTGCAGACACCAAACATCTCTTGGCTGGTTGACAACATTTAGATGCCTAAACTGTGTAAATTAGATTTTTGGCTGAACTATTTCAGTCAATCTAAAATAGGAGGAAGGATAACTGTGTCCTCACTTTTGGGAGTACAGTTTTTGGCGTTTTCGTGGAGTTGGTATCCAGGAATGCAGCTGCAGAAACGGCCAGTTTTGTCCTTCCTCTCTATGCAGTCTTGGTTGCAGTCACCATTGTTCACCGAGCAGTTGAAGGAAGTGGTTTCTGAGGGTCAGGCCACACAGGATCATCAGAAGGCAGTCCTACCATCTCTATAATACACTCTGACCCAACGCGCAGCAAAAATACTTATAAACTACAATCAAAACAAAATTTCTGAATGTACAGTTTGATTCAGTTCTTTAAAATCAGAATGTCTTCATGACTCGTCATCTGGAAATGGAGAAACATGCAGGCAGGACTTGATTTATCTGTGGATATGTACAGTGAATTGACAGTTTATTTATTTATTTACTGACAATTCTCTTTCTGAAAACTGTTCAGCACAACAATTGCATCAATATGTCAATTAGTAAAACATAAAAGAAAATCCTTTTTTTGCATTCACAGTATTTTAATGAATCTCCATTTATCAACACTGATATTTGGAGAGTGGCTAAAATAATACAACTTGAAGAAATTGCCACTGCCATATGAAAACCTCATAACTCCATTTCTTCCTTTTTTGTTTTATACCATATGAAAATGTCAGCTGTCCTATGTTGTGTGACCATTCCATGATGAACAGACCTCTAGAAACAGTCCAGAGTTACCACTGTTGTTACATTAGCATTAGGTTAACATTGTGTCTACTGTCTCCTGTGAAGTTACTGATTCAGAGATACAAGATTTTCTTACAACAGTGACAAAATATAAGGCTAGTGCTTCTTTTTAATGCTGTGCTTCTGTGCTTTTGTTTTGGAAGATACCAGATCTGGAAATGTAGCTCCATTTTGCTTTTGTCTTACTTTTTTGGTTTCTTTTTTACAGACTGGATGAAACTGTAAATGTGAGCTCACGTATATGACAGAATTTTCCTTCAAATCCAGGGAAGCAGTTGCAAATGTAGGACTGGTACTGGTCCACACAATGCCCATTCTGGCAGGGGTTAGGGACGCACTGGTTGCCATCTGACACACACAATACTAGACTGTAGTGTTTTGAGGATGACACCACAGTAAACCTTTAAACACTAAAACAAAAATCTCACTCACCCACATACCGAGTCCAGAACTCCAACTGTAAGAGGAGAGAATCCATTATTGGACCTTTTATATGTGGGAACATTTTCTGAGGCAGCACCAATGTACAGAATGCATCCATTATATTAGTAATCAAGTTATCTACCGATTATTAAGATAATTAATTAAGTGGTCAGCCAAAGAATAGACTTAACGAAACAAACACTGGCCCAGGCCCTGTCATCAGGAGCTCGCAAGTTCGATCCCTGGTGTTGCTACAGCCATCTGTGGCCGGGAGTCCAAGAGAGCACAATTGGCTTCGCTCTCTCTGGGTGGTTGGATGACCCCCATCACTTAGCTGACGTAACAGAACTGCCGGTTAGTGTTCTCCTCCGAGCGTGTTCAGTTGTCCAATGATGTTGCCTTAGCGACAGTTTGAAAAGATGCGGTGGCGCTTCACAGGTCTCGGAGGAAGCCTGTGCTAGCTTTCCCCTTCCTAGTGCTGGCAGTTTCATGTGATGGGGGAGTCCTAACTAGTGGGTGGAGTTGGAACGTCTAAATTGGGGACAAAATTGGAAAAAAATGTACAAAAATAAAATAAAATAAAATACTCAACATCCTATCACGCCCTGTGGCATGTATAAAAATGCTGAGCTGGCCTAACTGACCTTAATTTTGGATCAAGACGGCAAAAGAAATGATCTAAGTGATAGTGGAAAAGGGTTCCTTAATGGGACACAGATGCCAGGAGCGTCAAGCAGGTTGCTCATCTGGTTAGTGTTTCAGTGGGAACAGTTACTAAAGTGACATGCATTTTGATCTATGGGAAAGACATTAGTAAATAGGGACAGAAATTGTGTTCAAAAGTGCAGTCTTGTGCATTAGTGCGATATGGAAGGAAAAACAAAAGAGAAACTGCTCCTGAGGTGAGTGAGAATGTTAATGCAGGACGTGATCAGACTGTGTCAGCAAGAACAGTCCAACCACAACACTATACAGAGATATAGTGTAGTATGGTTTGAAGATAGAACAGAATGGAGTCAGAGGAGGAGGATTGTGCTGCACAAAGTGCTCATCCAAAGACACCAGCTGACCCCAAGAGCACTATCTCCCACAACCCCCAGGGCAGTGATGTCAAAGCAATGCTGTCTGGCCAGTTTCTCAAGAAAGACAAGCTAAAATCATGTAGTGAATAGGCTCAAAGACATCTGGAGATGGCCCAAGTAAAACAGAAGAGATGGTATGATCAGAGGTCGAAAAATCATCATCATCTTAAACCACTTATTCCAGATCAGGAGGTGGTAGCAGTTGGGAAAGTAGAGAATCTGAGACGACCCTGTCCCCTGCAACTTCCTCCAGCTCATTCCAGGGGGACCCCAAGCTGCTCCTAGGCCAACTTGGAGATATAATCCCTCCAGCGGGTCCTAGGACAACCTCGGGGGTCTTGTCTCAGTACGCCGTACCTGGTAAACCTCCACCGGCATGCAGCCAGGGGGCATCCTGATCAGATGCCTGAGCCACCTCAACTGGCTCCTCTCAATGGTCGAGACATTGCGGATTTAAGGCGAGACAGAATATTTAAACTTTTAAAATGGCAGGTGCCGTTTGAGGTTTCAGAACGACCTCTCAAACATACCATGCAGACCTCTCGACAGGAAAGAGAGGAAGGAGCCCAAAGTAGTTGCGCTGAAATGGCAGGTAGAGGAGTGGTCGACCAACAAAGATCACACCAAGAGCAAGGTGTGTAATAGTCTGTGAGGTCACAAAGGAACCCAGGGTAACTTTTAAGCAACTGAAGGCCTGTCTCACAGTGACTAATGTTAAAGTTCTTGAGTCCACCATCAGGAGAACACTGAACAACAACAGTGTGCATGGCAGGGTTGCAGGGAGAAAGCTGCAACTCTCCGAAAAGAACATTGATGCCCATCTGCAGTTTGCTAAAGATCACATGGACAAGTCAGTAGGCTATTGAAACAATGTTTTGTAGATGGATGAGACCAAAATTGATCTTTTTGGTCTAAATGAGAAGATTTATGTTTGGAGAAAGGAAAACACTGCACTCCAGCATAAAAACCTTATCCCATCTGTGAAATCTGGTGGTGGTAGTATCATAGATTGGGCCTGTTTTGCTGCATCTGGGCCAGGACGGCTTGGCATAATTGATGGAACAACGAACTCTGAATTATACCAGCAAATTCTAAAGTAAAATGTCAGGACATCTGACCATGAGCTGAAACTCCAGACAACGTGGGTCATGCAGCAAGACAACAAGCCTAAGCACATAAGTCGTTTTACCAAAGAATGGTTGAAGAAGAATAAAGTTAATGTTTTGGAAAGTTGGAAAGTCCTGACCATAGTCCTATAGAAATGTTGTGGAAGCACCCGAAACAAGCAGTTCATGGGAGGAAACCCACCAACATAACAGAGTTAAAGCTGTTTTGTAGGGAGGAATGGGCTAAAATTCCACCAAGCTGATGTGCAGGACTAATTAACAGTTACTGGAAATGTTTAGGGGGTCACACCAGAGGTTCACATGATATGGTACATATATATACATATATAAGGCAATTGTATCAGATTTTTTAGTTAAGTAATTGAGACAGTCTTACACAAATGTAACATTTATAAGATAAGTAATGACCGACCGTGCTCTCTCTGGTCTGGAAGATCTCTCTGGCCTCCTCAAAGTCACAGCGCTCCTCCACACACTCTCGCTCCAGTGAAGGAGGCTTGATTTCCTCCAGGAAGCTGTTGGCTCTTTTGGTGCGCAGGAGCATATGAGCCTTTGGGCTGCTGTAGAAGACTAATACATAAAGACAGGACTAATAGAGCACAAACAGAATGATGTAGGGAAACTAACTAAACTTCAAATTCCAGCTTCCCAGACCCAGATTCAGCTTTCAAGTCCAGATTAAGTTTTTAGGGAAAATGTATAAACTGGAAAATGTGTTCATATCATCTTTATTTGTTTATTTTTTACATTGTCTTTGTGATATTTAATCAACTTATGTTTATATTACTAACTCTAGACTTGCCAAAGTCATAGCTCATACATCTAGACATATTTTTGGCCCACTTTATTCAAGAATGTATTATTAAGCATTAATTCTGGACACAAAACTATAAAAAAGCAAAACATGATAGACTGTCATCAAGCTATCTCTAGGTGTGAGTGTGTGTGTGTGTGTGTGTGTGTGTGTGTGTGTGTGTGTGTGTGTGTGTGTGTGTGTGTGAATGTGTATGTCTGTCTGTCTGCCCTGCGATGGACTGGCGACCTGTCCAGGGTGTATCCTGCCTTCCGCCCAATGACAGCTGGGATAGGTTCCAGCACCCCACCGCGACTCAGAGGGATAAGCGGTTTAGATGATGTGTGTGTGTGTGTGTATTTTATACAACAAGTTGCTATAATAAAACCATTCATGTCATGTGTATTTTTATATTTCTTTTACTTTTTCATCAGTAATTCTGGACTTGCATGTAGTCTGCCGAGGCTACAGTGAAATAAACAAATCCATGGACTTTTTTAGAATATCTAGAAATTTCCCAGCAAAGTTTCCCAACAAGTTCAATACTTTCTTGCTTAGCCAAATAATGTGCCTTATGATTTTTTGAGGAACCCAGTAACACAGTTCGTTTTATTTTTTAATCACTTAGTAATGTAGTTCAGTTAGATTTATCACAACGTGATTTTGAGATTATACCTGACATGCTGAGAGCTGTAGCAGTCCAGAGGAAAAGCAGCAAAACGAGGAAGGGTCTCCCCGCCATGGTTACACGACTGTAGACGAAAGAGAACTCCAATTCTTATTATATTGTTATATTTCTTATACATTTACTATTAAAGATATAATTACTGTAATATTTACAGTGTATAATTATAATCCCGAACACACAGCATGCGTTATCCATAGCAGCACTTTGGCAAAATTACACAGTGATTTATTGTGTTATTACCTTGTTTACTAGTTCTACATAATAAGGGCAGATGTCTCTTACCAGATAGAAGAACTGATCAACACAGTCTGATTCCTCCTCAAATGAGAGCTATATGAGGAAAAACAGGCATCAGAATTGCTTAAGTGAGAATTTCAGTTCTGTGTTTGTCCTTAATCCCCAATAGTCCACACTGCCTGAGTGACCATTAGCAATTAAATAATAATGGTGCTATACGTTTCATTCGCAAAACCATCCAGCTGCTAGAGATACACATTCAAAATAACAGCTCATACAAAGAAACTGCTAGATTTAGATACAACCATTTTACTTACATGTTGAAAAATAAAGGAAGAGCAGGAATGGAGGATGTGCTGTTTAAATTGTGTTAATGACTGACTAGTATCTGTTTACTGATAGTCCACAGTCTGTTCTTTCCCCCCAACCTCTGCTCAGCTCACCTAAACCTAGAGTTCATATGACTGCAAACAGCTGGAGCTTATAGAGTACGACACTATTAAATCATGTACTGTTTTAATTGGGTAAATGTATTTTCAACTAGTCCAGCAAGAGAAGAACATCTGAATACTGTGTAATACTGTGAGTTTACTTTAGTGTGTAAAGCCAAGTTCTTTAACTCCTTAAAATCTCAGGCTTATTACATACTAAGGCTTATTATTCAGTAACTACAGGGACTTCAATGCAAACTGGTTGAGCTATTCTTAGGTTATAGAAGTGTGTAATAAAACTTTGGGCCTACCGGTGTGGCCTGGTCATTTAAGGGGTTAAGGTTCTAATTGCTGGTCTAATCACTTACCAGCAGTTTGCTGTTCATTATTTAAGTAAAAAAATTTTCCCAAGAAGTGTTTTAGCTGCTTTCAACACTTGGTGTGATGCAAAATGTGCTGTGTTAGATAAATTAGGGTCTCTGCAATATAAATACACTTAAGGAAGCTAAGCTAAAGGGTTATTTCAATCCACAATCGTGTTTTTCTTGACAAAGTTTTCAAAACTGTATTGAGCTTATATCTTAACACGTCATGCAGTACCAGCAGGGCAACACTCTCTTCAAGAGAGGGAGAAAGGCTGTGTCGCATCTAGAACATTTTACCAGGGGTGGCGAAGGGAGGCAGAAAGTTTTGGCAGGGTGGTAATGTTAATGTGCCTCCTGAGAGGGAAGGGGGCAAAGCAGGACAGACCAGGACAGACCAACAACAGGATTAACAATAAAGGGAAGAGTTTGAGTATGTCAATAAAAAGCATGTACTTGGTCATACTGCCTCTTAGTGAGCATATTTAACCTTTTCAACTCCATATATCAACTTTCATATTTCATAAGCTACATTCTAAAGGTGGGGGTCATATGAGAGCTGTAACTGTCTTCTTTCCAGTCAAATAGATGGGTAATGTCATTTTAAACCCTTATAATAAAAGAAGCTGAACTCACAAATTGTTTTTTCTACTGAAAGTCGACCCATTTTTCCACAAATCTGGGCTATAAACTATAAACAGATGGCGTCTCTTCAGTGATCTGCTCTGTAAAAAAAATTTTTTTAGAAAAATATACAAAGAACGTCTAGGATTTTTGGCTTTCAGCAGTAAATTGTAAGCATAAAACAATATGTGTGACCATAAAAGACATTCTGTTAATTTTGAGGGGAACTTTTACAAAATCTAAATAAATAAAATAAAAAATTACATTTATTTCATGCAGTTACTGAATAATTTGCTTTACGATTTGGTCATGTAAATTCAGATGGACAAACCAAAATATACCCTGGAGAATAAGAGGTTAAACCTCTTTTTTAATATTCAGTATAAATTTTTTGTTATGAGAATTTGCAAAAACATGTTTGTTGCCTACAAGCAACACTGTGCGACAGAGGAATAGATTTAGCCAGTCACAAGCCAAGTCTGACCACTTCAGGGAACATGCCTCTATATTATTTCTTCCCATTGTTGCACAATGTCGCCTCAAGGCAACATACTCCAAAAGGACCCCCACACATTTTTTTCAAAAATGTTTTTGAATTTAATAATCAGGTCTGAAAAAACAAATCAAGGATCATTTTATGCATGAAAAGTGAATAGATTTTTTAGTTGCTCTCATAATGTGTGCAGTAGAGGGTTAAGGGGGGGGGGTGGTTGCTGGAGAGCTGTTCTGCCAATAGCAAAACAACTCTCCCCTTAAAGGCACAAACACCCGCCCCACAGCAAGGAGGAAACAAATTATGTGATAGAAATTTTGGGGGGGCACCTGGGGCCAATCAGATTTTAGGAGATGCATAGGCCATCCTAGCCACCCCTTTAAAACTGTGGATGGAGAAAGACAGAGAGAAAGAGGTACAGAATGGCACACAAAAATGTATACGAGGTATACGACTCTTTTACTGAATAATCAGGCTGAAATATGATACATTTTCTCTTTCAGTTGTTGTTTGTTTCTTTTTTCCAGTGTTCTTTGGCTTCCAGGTCTGCTCACAAAATTTCAAAACAAAAATGTGCTTTTGAAATGCACAAATGAGGCCTTTTGATCTTGAATGATTGAAATAAAGATACTCTTTATACACAGTGCAGTTTAGCAGGTACAGCAAATCAGTTATAGAGTCATATTAAATATTATCACTAACTTAATATCACTAATCCATAATTTAAAATGGCAAATTGTGGCATAATCAACACTTAATAAAGCAATGAGTCTGTGCGATGGTTATGGGAGTCTATTAAATTATTCCATGTTAACCCACCTAGGGACCTGGCAGGTCACGTGATGGATTTATATTAAAAATTTCGAGAAAAACTTCTATTCAACTGCAAATTTGCAAAACTGTGCTCCAAATAGTTTTTTAGCTGTGAATTTCTAAGGTTGTAAATTCCATCTTAAATACTGAGTATTTAAGTATTTACTGAGTATTAAATACCGCTTCCAGAATGACTGAAGTGCCCTAAGAATAAGATTTCACTTTAAATCACTTTCAGGAAAAGAAATATTTCATCTTCGAAATCGAATCATTTGGTAAATCCTCAAAATGTATGGCAAAATTTAGATTTTATGTAGTATTCCTCTTATTAAATCAACTACTTTCACATTAATTTAGTCCCACAACAGGCTCTTTATTAGATGTCACCTTTTCGTGTTTACAGTTCTTATTTAAGATGTTTTTGACTGAATGAAAGAAAATAGCAAAAGTTCCTTTTGAAAAAAGAAATTGACAGTCAATGGGCTTTTTTATTTTAAGTTATTTTAACTCATAGTGTGGCTTCAAATATTGCATACGGAAATGAATACTTGAAACCTAAATTTTGCACACAATATTTTGAAGACTGACTAAAAGACTTACATAAAAATATGCCCCCCAACAAATAACCTGTTGTGGGCATATATTAATGTGAAACTTGTTAGTTTAAAGTAAAATATTATTCTTTGTGTTGCATTCATTCCTAGTTAATATTTCAGACCAGTTTAGTAATATAAACTGTTTAACTCAATATTTAACATAAAATTCAGAACCTGCTGGGACAAAAATATAAAAATCTATAAATTCACTAACCAACTAAAAAACTATTTGGAGCACAGTTTTGAAATTTTGCATAGTTGCATGAATTAAATAGACATTTTGCTTGAATTTGCATGCAAATCAACAAAGTGTCCAGCCTGGCTTTGGGTGAGTTGGAGTGTGTTTGTGCCACAGCAATCTTAGTACATTAAACTATTTTATTCCATTCTCTAAAGCATTTGTCTCAACACTGATCATTGAGTGTGTTGATTGATTGGTTGTGTTGTCTTTATTTTCTTTCTTTATTTTTTTGCACTTTTTCTTTGGATGCTTACGCATATCAGTGTAAGCATAACCACTGACATCATGAGATGAACTACACCAGATAGAGTTGTTTATAAAGACCATTCACCATGATCGCTGGTATTCTATAGTCACATATTTGATACATAACCGGTATGCAGGGCATGCACATTCCCTATACAGCTGAAGCCTTGGACACATGAGCCAGAGGAACTTGCCTGCAGGGGTGTGCAGGAGCATGCCAACTGAGGACACTTTTGTGTCTACAGGTGTGGAAATGGGGACGAATATTAGGGGTAGTCATTCATCCTTTATTACGCTCTTTGTCACAGGGCCTTGTTTTGACGGTTAGAGTTTCCCATATGCTTTTTGATTCATTATGAGTATGAATGAATAGAGAGGACTCACGTTGCATAGACAAGTGGAGAGAAAATGAGGCGTGGCCGGCCCCAGGGCACTTTTCCACCAACCTGCTGGCCCTGAGAGCTGCGACTAGAGGCATTGCTCAAGGGCCCAAGCACTTTCCGGATTGTTCTTCAGTCTTTTTGAAACACGGTGTCTGTTCAGTCTGTTTCTGAAACACGTGACTTTGACAACTCACAGAAGTTAATAATAATACATATAATATTTAATGCATTTCTCTAAAAAACAGGGTTAAAATGTGATACAAGTGGCTAGAAACTCAAAGAAAATGCACTGATATTTTCTTGTGGTTTAAATTTTTTTAATTGTTATTATTGCTGATTTTTGTGATGATAATTGTTTGATCAAATTTGGTTCAAATAACCATGAAATAACCATGAAAATAAATTAAATGAAAATTTCCCTCCAGTTTCAATGTAAATACTTGACTGTCTTGCATATTCAACTCGTGTTATTGCACTGAATTCAAATTATAGATAAAGTACTAATATTGATTCCTTCATCTGGTCAGTTTTTTGCAAACGTGCTAACAACTGTCAACAAAAATGACATATAAGTATACAGAGTCAATTGCTCTCTTGAGGATGAATTAGGTCAACAACGGTTGATTTTACAATAGCAAGTCTCAAAGGGATCAGCTTGCAGGCCTCTTATCTTTATTTCAATCCAATACCTGAAACCAAAGATTGGAGCAGGGAAGGGCTGAGAATAGGGAAGGCCTTTTTTTGGTCAACCATTATTTTACTTTTCGTTGTGCTGAACATGTTGTCCAATGCCAACAACCCTTTTGAAAGTAGAAGCCCTAGTTATTCTGTGTTTAATACAACAGGATATCATATGTAGCCATGTATCCGTTTTGTCTGCAGGCCCATAGGGAGGGAGTCAGGTTGGGAAAGACTGCTTTTTTTTTAGGCACGGCATATAAATTGATTACGGCGGTGCTTGCAGTCTTCACTTCGCAAGCATTTGATTTAGAGCATGGCTCGAAGCGTCCTACAAATTGTAAGTATGATCTTATCAATCAGAGTAACCTTGACATGTCTGATTCAGATGTGGACATTATGGTGTGTGAGGTTTTAAATCTTTTATGTATAAGCATGGTCAAAAAAAGAGGGCAAAATTAATGATGTTAACTGGTATTTTTAAGTCATTAAAATCTTAGAAGCCATCAGTGGGCTCTGGAATTTCGGTATTCCTTCCCTATTGGACATATAGTAGTTATTCATAATAATAATTCCTAGTAGTGATGGAATAAATGACATTGTGTGAACATTTCATTACAAAAGGTCCAGTTACATTAACATACATTAAAGTCAAGAACATTTTTTCCCCTCTCCTTTAAAGTTGTCATATTGGACATATGAGGGTTTTTTAATGGTATCTTACCTTTTATGCAAACTTTCTCACTTTTACTTACCTGTCTTAAATTCCAGGTGTTAAGGACATATGTGGGCTTGCTGGCCTCCTTAACTCTCTCCCTGGGAATGATGATCGGTGAAAGAGAGAACACAGGGACCTTCACACCACCACCGCCAGGTTCACGCGACAGTCCCATTCCTCCAGAAGAGATGCTTAAGGGCTCTGGGGCTTATCCATCACAGAATACTGACAACTTCCCAGCATATGATAACTATCCCATGGCACACGGCGGCAGTCCTCAGACACGTGGAGGATACCCGATGCCACACTATGACTACCAGATGCCGCCTATGCCCGTTCCGTCAGACAAGGGAGCCACTGTCCTACGAGCTCTTCCGGGCTCAAATATGACTGCTGCTGATACGCCAGACTTGGCATATTGCAACATGATCCTGGAAGCACCAATACCCCCAACTGCAGATCAGGTTCCCTGGTTCTGTACCTGCACCCTGTGTAAAGGAGGTAGTAAAGGCCCAAAGGGATCCAGAGGAGACAGGGGCCTACCAGGTTACTATTCATTGCATATACTCAGTTGGTTCTCTACCAGAACCTTTTCAATGTCCTTGAGCACCATGGTTCTCAATGCCTGTCCTGGGGATCCAGCACCCTGCACAGTTTTTTCCATTTCCTGATTCGGGCAATTGTCAAGTCCTTCATGAGTTGGATGTACTGAGGCAAAGTATCCCGGAAACTGTGCAGCTGGTTGCCTGGGCTGGACCTGAGAACCATGGCTCTATGTGATGTGTATATGTGATGCTGACTGCCTAGTATTCTTTGGCCTTGATATCTCAAACCAGGTCAACCGGGCAGTCCAGGAAGGAGAGGCCTCACTGGTCCCCCAGGACTTCCAGGTTTCACAGGTCGTCCTGGAATGAAGGGTAAGTAGTGCTATCATACTGACCAACCTTCTCCCCAACCCTGGATATGTTGTGTGAAAGTGGTGCATGTGATATAAATCTCTTGGCAAGTCCAGAGTTGGTCAGATTTGCATTGTGTATCTGCTTTCAAAAGGCCAGAAAGGTGATGATGGTGCAAAAGGAGACCAGGGTCCAATGGGTTTCATGGGGATGAAGGGAGAGCATGGACTCAAAGGTTAGTATGATTGCATTAACAGCCACACTTACTACTTATTACTGTACGACACCAAACATTTTCACTCTTGAGCCGAATCTTGTGCTTCAGGTGATAAAGGGGACATGGGTGTGGATGGGAGTCCAGGGGTCCAAGGGCCACCTGGAGAAGCTGGGCAGTGCCCTGCGACATGTGAATCTACTCATGGACCTCCAGGAGAAGTTGGCCTGCCGGGAATAGTTGGGCCAAGAGGCCTGCCAGGGACTGCGGGAATGCCTGGGATGAAAGGCCAGAAAGGAGATAAGGGCGAGGTTGGTATGCCTGGCGTCCCAGGCATAGATGGACAAAAAGGGGATCAAGGAGAACAGGGTGTGTGCCACTGCAAGGATGGGGCCAAAGGTGCTGACGGACATCAGGGTTCTCCGGGGCTGAGGGGTGAAAAAGGGGAAATGGGTCCACAGGGACATGCAGGAGCAGATGGTCTAAAAGGTGAAAAAGGAGATGTAGGAGTGAACGGTCCTCCTGGCCCCTGCTCTCCTGCCATTCAGTCAGCTTTCGCAGCAAGACTGGATCACATTTATCCCGTGCCAGATTTGCCTATTCCCTTTACTGCGGTCATTTACAACATGCAGTTTCACTACAACCCCTTTACGGGTATTTACAAGGCCCCTGTAAATGGCACCTATGTCTTTAGCTATCATTTGGTAGTGTTTAGCAGAGTGCTCAGAGTGGGTCTCTTCCACAACTTCATACCCATCGTGAAAAGCACTGAGTTGGTCAGTCTTGGTTCAGTCTCTCAACAGGTTGTCCTGCACCTTAGCATGGGTGATGAAGTGTGGCTCCAGGTAAGGGACACCACCAGTAATGGTATGTATGCCAACAGTGAGGCCAGTAGCACCTTCTCGGGCTTCCTGCTTTACCCAGACAGCTGTGATGTACCGTTTTCTCGGGTGCTTCCTCTTGAACCTCTTGTTGGGACATACGAATGGGGAGAACTGGAGGCCCCAACCACTCCTGCTCCATAAACACATTCTACAGGTTCATATATATTTCATACCCACACACACACACACACACACACACAATAAAAGCTCTGTAGTAAGCATATCAATACCTCTGTACCTACTTTTGTCTTCTTTGTAGTTCAGAACCTCTGCTACACTAGCAACCAATGCAATCTAGTTGGTCAAATCAGTGCAAACCTCGAAAAAAATGCCTGCCTGACAGAGCTAACATCCTGCCTACTATTGAGCGCTGTTAGTTATTTAGATCTCAGACCTCTAGCAAAATAATTTAGCTTTGTCAGGTAACAGTCACAGGATCCTCATACAAAGGATGGACGAATGAACAAAATACATCGTCGCTGTCGGAGCAAAACCTTGTATCTCCAAAATCAACCAATAGAAAAATGACTTAAAACCAAAACTCTAACACTGCACAGCAAAAATTGATCTCTTATCAAGTGAAATGATCCTAAATCTAGTCAATATATCTAATATTTCCCATTTTGAGATGGTTGTGCACTCATTATAGGATTATCTAGCTTATTTCTAGACATTATTTACTTGTTTTAGGCAATTTTATCAAGTAAAATTAGTTCACTATACTGTCAGAAAATCTTGCTGGCTTCAAGCACATTTTCTAAAATAGGCAAAATTATCTGCCGGTATAGTGAGATAATTTTCCTTTGAACAAGTAAAAATTGTCTAGAAATAAGTTAAATAGTCTTCCATTAAACTAACATCAACCTCAACAGGAGAAATATTAGATTTATTGACTATATTTAAGATAATTTTACTTATAATTTTTACTAGTTGAGCTCGTAAGATTAATTTCCATTGAATTTAAGAATGTTTTTTTCCTTCTCCAGTAAAGTTATTTATTTTGGAGATTCAAGGTTTTGTTCCGACCTGAAGTCGCTCATGTTGGGGATGTGGTGCAGTGCAGCAAGCTGAGTCTATTGCTTTGAAATTCAGGCTAGATGATTGAAGATGTGAGCGTTTTACACAGTGAAGTAAATCTGCCTGAAATTAGGCGAATTGAGGCCATGACTACTGAATGTTGGATGGCTCTGTACAAAACCTTAACCTTGCCTTAATCTTATTCAGTGGCAATAACTCCATGTCCAGTGAAGCATTTGTGTGCGTAGTGAGATTAATCTAATTATTAAACTGTAATGCATAAGCGAAATGTGTTCAATCCATCACTTTTCAAATGCTTTTATTTTAGCAGCCATTTAATGAAATGTTCTGTTGCTGAGAGTCCTCTAGATCGAATTTACCTGTGTACGACACTCTGCTTTGTAGCTTTCTGTTTTTTTGTGTTCTCTTAAAACATTTGAATGTAATTTTGCAAGTAAACACTTTATTTATCCATAACCGAAATGGACTGCAGTCAGTAATCCCAGCTCGGGGTGTTTGGCAATGCTGTATGTGGGTATGATGGCTATACTGGAGTAGGGTTGTGTTGCGGTTCTCAATCCCAGATTAGTTGTGTTTTTGTGCTTCTGCGTTAGAAATGAGGTTCGACTAAACTGTGAAAAAAGGGACCAAACTCGATAAAATCTGGTGGCAACATAATCTGAATTTTCCTCTTGTAACAGAGTGTCTCCTAATACACGAGCTGTTGTTCTGGGTCCTGCTGCACTGCACTGCAAAACATGGTATCCTGTCAAGTGAAATGATCTCAAATCTAGTCGATATATCTAATATTTCCCATTTTGAGATGGTTGTGCACTGATTATAAGATTATACAGCTTATTTCTAGACATTTTTACTTGTTTTATGTAATTTTATCAAGGAAAATTATCTCATTATACTGGCAGATAATTTAGCTGGTTTCGTTTCTTCAAACAAGCAAAATCATCTGCCAATATAAGATAAATTTACTTAATAAAACAAGTAAAACATGTCTAGCAATAAGGCAAATAATTCTAAATTAAGCTTACAACAATCTCAACAGGAGAAATATTAGATTTATTGACTAAGATCATTTTACTTATTATAGATAAAATCTTTTGCAGTGTGTGAATAGCAGCAAAATATTTTTCATATTTGTATATTTTGTTCTGGAGGTTATTATGGAAGCCTGTTCCCTCTAAGAAGAATTACATTTTTTTAATGTTTCTAGTAGAAGCATGTAACAATTTTGACTTTTGTTGTTTTAAAATGTCAACTTGGCATCTCAAAATAATGACTTACTTTATCAAAACATTGGCTTAGTGTCTTGAAATGATCACTAATTTTGTAAAAATTTGTTGTAGTTTCTTAAAATGATGACAGTTTCTCACAATATTGGCTCTGCATCCCAAAATAATGACTTATTTTCTTGAAATATTGACTTAATAATGATTTATTGCTTGTATTATTAACTTTCTGAAAATAGTGACTTAGTATCTCGAAATAATTACTTATTTTGTCAAGATTTTGAGATACTATGTTAAAATAACCAGTTATTACATTTTGAAAAAGGCAATGTTTTGGGAAAATAAGTACTTATTTCGAGATACTAAGTATGTTGACCTGCTGCCACCAGAAACAGAGAAGAAGAAAAAAATTTAGGTGATTTTTCTGTCCTCTACCTGGCAGGAATGGGCTTCCATATACTATGAATATTCAAAAAGTTAAGTCTTTGAAGAGAAGATGACTGTGCTAGATCAGGCGAGCCTGTTGCAGTGTGTGTGTGTGTGTGTGTGTGTGTGTGAGCCTGGAATAAGTGAAGGCCCCTTATTAGGTTTAGAAAGCTCTGATAAAAGCTTTGTTGAAAGTATTGGGCTGACAGAGAGGGATTCGATATGCTTTATTGTGGCCTCAGAGGCAGTTAGTAATGTGATATTATAATGGACCGAGCGCTAATTTTTAGCGGAAGCTGCGCTAAATAATAAGTGCCTGATGGGACCAAAGGGAGAGTAAATGAAAGCCGCTTGTGTGACTGAAGCACAATAACACGGAGGCTTGTCTTGTTAGCTTATGAATTGGTTTATATTTCACACATTCATCACGGTCACAGTAACCCAGTACAGATGAATGAGAGACGTGCATGCCCCGTTTATTGTTAGGACATTGTAAGCATTCATTCAAATGAAACTGAATTCATTTCATTGTAAGTAAAACAAGATAGCTAGAGCTATAGTGCTGCCAACTGACTGTGAACTACTGGAGATAAAACTGTAATCATCTTTAATTACAGCACGATTGATGTCATGATTTGTTTGTTGATTTTTAATGTGTAAAATTCTCTTTTTATCTTAAATAAAAAGTGGATAGAAGTAGTGTTGGCTTGTGTTTTCTTATCTTTGCATCTCAAATAAATCCCTATGCTACGGCTATTAGATCTGCTTTCTTCCAGGTACTGAACAATAGTGTTTATTCTTTCTAACAGTGTTGACTACATCTTTAAAAACATGCCTGTAGACAGTTCCATCTGTCCCAGTAACACAGCCCGTGGTAAAAAGAATCGTGTGCTAAACAGTTCCAGCTGAACATTTGGGGTCCTACACTGCCAAAAATAACATCTCGGAAAGTGAAATCTTCTTAAATCTAGTCGACACAGCTAAAATGTCTCATTATGAGATTGTTAAACCAATATTATACGATTATTTGATGTATTTCTGGACATTTTTTACTTGCTTTAAGTCATTTCACTACACTTTTATCAAAGATGCTTCTTCGAGGGTTCTTTAGTAAAGAACATGGTTCTATTTAGAACCATGAACACTCAAAGAACCCTTTATATGATTAAAGCCTTCTTTGCATCATGAAAGAGCTCTTCAGATGGAGGGAGACATGCATGAATGTGCTGTAGATGGTTCCATTTAGCACCCAAAAGGGTTGTTCTATTGTTACGATGTCAAGCTTGTTACAATAGAAGAACCCCTTTGGGTGCTACATTGATCCCTTTTCAAAAAAAAAGGTTCTACATAAAACCATCAATAGCACGTTCATGCAGGTTTCCCTCAATTTGAAGAGCCCTTTCATGAGGCAAAAAACCTTTAATCATGCAAAGGGTTCTTTGAGCGTTCATGGTCCCATATAGAACCATTTTCTTTACTAAAGAACCCTTGAACAACCATTTTTTTATGAGTGTAGATAGAACTATGAACACTTAAAGAACACTTTGCACAATTATAGGGTTCTTTGCATCATGAAAGTGTTCTTCAGATAGATGGAGAATGTGTTGTATATGGTTCTATATAGCACCCAAAAGGGTTCTTCTATTGTTACGATGTCAGGCTTGTAAGAATAGAAGAATCATTTTGGGTGCTATATAGATCCCTTTTCAAACTGGTTCTATATGGAACCATGTACACCACATTCATGCATGTTTCCCTCCTGCTGAAGAACCCTTTCATAAGGCAAAGAACCTTTCAATCATGCAAAAGGTTCTTTAAGTGTTCATGGTTCCATATAGAACCATTTTCTTACTAAAGAACCCTTGAAGGACCATTTTTTTAATAGTGTAGGCAGAACCATGAACACTTTGCATGATTAAAGGGTTCTTTGCATCATGAAAGGGTTCTCCAGATTGATAGAGAATGTGCTCTAGATGGTTCTATATAGCACCCAAAAGCGTTCTTCTATTGTTACAATGTCAAGCTTGTACCAACAGAAGAACCCTTTTCGGGTGCTTCATAGACAAATTTCCAAAAAGGTTCTATTTAGAACCGTCTAGAACACATTCATGCACGTTTCCCTCCCGCTGAAGAACTCTTTCATGATGTAAAGAACCTTTCAATCATGCAAAGAGTTCTTTAAATGTTCATGGTTCTATATAGAACCATTTTCCCTACTAAAGAACCCTTAAAGAACCATGTTTTGAAGAGTGTAGAGAGGCTTTTTTATTCTATCAGCAGATGATTTTGTTTGCTGTTTGAGCCCAAATGTCTCCCAACAGAATAAGAGTTTCACTGTATAAAATGACTTATGTAATCTTATAATATATTATTTCTTATAATATTTAACCTTAAAATATATTTCAACAACCTCCAAATTAGAAATATTAAATATAATAGACTAGATTTAAGATGTTGTCACCTTTTGAAAGCATTAATACTTTTTAATACATCATTTTAATCTAACCCACTACATGTTGTGGTGCTCTAGCAACATGGAGGCCCTAAGCGACTGCTGACAGCGAGAACCAGCCTGTCCAGGTGTGATCCAGGACCAGGTCAGGAACACCACTGTTTTTAGTGCGCTAACAGACAAACGCATCCCAGTTTACGATCTCAGCCACTATGCATTTCAGTGCAGGGCTCTTGCTATCACAGCAGTCCTCTCTCTACCGTCTTCTAACTTCAGTATTCCAGTTGGCCGTGCTCTTCGAGGAGCCTGTGTTCTCTGAGCGTTCCTCAAGGCTCACCCGCAGAAATATTCCCTTCCTCGTCGTCCTCCTGCATGCCTTTTAGGTTGGTGCGCTTGAACTCCTCAAACACCATCTCTTCCTCCTCGCTGTACAGGAGAAATGGCAGAAACAATGGCAGCAGATGTGGCACAGATAAGTAGGAAATACAGACACATGACTCTAACATGAGCAACAATGAGCAATACGCTCTGTTCAGACAGATTATATAACTGAAAAGGGACTCGGATTACGTAAATTGCACGTATTACTGGAAGACTGACCTTTCTTTCACTTCAAGAAGCCCAAAAGAGAGAATGAGAGTAGATGAGTTGTTGAATACACAGTGTTAAAAATGAGAATATGCTGTTATTGTTGAGAACACAGAACATATTCACATCTAATCTAATCTAATCTGATATAATATAATATAATATAATATAATATAATATAATATACCTGAATCAGGCTTCGGGTGCATAAGCTGGAATGACAACTCCAGTCCAACCTCGCTGGTGATAAAAAAATAATAATAATATTTCATTTTCTCATAGCTCTGTAAATACAGTTGTATGCAAAATTTTGGTGCCTCTTTATCAATCAATCAACCTTTATTTAAACTCGGAGTACATTGAGGGAGACCCTCATTTACAAGCCAATACAGAGATCAGGGAAAATAGTAAAAACATAACAAATGCTAAAAAGAAATAATAATAATAATAATAGTAGCAAATAAAATAATAATAAATAATAATAGTAGTAAATAAAAAATAAGCAAATCAATAAACCATTAAAATTACAACAATATAGTAACTTAATAATTGTTTTAGCATCCCTGAAGTAAGACAATATAAGAGGGGCTACTTCTTGAAAGAAATGAAAAAAGTCCTCATATCACAGTAATTATTGACACAACTATCGTAATAGTTCATATTATAACCTGATAGGTGACACTTTATGCTTGTTTTGTCCCATAAATGACTTAAAATAAGGTAACATTTCTAAGTGAGAAGGATAGCTGTTCTTGAAATAAATTAAAGCTTTATTTATTGTCTTGATATGAGATGATTTCACTTGCTAAGCTTTTGTTTTTTGCAGTGCTGGAATGAAATCTTACTACGAACAATAAAAACTTGTCCTCTTGATTTGCCATTTGGGAGACAAGGCTTTGTTACGACAGCAATGTTATTCATGCAACATTATTCTACTAACAATATTGCAGCTACAGAATTACAGTATCATATAATGCTCACCTGGAGCCCACCAGCCTGTGGAAGACGAAAACATAAAACACAAAAACATAAAACGTCAATCACAGGTTTCATACAGGGAGTTACACAGCAAATTCTTCTGTGCTTGCCGAGATTAAAACATCAGATCTGGAAATTTGAGATTAATGACCTTTTTTACAAGTTATTTGCTGGTTTTTATCTTTGAATTCATGGTATATTCTTAAATTGATCATGAATATGTCTTATACACTCTCAGAAATAATGATACTAAACTGTCACTGGGGTGGGACCCTCAAGGGTGCGTCTCAGTATCTTTAGTCAGGGAACATAAAGGTACAAATTTGTACTTTTCCACTGGGAAAAACTTATTTAAGGTGCGCAACTGAACATTAAAACCACTGTTGTGCCTTTAGAGCGTAAATTTACACTGTTTGTACCTTGATGAATGAAAAATGAACCTGCACAGAACCTTTATTTCTAACAGTGTACACCTCAATTAGGAAATCAGGAAATCTTAAAATTGAGTAGAGTGCCAGTTTATACCATTCTGTTCCACTGAAAAAACTTGTTTCAAGATTCAGTGACACAAACTCAAGTTCAGTTGTTTGATTTAAGAATCACAAATAAGGCATATTAAAAAAAAATTCAGTGGCAGTGGCCCAACATGCTTCAGGAAATGAATGTTGTGGGAAATTTCACCTGCAGTCCTGATTGTGATTTCAGTGAAATTGTCCCTTTACGACGTCTGCTCTGAGACTACGGACTAGTAAACTAAGTTAAATCTGAGTTTAGGCCGATGTATTTCAAGATGAGCCAAATTGTTTTAAGTAACAGCATAATCATACTCCACTCGTATTCAGTCATTTTCACTTAAATTAGTGATTTATTTTTTATTCCCTGGTCTTCATTTTTTACAGTGTGCTAAAATTAATAAAGTTGAATTAAGAATCATTTTCTAATATTCATTGTATTTCACTTATTACTGTGCTGTAGCAAGTCTGATCTTAAATAATCTGATCTAAGAAGCAGCATTTTCTACTTATTTCAAACCTTTAGACAGTTATTAGAGCTACTTATTTCTAGACTGGAACCAACCAAATTTTAAGGCTTCTTGTCAAGTAAAATGATTTTGCTGCACGGACAGATAGTTTCACTAGCATTAACTCATTTTCTCCTCAAAGTGTTTCTTGTATTTCATCTTATCTTTCTGGTGTCACTTTATTCGGATGGTCCACTGTCGCTGCTTTGTAAATGCGCAGTATATCTTTAAGTAACATTCAACTAAATATCAATTAAATGCAACTGAGCTTGAAGTCGAGTGTTATTTGGATGGTCCACTGTTGATGCTTTGTAAATATTTAGTCTGTCTTTAAGTAACATTTAACTAAAACAAGTTCAGTGTGCGTGGGTTTCCTCCGGGGACTCCAGTTTCCTCCCACAGTCCAAAAACATGCAGTCAGGCCAATTGGACATGCTGAATTGCCCCTAGGTGTGAATGTGTGTGTGTGTGTGTGTGTGTGTGTGTGTGTGTGTGAATGTGTATGTCTGTCTGTCTGCCCTGCGATGGACTGGCGACCTGTCCAGGGTGTATCCTGCCTTCCGCCCAATGACAGCTGGGATAGGCTCCAGCACCCCACCGCGACCCAGAAGGATAAGCGGTTTAGATGATGGATGGATGGATGGAAGTTCAGTGTGATTTAATTAAATCTATCCCTAAGCCTAAGCCTAACCCTGACCCTAACCTCAAGGCAAAACCTACACCTAATCCCAATCCTAACCATAATGTTGTTGAAATTCAACTGAGTATCACCAGAAGTCTGTTAATGATTTAAGCATCTGTAGAGCTTCTATAGGGGACCATCCAAATAAAGTGTGGCCATCGTTTTTGCAGTGTTTAACTGCTAATGGGTGAGATTATGGTTAATGATCACACTCACCCGCCCACGATGAGCTTCACCATGACTCTGTAGGACACCAAGATCCCCAGCACCTCTTTCAGGACCCCCTCTTTAATTCTACAGCAGAAACACAGATCATAAAATTTACCATGAAGCATTTACCACGTACTTCTGCTCTTGAGCACCACTGACCTTATAGGTGGTGACACTTCGTGTGAGCATTTCATGATGAATGGACTAACAGAAATACTTGGAATAAAAATATTATCACATTAACTCACATGAAAGTTATGAATGTTTATTTCTTTCTCCTGTAAAGTTACCATTTCTGAGATAAGGCTTTACAAAAAAGCAATATTATTCATGCAACACTATCCCAAAATATATAATGCTCACCTCGAACCTGGACCTCTACCCCACTGGTCAGTTTCTGATAAGCTACAGCTACTGTGTGGTCAGATACTGACCACTGATGTAGGGCTAGAGGATGGCTAACACAAACCCTACATCAACAGATGAGCTACAGTCTCTAACTGTACAGCAGCAAGGGGGAGCTACTAAGTAGGAGTTTCCAGTAAAGTGGCCAGTGAGTTCATTATCTGGCTTTCTTTTAAAGTCCTGCATTGTTAGCATACAAATCCATAAACACCAGAAACAAGCTCACACGCTAGTTGAGGCAAGATTGGTGTCTTCATGCTTCAGTTTTCCATCAAGCGCAATGCCCCGCCTTTCCTTGTTGTTGGCCAGCAGGGGGAGCAGTGTGTACACCTTCTCCATTTTCCCACCTGCTTCCAAATAGTCTCTGGAACAACAGAGAAGTTTGAGACAGATCAAATCAGAATCGTCCCTTTACATACATTCCGTACATTTCTCTTGCATTTATTTTGTCTGCTGAGGTCCACTTTTGTGGACATTTGTGTGGTTTTACACACCAAAAAGTGTCATCATTCATTTTTCCAAACTCTCTTTATGCCTTAGAATTAAACTGTTTGTCTGTATGTTTTTATTTTTGTTGCTGTACCTTCAAGGCTAAAATATGTAAATTATCTCTGTTCTGATGGGCTGCCCTGTATTGTGCCTCATTCAAAAAGCAGTCCAGGCTGAAATACGTCTTATAGCTTCAGTGTTAGTGGGTGGAGCTAAACTGCTGTAGGCTGAATACATGGATGTACGTGAATGCAGTGGTTTTCATGACATCATGGAAACAGTGAATTCAAAACTTTTTTGCAGCTTAGTTAGATATGTTTTGAAACAGGGTTTACATACTACATCAAACTCTTTCATTGTAAAAAATCTAGGAAAATCTGATTTTTTGATAGTGTGAGCCCTTAAATACCCAAAACACCATCCCTCCTTCTCCTCTCAGTAGCCACGTTTACATGCAGCCTGATAATCTGTTAATAATCTGTTAATAATAGCTCAATCGGAATAGAATACGTCCACGTATACACTTCAATCAGAATAAACTACTCTGACTGAGGCCATTCGGAATACAGTTTCTATCTGACTCAACGAGGTGGGTAATCCTGTAAATAATTTGTTAAATAGAAGAATAATAAGCATGTAAACATCTGTATCTGATTACATTCCCTATCAGAGAGTTTAAGTACGTTCTGATCATGTTCGTCACGTCATAGTGACAGTTTATATCGTTCAACATGGCGGAGCAGAAACTGGTCTGCAGAGGAGACGAAGTTTATGCTCTGATCTTTAAAAGACGGCGGTGGGACGGACGTCCAGCTTTTGTATCTCAGAACACGACGTCTTCCTCTCGGCCTTCTTTAATAAGGACATGTGAAGGACGTTTTCCTGAGTCTGACATCATTTTAAAGTCATTAAAAACACAAGCGCTGCTCACTGCTGCTCATCTCACTCTGAATGGTACGATGCTCGTTGTCATGGTAACATCTACACTAAGTGGTACTTTACGCATGTGTGTAATAATGATCAGATTACTTGTAGTGAGCATGTAAACGGAGATTTTCATCAGATTGTTGAGTAGAGTGAGAATAAACACCTCAGTATTAATCTATAATCAGAATGTATTCAATTAGATTAGCAAAAATTCTTGCATGTAAACACCGACACTGATTCAGACACTCACTCAGATTCCAACAGGTCCACTGACTTCATGTAGCTGTCGTTGGAGTACAGCACAACAGTGGCGATTTGGTCCACTGAAAACCACAAAACCAGAGAGATGTGATTGTTTTATTTGTGGTCCAGGCCTTTAATGTGTATCAGACGTCTGAGGTCGTGCATCATTCTGTAGTCAGAGTCATTTCCTTAGTAGGAACTCAGGGTCTAAGCTGGTTTTCTCTACTGGAAAAATTAATTGCGTTTTTAAAAATCGCCTCTGTCGTAAATTGGGTAAAAAAAACAAAACCAAAATGTGAATAATGCTACATACATGATTTTTTTTTTTCCATCCAGCAGTATGACACAGTACAGGGCAGTACAGCGTGGTTGCAAACCCGAACCCAGAACTATCCCTACCCTGGTCTGGTCAGGTACCAGTGTCCATTTCCCACCTAACAGAACTGTGAAAGTAAGTCCTACTTGGCTTGTGTGGTCACATGATTTCAAATGTGAATCTAGTATTAACAGTAAACCCAAAAAACAATGGAGGAGCTTCAAGTTCTGATTTACTTTTTACAGCATTTGGTTTTATGGTTACATATAAAGACTTATTATTTAGTAACTTCAGGGACTTCAATGCAAACTAATGGAACTATTCTTAGGTTATAGAAGTGTCTAATAAAACTCTGGGCCTGCCGGCAGACCGCTGGTTTGTTAAAGGGTTAAGGTGGTCATCTGACTCCGGTGACACTGTGTGACCATTCTGTTATGATTGCATTAGACCAGTCAGTGATCGAAATCGTAATTTGAGAGTGCAATTTTCAAATCACAAGAGCTATAATATTAATTGTAGCCCATATTATATTTTATATAAGGCTTATTTTTTTAAACTTTAAAACATGGAGTTTGTAGTCTACCTGTAAATGAGTAGATCAAACAAAAGCAACCAAACAACCACGAAGAGGTGAACAATGTGAATGTATTGTATTGTGATATTGTTATTGTTATGATATTGTTATTGTTATGATATTGTTATTGTTATAAGCTAACTGGAAGTGTGGGGTGCTACATTCTGTGTTCAAGCCTCAAGCCACAAAAATTATATTCTGGTCTTCTTGGCCAAAGTACCAGGCCCTTAATTAATAGAAAATAAACACAATTTGAATTGCATTAGCAATATTGAATTGCAAAATCGCAGTTAGATTTTTTCCCCTGTTACGACCCTTAGGAGGCATATACTTTGCTGCCTTACCCTATTGTCTTTCTCTTTTTCGTGTTCCACCTATCCTTTTACTAGGACCTTCACTTGGATACTTCTGATTTGTTGCAGCAGGGGGCGCTCCAGGTATAAAAGGGCCTAGGAAAGCAAGATGGTGGCTGGCTGCTTTGGTTGTTGAGTGCCACCTGCTCTCCTACTGACCAGATCAAACCCAGCACCTTGGTTCAGCTGGTCTTAATCAGCCCTTGTTCAATGAATCATGTAACTCTTTCTCTAACGCAGGGGGTGAGTGTTTTGTTTGCTACGGTTTTTCTTGGTTTGGTTCAGGGAGGCAGGGTAGTTGTTTGTATTTTTCTTTTCATCCTAGATTGTTTCTAGGTCGTTTTGAGCGTTAGCTCTCCCCTGAAGTCATTTATCTCCTTTTATTATATCTTTCTATGTTGCATCTAGTAGATGGCTAACGTAAACAACTATCTCTTTTCTGCTATCTTACTATGTTGCCTTCAAAGAATGGCCATTCAAGTCTGATTAACGAAGGCAATAAATGTTGATATTTTGCTGTCTTATCTGGGTCATGGTGTCTTGGTCTGGCGGTTGGGTGGGGGTTGGCATTTTTTAATGTACGACTTCTTAACCTATGAGGTCGTAACATCCGCAGATTCTTCAGCCCTAAGTCAGGGTTTGCACCTTTACTAGCTCCACTCTTACATTCCAACTTGGTACGCTTGGTGCCCCAGCAAGAAGGGTAACCAAATTCAGCATGAGTGCAATACGGTTCTTTTGGAAGTGGAATTGATGACAAAATGCATGATCATGGTTTATGACCATACTGTACTGTACCACACAGCCTGGTGAATAAAAGTCTACTATTGAACTTCAGCTGTATTATATACCAGGATTAGCTGCTCAAACCTTTGGGTACTATTATCAAAGAAATTTAACTACTACATTTGACAAATCCTGCTGTCTTTTTTGGGCATTTTGTTGAGGTTGCCAGTCCTATGATGTCAATTCAGTACACAGCTGTGTTAGCTTGCATGTAGCAGTGGTTGTATTTTGGCTCATTATTGACTGTTGAGGACTCATTCAGAGGAAAAATGTACGTACTGCAAAACGTTCTGGCTTTGAAACATTTCTGGAACATTTTTGAAAACAGCGTTAATTTTTCTCATAGGAAAAACTTGGAGTTTCTAATATGGGCATAAAGCCGACTACAGAATGACACACGGCTCCAAATATAAGTTAACAAACTTCCGAGCGTGTTTAGTTCTGCACTGACCCGAGAGAATGATGTTCTTCACAGTTTTGTTGGACTCGTTGTTGATGTTGACCCGTACGTGTATTGGTTCCCCATGATAAAAAGTCTGCAAGACATTTGAGATTTTGTTCATTTAACAATCAACTCATCACCCTGCGATACGTTACACAGTGACATGAATAAAAATCACACATGAAGTTAACAGATTGGATGGTCTGCGTCAAATCTGTGAGCCTAAACCCCAAAACTGAGCCACCATTCAATCAGCTGTGCCCAGAAAAAACCCTCTGACCACATGAAACAATCCTGGAAATCTACAACAGCATACTTTTCAGACCACCCACCTGCTTCTCCAGGCTTGCCTCCACATGCAGAGGCTTATCAGACATGAGGAAGTCACGGGTGACGGACACTGAGGGAGCTGGACCTGTCTTCTCTGGGGCGTACTGCACCTTACGGATCATCAGACGGACTGTACTCCTGCAGAAGACACACCAGAAGGTCAGTGATAGTTGAAAGTAAGCATTGCGCCTAATCAGTATAGTTCATGTGGCAACAAGCAGTTCTAACTGGTTTTATTCAATAATAAATGAATTGGTTTGGTTTTAATGAAGTGAGATAACAGGGTAGATCCAGGCCACTCTAGCATTTTGGGGGGCCCATGTGCCCAGACCAGCGGAGAGTATGGTTTTTCCTCTGAGGCCTTAAGCTATTATATCAACCTATCAAAGTTAGTAACTTACTTGATGTGTCCTATTCAGATTCTAGCTGTCTAATTGACACTATTATGACTGTATACATTTTGTTTCTGTTTAATATGAACAAGATTTGCTGAATTATTGTGTGAATCAGGACCAGTCTTAACATAATCCAAATATTTATGCACATAAATCTTTTATATAGTCTTAAATAAAAGTTCCTAAGAATCCTAGCTTTGTTTATATGATATTAGCTAACTTGCTAGTTGATATACTGTAAAATTAGAGGCTAATAATAACAATAACTACACAAGTGCTGCATATTATGTACAAAAAACTGCCAATTTTGATTATTGCTGATGATTTTATGGTAAAGGGGTTCTAACAGCATCTCAGCATTCTCCATACAGACTGGCTACTTTTTGTTTTCTGACAAAAAAAAAAACAATAAAAGCATAATATTAACATCTCAAAACAAAATCAAAATACACCTTTATCTTTTAGCTTTTTCTCCTCATCTTCTCTTGTTTAAGACATGATTAACGAGTCGAACTCTCGAGTAAACAACATAATGGTAACCTAAAATAACTACCTAAAAGTTGTTGGTAGCCGTGGGGCCCTAAGCAGCCACTTATGTTGCTTAACAGGTAGAGCCAGTTCTGGTTCTGGTGACCAAACATCCTGTTCTTCAGAAGTTCTTTACATATTTACATATATTTTCCACCGTGGGTGTTCCACAGTGCTGCTGCATCTACAACTGGGTTTTACAGGTTATACAGCCACATTGCGATATATAGGGACATTTAAACTGACCGTTTGCGGACTTTAGCGTCCTGACTCTCAGCACTGAAGGCCTTCACCTCGAACTCAACAGCGCAGTGCTGTGGAAAAGGACAGTATTGCTCAGAGGCTTATGGCAGGTTAGATTAAAAGATTAGATGTATATTACAACATGCAACTATATGTAAAGTTGACCTAAAGTGTTGAAGAAGAAGTTGCTCACCTTCCCCACATCTTTAGGAGCCGGCTGCAGGCCCACAGAGCATGGCAGGTTATCAGGGAACTGAAACGGAGCAGACGAGGCACATATTTAGCTCCTAAGTACATTTATGTGATGGAGAAAGATGCCAATATTGCATGAGCATCATTACAAATGTCTAAAGGTTTAATGTACATGTTGCTGCTTTCTGACAAAAACCTTGTATCTTCAAAATAGTAACTTTGCAGTAGAGAGAAAAAATGTTAAGTTAATGTAAAGATATTTTGGACCATTTTTGTTGGTCTAATCATTGTGAAATGTTCACACAATATAAAGAACAGCTGATGTTTTTAGATTAAGTCAAAAAAATTAAAATGATAAAATGTTTTGTTCTGATAGTGATGATATATTTACTGTATGCATGTCTTGCACTGCAAAATAAACATACAGAATTAGGTTTTAATGCAGAATATACATGTTTGCGAATGTTTACACATGTTAAAACGGGGTAACACTTTATTTGGAGTGGTATTTTGTAGATGTTTAATAAACTCTTAATAGATTATCTGTAACACATCAACAACATATCAGTAAAGTAGCAGTAATGATGCGTCTGAATACTAATCCTGACTCTAGCCTTAACCCAAAACCTAATCCTAACCCTCACCCTGGCCCTAATCCTAATTCTAACCTTAACCCCAACCCAAAACCTAACCCTAACCCTAACCCTCACCCTGGCCCTAATCCTAACCCCAATCTTAACCTCAACCCAAAACCTAACCCTAACCCTCACCCTGGCCCTAATCCTAACCCCAATCTTAACCTCAACCCAAAACCTAACCCTAACCCTCACCCTGACCGTAATCCTAACCCTATCCTTAACCTCAACCCAAAACCTAACCCTAACCCTCACCCTGGCCCTAATCCTAACCCCAATCTTAACCTCAACCCAAAACCTAATCCTAACCCTCACCCTGGCCCTAATCCTAACCCCAATCTTAACCTCAACCCAAAACCTAATCCTAACCTCATTTGTTTTTGGCATGTTACTGAGAGTCTTTTGAGTCTTTGTTTCATCTAAAAGGAAACACTCAAAATAAAATATCACCATTTTATTAGATTGACTTAAATTACATTGAGTGACAAAAAATAAACATTTTGAGCTCCATCAATTGAAAATATGTCAACTTTGTCAATAATTTAAGTATTATGCAATAAAAATATGTGTGTAACTAACAATAAACATGTATATTCTTTTAACTTGTGATCTTGTGAACTTAAATGGCCCATATAACATACATTTTCTTGCAATAAAAGACTCTGATGTAACATTTAACACTGTTAAAGTTTCAGAATGTACAGTTCACTCTTCAGTCCACAAATCCACATACGGAAACTAAGCTGCAAAAAACAGCCCATTTTGAATGTTGTTTCTGTGATAACATGAATAAAACAGCACATTTCCATAAATCTGCCTATTCACCCTACAGCAGTTTAGCCCCGCTCAATTACTCCGATGTTAAAAGGAATGAAGTTCAGCCTGATTTTGGAATTAGCGATTCAGAACAGAGGTCATTTACATATTTCAGTCTGAAAAACAAACCAACAAAAAGAGTCTCGGTAACACTTTCTATGAATGTCACCTTTGTAAACATCTATAAACACATTCATAACATGTTATAATGCATTCATAAGACATTATAAACATAGCTATAAATATTTATGAAAATGCATTATACGTTATAGCCATGTTTATTATGCATTATGAATTGTTAACATAATGCATTATAAGTACTGTTCATAACAAATTATAAGAGCTCATAAGTTGTATTTGTCCGCTCTAAGTAAAGTGAAGCGTACTGTACTAAAGCCTCCTCCAGTGTTCAGAGTGAGGCTTCAAGTTGAAGTATTTACTGAAGGATTTACTGAAACACTAAAACATTCACAATAAAGCACATTACAGGCTTCAAATGTCAGAGTTTAAACTAGAGCTGCCATCAGTGTTTTACCCAATGTGGGAAAGTTAATGTACACCACCGTTAGCTTGGTATTTGTCTTTACTTTACGCTCTCCAAGCTGGGACTGACTTCTTTGGCACTGACATTATAACGTTATTAACACTATTTATAATGCATTATATTAACAATTCATAATGTATAATAAACATGACTATAAAGTGTAATTCAGTGTAGTTCTTTTTTATAAATATTTATAACCACGTTTATAATGCCTTTTGAATACATTATAACATGTTATAAATATGTTTATAGATGCTTACAAATGCGACATTCATAAAAAGTGTTACCAGAGTCTCTTTAATTGTAATAATAGAGATAAAGAAAACTGTAGGATATCGGCCCTTTGAGAATACAGTCAGCCTCTGGGCAGTACGACACTGTATTATAATGTTCTAACAGACTCATCATTCATTCTTTGGACCACTTTAGATTAAAATCCTATGTAAAATCTTTTGTATTTCCACATCCTGAGGCTTATTGTTCAGTTACTGCATTAAAACTTTGAGCTATAGGAGTAAAGAATGGAAGTTCAAGGGTTCTAAAGATACATTTTGGGGCCTGCTCACCTCGAAGAAAAAGGGGTAGGCATTGTCGCCCAGTTTGCGCAGGAGTTTCTCCTGCACCTTGGTGAGAGTGCACTGTTTCTTGTCCTGCAGCGCGGGGTAGATCTGCCGAGTGGAGAGGTAAATGTCCCGCCGGAACGCGAGTCCCATCACGTCCATGTCATCTCGGCCATACCGGAACATGCAGGACAAGGCGACGTACGCTACAGATCACAACATCCACTTTATCACTTCATCAGTTTCACAAACCGGACAATAGATGAACATTTCTCTATACTCTGACACCTAAACGGTCATCTGTTCTTTCGTTTGTAATAACTCCACACATCTCAGAACTGTAGATATCACTGTACTAATTGTAGTTACTGAATATTACAAAACAGACAGTTCCAGTTCTAAAATCTGATTGGCTGAGCTGCATTCGAAGCAGTTGTAAAATCCATGATGTAGGCACGCCTATGACCACCTCACAACGATAGAATTGTGTATCACTGCGCCACTGCATGAAAAAAATCCTCGTGCCGTTAATGGAATAATCTTTGCCTGTAATGCTGCTCGCATGGAGCACCGAGTGTATTGATGAAGTAAGAACCTGTTTTTGTTTAAACTGAGGGGCTGACAACTTATGTTCTTAACTAGAACTAGGCTGGTCAGCTAGCTAACAGGCTAAAAGATAGCAAACAGCCTAAACAACACCAACATTAATATCACAGACTTGAATTAAAGTACTTACGGTATGATTAACTGTAATACAGCAGTATAAAATTGTCACTTGAATGGATTACATGCTTCAAACATTCGTGTTTCAGTCAGAAGTCACGTCAAACCCAGGCTGAATCCCAAATGGCTCTGTGCTCCCTAAATAGTGTGCTAGCTATGAAAGTTTAGAAATTCTAGCCCCTACAGCCGAATAGTGCATCATTTATTTTTATTTATCGAGTGTTGATGTGTCTGAGTCCCAAATGACTATTTCTTAGCTGTATTTTGCACAGTTGGGCTGCAGGATCCAGTATAAATTCCTACGTAGTGCACTATGTAGGGAGCAGGGAGCTATTTGAGATTCAGCCCCAGTGTGAGAAGAGGGGCGCAGCTGGATTGGTGCTAAAAAAGACTCGCAGTGGTAATTTGGTGACCAAAAAGTACTTATTAAGTGAAAGTGTTTGCATTAAACAGTGCTGTGTTATCATATGTTCATTGTTATATGACAACAAGTTAATTTACAGTAATAAGGATACAATAATTAAGTGGTTAAACCACTTTGGGCCAAAAAGTACTTTTAACATCAGTCTAGAAAAGTGTCACATCATTATTTACGTGAAACCAGCTCTTAATACCACCTTGATGAACGGGAAGCTGGATGTTGAGGATAAATATACACAAGATTAGCACAGAGCTGCTTAAATGCTAAATCTTTGTAACAGTGAAATCAAACATTTCATTTAACTTTTTAAAGTTGTCTTCAAACTTTAGATGAGGGTGTGTACCAGGGGTGGAAAAGTAATAATTTGTTAGAAGTATCGTGATTCCCCTCTTGAAATATTCTGAATCAAACCTCAAAATAATTGTAATAATTTTGAGGATTTTTTTTTATGCAAAAGTTTTGAAGGAAAATGATGTTTTGCTGAAGTGAAAATAAGTTAACATGTCCTCTACAGAGAACCCACTTCTGCTCATTTTAATGCATAACTAAAACTAAAACTAAACAAAGTAAAAATAAGATAATGTGGCCTGTGCAAAAGTTATGGCACATTTAATATTTTACGTTTCATTTTTGTCCAGTACATTAAACTCGTACTAAATAAAATAAACAGTAGCCGTGCATTAAAACGCTCAGAAACTGTGCTCTCTGTAGAAGATGTGTTGAATTATTTTCACTAAGAAAATCAACAAAACTTGTCATCAGGCAAGCAGTGTTCAAACTTTTGCACACAACACATAGGGTGTGTTTTATAGCGGGGACTTTTATATTGACACTTTATTCTGCCTTAATGGCACTAGGCAGCGATCATTTGCTTATCCCAAATTATGAATGCAGTGCTGCCTCATCGCTTAATAGTTTACATTCATCACATGTCTGTGGAACGAAGGGTGATCTACCTTTTTTGCCTTTCAGCAGTTCTGGGTCTATAAGGACAACACCATCTGTTACAGAAGAGAGAAAGAGATACACATTAACGAGAGAGATCCAGGAGAGATAATGTGTCACAGTGAGTGGCTCTGAGAAACAAACTAAATGAATGAGTGAACGAATGAATGGCAGTAAAACTGTTCATATACATGATTCTCCGACTCACCCACTGGTTCCACTGAGTTCACATGATCAACAAAATCACGTTTCCCCATGTACACAGCAACCTGTGACCAACACATGGACAACACTGTGCTTATTAGTAAAGATGATTAGCCACAAGTCTCCAACAAATAAAGCTCTTATCCTTTCACTCTGTACAGGCCTCACATTCCTTATCTACGCATAGCCAGTGTTGGAGGTAACATGATACAACGTAATGCCTTACTGTAATGTCATTATTTTTAGTTATTTATAGTGTAACACATTACAGTTTAAATTCCTTTAATCAGGTTAAAAGTTAGACTTAAAAAGGGTTTGTTACATATATCTTTAGCAGAGCTACATTCTTTATGCGTGGTGCCTTTAAAACAGATGTTTCCTCTATATAGATTATCTGTATGTGTTTTTGTTGTGTATAATGCACCTGCAGCTGACTGCGTGACTTTTATTAGTATCAGTGCAGCATATTCGACAAACCTCACCTAAAAATCTCACCTAAAAATATCAGACTCAATTTACATTTAGAAACAGCTCTGTAAGACTAGCATTTTTGTTGTCAAATGTTAGCATTAGCTGTTCATAATTTTAATAAAGCATAACTGGCTGTGTCTTGTTCCAAAGCAGGAATGTTGACAGGATTTTTTACTGGAAGTAAAAAGTGAAGTAATCCCATTATAGTGCGGAAGAGGTTATTATTAGTGATGCATCAGTATCATTTTTTTTTGGCTTGAGTACAAGTATGAGTTTACGTTTTTAAGTACTCACTAATAGCGAGTCTGATTCTATACCATAATCGTGACCTACTTAGAATTAAGTAGTTGTTAGTATAAAGTAGTGCAATCTACCTTAACAGTTAAATTGTTCAGTTCTAGCTGATTTTAAATAACATGCATTAACTAGTTAAGTTGTGTTAGTTACCTTTGATCGAGTAGTGCTTTAGTGGAGAAGATCTAGTTTTGTTAGACATCAGAAAAGTACTTTTGTACAGCTGTAAGTAAAGTACATTTCATAGTTTTGATCCTTATCTGTCTTTTTCAACAATAGTCTCTTTAGGCCGAGGCTCACAAATCCGAGGAGCTCACTTGTGGAGTTTTACGTCTTCTCTGAGTCTTTTGTTGGGCTGGTTGAGCTGTAGCTGAATGTCCTCTTTGGCCAGACATACACTGTGTGATTCTAGAAATCTTGTTCTTTGGTGACTCACACTGTCTACAGCTGTCTACAGTCTAGTCTATCTACAGCCTGTATTACAAAAAATGACTGTATTTACTTTTATACCTCACAGTTATTTTCAGTTAAACAGAGTAAAGTTGGCATATATAGACTTTGGTATCAAATGTTGAGTCTTTTTCACCTCTGTTTTGCTAGCCTACGTGTCTCCACCTGTACTGGGGAAGTGGTTGTGATTGTAATTGTGTGTGTTTAAAAATGTGTGTTTGAATTCCTGGTGGGAGTATGCTGAGGTGAAATGTTTAAAATCAGTAATGCTTCTCTGTGTGAGCAGATCCTCAATGCCAGCTTGAGTCGTTTGTCTATTAGCATGGCAGCGAACTCTCAGCTTACATCACACAGCATCAGCTGGTATTGGATGTTAGTATCGGTGAACTTTTATGAGGTCGAGTATGAGTAAATGAGCACCATTCTACTGAGCAAAAGCTTTGCTTACCGATTTGTCTTTGGACATTTTCTTAAAGATGATGTTCTTGGGACTCATTGTGGCAAAACTTGCAGGCCAATTAGCAAAGTCTGAGGAATAAAACGATAACAGAGTCTGTAGTGTTGGTGTGAAAGTGTACTACAGTGTCAATAGCACATTGCAACTACAGCCCCCTTTACAGATTCTCTATTCAAAACAATGTGCTGTGTCCTAGTAACAGAGAGGGGGTGTGTAGAGAGCCTAAATCCAAACTTAAGTAAAAGTGTTGCTACTTCATGGAAATAATGACTAAATGACTAATGATTACTATTTTCAAAAATACTTGAGTAGAAGTCCATTAGTGTTCAAAAGTTTGGGATTATTGTCTAAAAGTCTGCACTTTCAGTAATATAAACCAGTTTTGTCACAGACCAGTGTATAAAATGATTCTAATATGCTCTAATATGCTCATCCTGTACAATTTCACAGATTTCAAATACATAAAAATGTTAGATCCACACAGAATAATGAACAGAGCCACTCAAGTTTCTAAGATAACTGAGAAGTGCTGTATAAAATTGAAAATTTATAATAATTATAGTGAGTTTAGTTAAAGTAAAATGATCGTCCAGAATGACCTGAACAAAAAAGCTAATATAAGTACAGTATATACAGGATATTATCATTTTTTCACTTTTTGTTCACAGAATTGTTGAAATATTGAACAAAATGTCAACAAAATATATTTTGCTTAATATTTAAATCCATATTGTGTAAGATTTCAGCAATATGTTAAGTGATTCTAAACAAAACTACCTAAGTGCTGAGCAATGTCTAGAACTGTAAGCTTGTTAGGCCCTATTGTTCTCTTCTTGATTCATGCTTCATCTAAAATAAATGATAAACTTAAGAAGATTCTGAGGTTCCACCAATTACAAAACAGCACAAATGGCTGCCACAGTTGTAACATAATCATAAAGAATTAGGAATTAAGTGTTAATGTTATGTGTGTGTGTGTGTGTGTGTATATATATATATATATATATATATATATATATATATATATATATATATATATATACACACACACACACACACACACACACACACACATATATATATATATATATATATATATATATATATATATATATATATGCATTAAGTGTAACACTTACATACCAAAAAACAGCATGACAAGGAATGAAAAGGCAAAGTTAATCCTGCAGTGCTGCACAAGAGCAGTGCACAGTGTCATGCATGCGTTTCCTATGTATAAGAATCCTCATGTTGTAATCAATTAATGATGACACTACATAATTCAACTGGGTCATTCCACAAACTTTTCAAAATTTCCACTTAATGAAACTGTTAAGAAGTAAACAAAGACATTCAGAGTGGTTTGGTGTGAAATGCTCCGTTCTGGAGAAGTCAGAACTGTTCACAGTGGTAGTGATAGGAACCAGAAGTCTGAAGAGGTTAAAGCCTCTAAAAGCTCCCTCACAGAAAGTTAGTTCCATGAAATGGTTATGAATATGCAGCCAAATGTCTGAAACGTTGATTTATGACCGTTTTGAGTTAAGCGTTTTAGCCCAAAATGTGCTTTTTGGAGGGTTACCTGCAGTGTTGTGATGCAAGTACCCAAAGAAAACTTTGCCACTCAGCAGACTTGTGTTGGTTCACTGGTGGTTTTGGACAGTAAATAAAATGGCTATATTTGTGTTGTAGACATTGTGACCCCTGGTTCCTATCACCACCACTGTGAAGAAATCTTGAGTCCTTACAATCAACCATTTCACACCAAACCACAGTGAATGACTTTGTTTACGTCTCAACCACTGAATTAAGCAGAAATTCTGAAAGATCAGTGGAATTCCCCTTTAAAGCTTCAGTTTTATAGTACAGTGTTGTTCCATCGTGGTGCTGTGTGCTCTGATCTGCATACCTGGTACAGGTGCTCCCGCTGATCTGCGAGGTGTAAAGAGAGAGAGAGAAAGAGAGAGAGAGAGAGAAATGAAGTGTTGACGGCACAGAGGCTGCTATTTGTAGTCAGGATGTCCTGAGTTATTGTTCAGTTAATCAGGTTAGCCAAAGTTAGTTTCAGTCTCCTCCCCCCATCATACATAGACACCCATGTACACTCACATAGAGCCGCGCTTCCTGTGACTGCTGCACTGGCTGAGCCGATTGGGTTGGTTCCCCTTGGTCAGCAGTGGGTGAGATTACCGAGCAGTGGTCAGTTCCCAGGTCACGCGCAGCTAGCTATGGTGCAGCTGACCTCACGTTCCATCACATCACAGCCCCTGACGACCCCGCCGTAGGCTTTACAGGGAAATCACAGGTGAAGGCACGTGAGCACAGATGAATAAATGAGCAGATGATGAAACAGATAAATGGATAGATAGACAGGCACTCTGTGGTTGGTGTAGTGTAGTGGGTAACACCTCTTCCTTCTACACTGTAGACTGAGGTTCATTCCCCCACCTGGATAAGCACCCTACACTATACCAATAAGAGTCCTTGGGCAAGACTCCAAACACTACCTTTGCCTACCTGTATAAAAAGTGATATAATTGTAAGTCGCTCTGGATCAGAGTGTCTGCCAAATACCGTAAATGTAAAATTACTTTCATGTGTTCTGTGGAGTCACGTACAATTCATTCACTTCTTTAATGGGACAATCATGGCAAAAGCTGCTGTCAGACAAAAACCTCTTACCTCCAAAATGGTAACAATTCAGGAGAAGGAAAAACATTCATAAATTCCAATGGAAGTAAAACACATTTATTCCAAGTAATTTTGCAGTGTTTCTGTTGGTCCATTCATCATGGAATTTTGACACGAGATATCACTGTTGTCGGAAACAAAATACTCTATCTTCAAAATGGTAACTTTTCAGGAGAAGGAAAAAACATACTTGACTTTTAATGTAAGTCAAAGGAACCAGACATCTTTTCAAATAATTTTGGGCCATTTCTTTTGGTCCATTCATCATAAAAAATATGCACAATATAAAGGGCAACAGGCATTTTCAAATTATGACAAAAACTGGAAAATTACAAAAATGGAGATACAAGGTTTTGTTCCTGGTCTTTTCAAATGATGTCAAAAAATGAAAAATTTCAGCATCCAAAACACAGCATATCACTGGTGTTGGGACAATTTTTTTATTTTATTTTATATCCATTTTTCAGTTTTTGGCATAATGTGAAAATGCCTGTTGCCCTTTACATTGTGTGTAAAATTCATGGTGACTGGACCAAATTAAACAGCCCAAAATGACTTGAAAATAAGTCTGGTTCCATTGACTTACATTAAAAGTAAAGAAGGTTTTTTCCTTCTCCTGTAAAGTGACCATTTTGGAGATACAAGGTTTTGTTCCAACAACAGTGATATTCTGGTTTTGCTGGTGACCAGCCATGCTGTGCTGGTTGGAGAGAGTCTGGCTGGAGTTTTTCTCCACTCAAAGAGTCTACCATCAGTTTGATGTTGTGCTAAAAGTGTTTTTTCTCTGAAACTAATATAATTTTGTGCGACACCTGATGAACCTAAAGAACTTCGTTAAAGTTTACCAATGAATAAGGTCTCCAAATACTTTTTGGTTCCACTGTAGCAGGACAGACACATAGATAGATAGATTGGGGGTCCCCTCTTTACACTGGGAGAGCAAATGGACGCACCACAACTCAACAGGCTTATTAGTGACCCTTGTATTACAAACAGGACACACAGGACCTTCTCACCTCTAATATGACCCCTGGCCTTAGGGATGTAATCCTGCACTCTCGGCGTCAGCAGAGTATCACCCTGGGAGCTGTGAGGGGGATTACCGTCATATCACAGACAGCGTAATCGTTATCTCACTGAGATTATAATCCATCCTGCCAGGCTCACTGCGCCAGCTGGCACCAACACCAACACCAACACCAACAAAACGTGTGTGTCGTTTACCAATACTTAAAACTAAATTAACAGTGCATATATGTGCATCTCATATGTTGTATCACATGATAATGTCATTAACTGATAAATGTACAGATGACTGCTTGTTATGTATACTGGCCACTTTAACAGAAACCCCCCTCTTGTAGCTAAATAATGCTCCACCACCTATATAATATGTGGACAACAGCAGCCCTGTGCACAGAAACTGACCAATGATGAAACAAGTAGAGGGGGGCTGATAAATTGTGTAGCAGCAGATGGACTTAAGTCTGTGATTGTATATGGAGGACCTATAAGGTAGGGGGTTTCTAATAAAGTGGCCAGTATTTGTATGTACAGTTATGTCACTAGACTGGCATAATAATATAAATGTATGTATTGTACAGCCACCCAAACAGGTTGTACAGGAATTCGTTAAGTCTAAGTTATAACCTATTGTTGAACATGCCTACCAAAAAAACTCACTCTGCAAATCGAAATATTCGATTGTTGTCATCTGAGAGACGATGTATGCAACTATATACCAGAAAAGTTTCGATATTGTGCTGTTTGCGGGCCAGAAATCATGAAGAACGCCAGTGGAAACCAACTAGTATGCCAGCGGACAGTAGTCTAAAACTTCATGCAGGCACCTGGTCTTTATTTTGATTTAACACATTTAAAGTCATTTTTGCCAGATTTCATTGTATTATTGAACACCTCGGTGGCAAACTGTGACTGTCAAATCTAGGCCTTCGGTTTGGGCCATATATGTCAAAACTTGGTCACAAACCAGGAAGAAAACCACCGCTGTGAGAATGATAACCTCTGCTAGTGCTTCTTTGGGATTCTAACAGTATGTTAGTGCTAAGCTAATGGCAATTCAAATGAACATTTGTAGGCTTCTCTAGACTATGGTTGGCTGATAGATGATGTCACTGTCCATTGTCGATGGCTGAGACATCACGATGTTGAGCCAGCATTGTGATGTTGAGCCAACATTGTCAAGCTAGTGGGATTAGCTTGGTGCTATTTGGAATTTTTATCAGCTCTAGTTGAAATACGGACATTTTTAGCTCGTTTCAGGCATTTAAGTGACATTTTTTTCCTTTTATGTCTGTTTTCAAGTAATGATTTATTTAAAGGCTTAAACTTGACCTGTCTTTTATCATTGTAGTGTTACCCAGCTAGCTTTCTGCTACTTGTCCAGCCTGCAAGTGAAGGCAGAATATAGCGAATATAAAGAATATAGAGAATATAATGTGTAAGAAAAGTTAATGCGAGTCTGTTAGGAGCAAACAGTGATGTTCAACTGGCAGTTTATCGTCTTTTTGCATTTAACAGTCACAGATTTCACTGCTAACAACTGGGCATTTTCATGAGTCATTATGAAGCCACAGTCTCTTGTCTGCTGAAGCTCTGCACTATGTATGCTTGTAGTATTGCTGCTCTTGCCGTAATTTCATCTTCACTTGGCTGTACCGAGAATGTCTCAGAGACAAATGGCGCTTCCGTTCCCCAACTGAATATTTCAGCCGTAATCGTGAAACACATTGGTCATATGAAAAATAAGGTGAATATGGAGGAAAAGTAAGGAAAGATATGGTGAGTAAGGGAGGATGGGCAGTGAATGGGCTCAAATATGAACTCTAGACTACACATGGACATTTGAAGCTTTTAAAAAATATTTCATGTTTTATTTGAAGCTTGTAACAGACGTTAATGTTTAACCTTATATCAGTTTTACTGTGACTCTTTCAGCTGCTGCTGTTTTCCATTTCTAACAACTGACTGAAACCTGGTCAGACTGCTAGTATTCACAGTCAGAGATGTATCCAGATCTTCCAGAAAGCCTAGAGTGGCGTTTATTCTAAAAAAAGTGGTCCCACCCATTCTACGCATGATTGGTTGATTTTGCTGTCAGTTCCTAGCCTAATTAATTTGGTGGCAAATCACTTTAGGCTTTCAGTTCAGCTCCTGAAGTCCTAACCAATGGGAGAGCTCACTTGGCTATATCTATCTAGATACTGCAGAGAAAAAAGTCTGGTAGGATAATTTTCTGTTTGCCATTTCAAGAACTTAACCCCTTAGCTTGCAACTAAACAAGGCTGAAACTTTAACATTAGCTAGAAAACCTTTAAGTAGTTAAGAAAGCCTAGTTAATTACTAATTACTTGTTCACCAATAGTTGATAGTGCTGAGTGCTAACATTAACAATGAACAATGAAAGTCTAAAAAAACTTATCCAGACAAAACCAATAGAATTTATGCAATCATTAAAGATATAAATGAATGACAAAAAATATACAAAAAATATGAAGAATTACACGTTACTCTCAGTTACTCTTAAAGAAATCTCTGTGATTTGGTCCATTAAAGACAGTTTTATTGAACCTGAGGTAAACCCTGCTTACAAAAAAGTGTCTCACATCTCTTAAAACAAAAAAACACAATGCAAAGTAATCACAGTAATCAAATTACATGATATTCTACATCAATACAAGATTCGTAGGTAATTAGTGAATTATTTTCACATTTATTATCAACCCAATATTAAAAAAAAAACAAGATAAAAAGTAGAAAAAATGAATGGGTTAACTCTTTAAACTCCACACTTCAATTCCTCGCCCAAAACTACATATTTTGCATAGTAGTTTCATGGTAGTTACTGTAGTCACTGGATAACGAGCCCCAAGATTAATGACTAAATGATGAGTGCGGTTTAAAGGGTTGAAACAAACAACAGAGTAATGACAATGAAGGAAGTCTGGGTGAAAACTGGAAGCTTAGACGTAGGCTCTGGCCGTCTCTGTTTCGGACACGGGTTTGTGGATCTTCTGGCCTTGGCTGGCTGAGTAATACGCTCTGTTAAAACACACAGTACAGAACAAGAGGGGTTAGATAGAGCTGGACCGATACGAACATTTGGTCACCAATACCGATATCAGGGAGCTAAAAATTTTGATGATCAATAATATCGGCCGATATAATCATAAATAATTTAGACTTCACTAGTTGCAGTTTTCCTGACTGACATGACTGTCAGTTCGTACTTGCAAGATGTTTTAAACTCAAATAAAGAGCAGAAACTCAGCCTTAAGTAAAATATTGTAGTGTCAAGGGAAGAGAAGTTTCTTAGAATTAGAGAGCAAACATAATCTTATACTATGTGTGATTGAATAAATCCTCAAAATTCTTTTCAAATTGTATTTTTGCAGTATTTTAGTAAGAAAACAAAGTGTAATGTCATAAAATACATTTTTAAAAACTCAATTTTAAACCTATCTGCCTTCTTTTTGACCCTCTTCCCATTACAAACATTGAACCTCGGCCCCCAAGACAAGT